GGTGAGGTGAGGTAAGGTAAGGTGAGGTAGGGAGCCAAGCGAGAGCCGGCGGAGGGCGAGACGTTACAGAAGGTCGAGGTGTTCCAGAATACATTATATCGTATATTAAATAAAGTAACGTTAAGGGTTCCTGGTATTTAAAAGTGGACAAACCATGGATTTTACCATCGGAAAAAACATTGCTCAACAACCAAAACTAACGTAACGTAACGTAACCCAATAACGTAACCTAACTAACCTAGAGGTTCGTTGGTTGTCTACTTGTAAAAAACCCGGGTTCCTAAAACTAAATGTTAAGATGTATATAAAGACAGTTTAAATGTATTAGAATAAGGCTCGCCATCTAATTAACCTCTGGAAAATGTTAAATTGTTTGGCTCACCTGAAGATTCATCCCCAGCTTATTTCAGCTGAAGATCAACTTAACCTTAGTCAATCTACGTACAATGTGCTGGTGAATTTTTTTCGATCAAGGAATGGCTACAGATCCATAACCAGTACAAAGCTCTGTTATTGGCTGGTACAACTGTACAGTGTGGGCAGACCACGAGTGAAGCCATATCACACACAACAATATTCCTTGAGGTAAATTTTAACGTTGTGTGTGAAGGTGTGGGTGGTGGCCTATTATGTGTTATTTAATGTTTTGTAAGGGTGTGGGTGGGTGTGGCTTGTTGGTAGTCGTTTAACCTTCGTGAGTGGCTTGTGGTGTCGTTTAATGTTTTGTAGGTGGGTTTGGCTTATTGTGGTCATTTAACGTTTTGAGAGGATGTGGGATGTTGTAACCTTGTTTGGGGGGCTCTGGTGGTGTCTGGGATAGGGTTGTGTGTTCACATAAGAAGGAATTGCACGAGGTGGGCAGGTGGTTGTGGTGAAGATTGTCATTAAAACCAAGTGTAATCTAGCTGTCGAGGGGACACTTAAGGGGGCATGAGGGAGGGAGGAGGGAGGGAAAGAAGGAAGGTCTAGGAAGTGAGCTGTAGTAAACTGTGTACAGATAGTGCATGAAACAGTGTAGAGATGTGTAGTACAGTATAGTGTAGCAGTACTGTATTGGTGAGACGTAATTTGAGTAAACCGATGGGGAGGTAATGATTTATGTAAAATGTTGGGACAGTTTAGGTCCATGTGGTCTAATGGTAGAAGTATATATTAACATTCATTCTACATAAATAGAAACTTAAACATGTTGCAGGTGACAGCTGATGTACGAAAAAGCCAATGGAGAACTGACTGAACTTTGAGCAAGATTTAACAAGGCATGTTACTTCAGCCTCATCAGTTAAGTTACTTGTATATCTTAGCAATTATGGTCATCCCATAAACCACTCAACACTGTGCTCCTACACTGGGCAATGGAGGGTGTGTGTGGGCTGACGGAGGCATTGGAGGGCTGTGGTGGACTGACTAGACATTGATATTAGAGTAAAATTAATATTAGTTGTAGTGACAGTATATATATACAGGACTACATGCCTATTAATCAGAGAAAATTGTAGTAGTATAGGAGTAAATATAGCAAGTAAAGCAAGTTGTTGTAGGTGGGTTTCAACTAACATAACTCTTACTAATCCAACTTAACCAGCCTAACTTAGATTAAACATAACTAACCTAGACTTGACCAAATCAGTAATAAGGTATCTATTATACAGTAAATATATTGGGTAAAAAATATTTTAAGAACATCAATTTAAACTATTGTATTATCCACTTAAGTTAACTGATCATGAACTGAAAAAGTTTATTTTGAATTTAGATAAAATTGAGACGTGTAAATTATAAAAATATAACTTGTGTACAGTTAGGGACAGCTTGAGAACTGTACATGTGACCTAATTGTACATGGAAATTGTTTGTTTAATGTCTATTCTACAGTAAATACAACTTTAAACATGTTGCAGGTGACAGCTGATGTACGTGAAGGCCAATGGATAAGTGACAGAACCTTGAGCAAGATTTAACAAGCAGCACGTTACTTCAGCCTCATCAGTTAAGTTACTTGTGTATCTTAGCTAGTATGGTCATCCGATAAATCACTCAACACTGTGTGATGGAGGGCTCTGGAGGACGGTGTGTGATGGAGGGCTCTGGAGGACGGTGTGTGATGGAGGGCTCTGGAGGACGGTGTGTGATGGAGGGCCTGGAGGACGGTGTGATGGAGGGCTCTGGAGGACGGTGTGTGATGGAGGGCTCTGGAGGACGGTGTGTGATGGAGGGCTCTGGAGGACGGTGTGTGATGGAGGGCTCTGGAGGACGGTGTGTGATGGAGGGCTCTGGAGGACGGTGTGATGGAGGGGGTTCTGGAGGACGGTGTGTGTGATGGAGGGCTCTGGAGGACGGTGTGTGATGGAGGGCTCTGATGGGACGGTGTGTGATGGAGGGCTCTGGAGGAGGGTGTGTGATGGAGGGCTCTGGAGGACGGTGTGTGTGATGGAGGCTCTGGAGGTGGGTGTGTGATGGAGGGCTCTCTGGAGGATGGTGTGATGGAGGGCTCTGGAGGATGGTGTGATGGAGGGCTCTGGAGGTGGTGTGATGGAGGGCTCTGGAGGTGGTGTGTGATGGAGGGCTCTGGAGGCATGGTGTGTGATGGAGGGCCTGGAGGTGTGGTGTGTGATGGAGGCTCTGAGGCATGGTGTGTGTGATGGAGGGCTCTGGAGGTATGGTGTGTGATGGAGGGCTCTGGAGGTAGGTGTGTGATGGAGGGCTCTGGAGGTATGGGTGTGTGATGGAGGGCTCTGGAGGAGGGTGATGGAGGGCTCTGGAGGAGGTGTGTGATGGAGGCCCTGGAGGGTGTGTGATGGAGGGCTCTGGAGCTGGAGGGCTCTGGAGGACTCTGGAGGACACTGTTGAAGGGCTCTGAAGGACTGTGTGTTGGAGGGCGCTGGAGGGCTGTGTTGGAGGGCTGTGGAGGATACTGTTTTGGAGGGCTCTGGAGGAGGAGTGTGTGTGTGTGTTGGAGGGCTCTGGAGGAGTGTGTGTGTGTTGGGGGCTCTGGAGGACTCTGTTGGAGGAATTGAGTGGACTGACTGTAGCGACTGATCTAGTAAAATTAATATTAGTTGTCGTGACAGTATAAATATATAGGACTACATGCCTATTGGTTATTAGAGAAAATTATTATTTGTATAGTAGTAAATAAAGCAAGTTGTTGTGGGTGAGTTTCAACTAACTTTACTAACTTAACCAGCCTAACTTAGATTAAACATAACTAACCTAGACTGAACCAAATCAGTAATAAGGTGTCTGTTACACAAAACCTTATTTTGTATATAACTTATTTAAAGTACTTTTAATTCTAACTATTTTATGAGCCACTTACGTTTACTGATCATGAATACATAAAGTTAATTTTAAAGTTAGATAAAATTGACTTTTGTAAATTGTTAAAATTTGATGACTTGTGTACAGTTTGAGTCGGTTTAAGTGCAGGTGGTCTAGTGGCAGAAGGATATTGTATGTCTAACCTTTATTCTACATAAATAACTAAATATATTGCAGGTGACAGATGATGTACTTGAAGGCCAACATAGAGGAAGTGACAGAACCAACCTTGAGCAAGATGTAACACATGTTAATTCAGCCTCCCCAGTTAAGTTAACTGTCTTTGTATGGTTAACCTAAAAACCACTGAATATAAGAATGAAAACGAGTGACTTGCTTTGTGAGAAGGGTTGGGAAGAAGGAACGTTGGGCAGTGGAGGGGCGCTCGTACGTTGGGCAGTGGAGGGGCGCTCGTACGTTGGGCAGTGGAGGGGCGCTCGTTGGGCAGTGGAGGGCGGGTTGGGCAGTGGAGGGGCCTGTACGTTGGGCAGTGGAGGGCGCTTCAGTGGAGGGGCAATGAGGAACGTTGGGCAGTGGAGGGGCACGTTGGGCAGTGGAGGGGCGCTCGTACGTTGGGCAGTGGAGGGGCGCTCGTACGTTGGGCAGTGGAGGGGCCTCGTACGTTGGGCACTGGAGGGCCCTTGTGCACGGGCGGCGGTGATGTGCTCATACAATGGTTAATAGTGAATGTTACAAATTTATCTGAGTAAAATGGCATGTACTGTGAAGGAATGTTGTGGATGGTGCCTGTGAGAAGACTGCTGCAGCCATAAGAGAGCAGGAAGGCTGGTGCTCACGTGTAAGGTGTTTTAGGAGGGTGCTCAAGTGTATGGGTATATAAGGATGCAAGACATTTTGGGGTAACTGTTGTGTATTGGTAATGATACATACATTAAAGTGATCAAAATTTTATTACAGGTAGTTGTACAAGATCGATGAACCAGATGTGAAAGCAAGATGGCCAGATGACCTCAGCGACTGTTCTGTACTGTCAACCATCCCACACCTTCATGACTACCACCTTAAGCACAAATTTATTTATACAATTAAGAAAAAATATTTAAAAGTACAGTAAAGTAACATTTAAGGACGTAGAAGTAAGCCTCGAGTCAAGCCACACAGATTAAAAAAGGTGGATATATTGTGTAATGGTTGGCACTTGTATCGAGAAAGAATATAATGTTGGCTCTCATTATACAATATATGTTCATAATCAAATAAACACTGAATAAATTTGATATCTTTTATACTCCGATTTAGGAAAAGTAGAATAATAATGATCTAGTAAACTGAAGGTGAAGTATATGGATCCTGTGATGCCAACATGATAGCCTATGTATATTTATCGCTAATGCCCATGTAGTGACCTATTGGGTGTGCAAAATCAAAACTAAACGGATGACCACAGGACTGTACCTACAGATGGCATTGTAATACATCATTTCGGTGTAGTTATAACAAGCTGTACATCACCAAAAATGCATCTTTATGGTGGTGTTAGATAATGACACCTCGGACGAAGGATTTTGACAACCTAAGAGACAACAAGTGTCTGTTCATTTTGAAATTCATCGGCCATGTCCGTAAAGATACGTTTTTGATTCTGTATACATACTATTATTTTGAAAGCAATGTATACATAGTACATGAAAGTAACGTACAGTAGGGATTTTACTTACGGGATGTTGACAATCTGGACACTGCACATCAATTGTTGAATGGAAGTCGGTTTTGTCTAAAATTTAGAAAAAAATCCTTGTAAAATTATTAATTTACTATGTGCAACACACAATGTAAATTAATTTAGTTGTACAAAAAGCTAAAGACTCTGAAATCCAATGGTCATGTTTAAAGTTGTAACATTTTGAAATGAAATAATTTGATATTTTGACCTGAAGTACAGTGGGTGTTGGTTGTACACTGTACAGTGTGTATCTCGCAAAACTGTCCTGGGGCCCAAACTCCAGCCTGGGACAGTTGTGAGAAGGGTGATGAACGGTGTAAACCTAGCAAATACCACACCCCTACCTACCTGCCCACACACCTGCCCAAAGGGTAGTAAATTAACAAGTGAATACTAAATCAGACTTGGTCAATTGGATAAATTTCGAAATACCCCCATACGGGTCTGTACTGTACCTGGTCAAAATTATTCACAAAGTACAAGACTTCCTTTATTAGATTAAACTAAATCTTCAGTAGGACCAAAACCTGTCATAAGATAGACAAAATCATTAAGGTCTAGTGTAATAAACTAACCATAAGCGGAGTCCATTGTGAACGTTGAATCGGGAAATACTCAATATACAGTATTATGTGAAATCGTGATGACGCTTCCATCAATGTATCTGCCGAGAAGAAATAATGGTGGTAATGTGTTTATCTCGAGATAAGAGAAAAATGTTATCTAGTGTGACGTAACCAACCATTGCTAGTTGTGATCTACACTAATACTAGATAATGGTTTTAATAATAGATAACCGTTTACTAGACGTTCAGGTAGTCTTATGTTAAGTACCTAGACAGAGCAGGTATAACAGAACAATAAGGCAATTTGACAAGTTCTTTTGTAATCTTTCTGTATCAAACTTCTGGACTATTATAATAAACTATATACAATTACTTAGTTTTTATGATTTTAAGTATATTAAAAGAAACGACAACTTTCTATTAAAATGTTAAGTATTGTTTAGGAATTTTTTATTTACTCTATCCCACTTCACAGTTCTCCTCCCGGCACCATTTTTGTTGTTTATCGCTGAATCCCTTTCCAAGAGACGTTTCCTTAATGATGGTGAACGCTTCCACGTGTTACTCCTCGCCATTGCTGATGTATATCAACCTCAATATTAATTTAAGTTGTTTAACACGATAATGCATAGATCCTAATAGAACCTGACCTAACAAACCCATAGGTTGGCTATGTTAGGTCAGGTTCTATTAGGTTCCATGCATTGTTTCCATTTGTGTGTTTAATATCATATTATAGTGTGCAGAAAAAATTTCAACCAATTCGGACAATTCCTTCTGGTGGTCACCCTTTTCTGCACCTTTACCAAAAAATAATCCTATTGATAATGGTAAAAAATCTGGGTAATTATAGACAAACCCGCGAGCGAAATTGATTGAAAACAATTCTGAAAACGGGATTTTCATTGTTATATTATAGTGGACACTGTTGTAGTCTGGAAATATGTTAAAAACTGGATACTTTAAAATAAATGCTACTTAACTTTTGCGGGTATGAAGAAAAGACCTACCTAACCTACCTAACTTCCCCGGTATATTAACCAGAAAGAACTTACTATGATATGGTGAAATTTAAGGCATTTTCTGGGCGTGAGATGATACGGCCGCCTCTGCACTCTGCAGCCCTGGCGGGTTAGTCCTATATATTAACCAAAATCTAAAATATCTATTGGGACAAAAACGAATATTAACCTTATTAATTTTTGTCAATTCACCAAATCATCGACGGCAACTAATTATTTCTTACTACAAACACCAATATAAACTACACTAACACCAAGGCAGCATAATATATAAAATGGCGGAGTTTATCTTTGCAATTACCTTTTCATAAAATATCTTCACCTAAATTTCAATTGATGACGGAATAAAACTCTCAGTAACTACTTGTTGGGTTGACAAACTACCATGACGGTAGTTAACCAACTCTCTAACATCACATGTAACTCAATTATGAAAATAAAAATACCAACAATTTACTAACCACAGAAGACAGTAGCGACATAAACTTGTGTTTAATTAACTTAATATAAAAATACTAAAAATTTAATCACCACATAACAGCCAGTCATAACACGGCCTTCCTTCACGGCTCACTCAGGCAAATAGCCTGCTAGTGACGTCACAAAGACTATAATAAGAAAGACGGGAAAGCGTGCACCTGTACCGATAAAAAATGTGAGCCACTGAGCTCCGATCTGTTGGCAACACGGTTAACTAAAAGCCCGGGGCTCGTGAGGGTAGCATGCCCAAGTTTCCACACTAAACCCAGCTTGGTTGGAGGATGAGACTGGGGTTGAAACCTGGCGGATAGGGCATGTCGAGGGGGTGGGCGGACGAGGGCATAGCTGAGGTCATGCTGGGTTCGGTAGGTAACCTGTAGCAACCTGTGAGAGTGAGAAAGAAGAGGGCCTAGGATGGGTGGGTTGAGGATGGTGGGAAGTGGTTGGCCAGAGGGGAAGGGGTAGGGTTGTGGGGGAGTCAGAGAGGTGTGGTGGTACTGTTGTGGGTAAACTTGTTGTGTTAGTGGTGAGGTTAGAGACTGGAGCAGGTTTCAGGGGGGAGAGCAGGCACCCACTTGGAGGGGTGAGGATGTGCTTTCAAGGGGGTTTTGAGTGTGTGTGTGTGGTGAAAGCGTTCAATCAATTAAGGGTGGTACACTTACAATGAAGGTCATAACAAAGTAACATTGAAACCAAGCAACCGTCCAAACGGCCTTTCAATTAATTAAGCCGAAAGGGCGGCAGATTAGTAAGCTGATAAAGAAGGTGAAATGACAAATGCAAACCAATAAAATTTTTCAGCAATAGTGCAGGGTTGCCAAAACTGAGAACAAACACTCCTTATTCATTTAGTGTCACCCATTCACTCATTGAAATATTCCCATAAATTCCAACACTATCGTAAAAAGAATTACTGTATGTATTTGTCATGGTACTTCCTCACCATTCACTTATTGCGAGTTTGGTATTTTAAGTTAGGGAAAATAACCATTACATTTTTTTATTATAATATGGTTTTCATCAGAGTGATACAATTGATTTAGCATACTATAAACTTAAATTCTATTGGTTTTACATACACATTATGTATACAAACTTACAAATAAATATGAGTCCCCAGGCTACAGTACATAATAAAAATCTAGAAAATATTTTTGTCATTTTGTCATTGTATTTAAAATCTAGGATACACACATTTCATTTAATAATATATACGTGTAATTTATATAAAAGACAACTAGAAAGAAGAGATAACAAAGACAGTGTATGGTAGGGAGGTCGAGACGGTGAACACAACATCAGCTGTAAACATCGATCCAGTAGACCCAGATGGACGTCCCCAGCCAGTACTACCCTTGACACACCTCGCCATGACAGTTTTATTACCGTCAAGGTGAATACTAGCCTAGTACTGTACACCACTATGACAACGTGTCCATATCCAAGACTAAGATGTAATTTAATAAGCCAGTAAGATTGAATTAATTACGTGTGGAAGAGCTCTATTCTGTGTATGAATGTTAATTATTTATATTTGGTTTTATTTAATAATATTGATGGAAGATAACTATTAATATGTATTAGAAATAAGAGCTTCGTTATATTACTGAAGTTTTGGTGTTGGAATTTATCACATGTTTGAGGTAAAATTAGCTCAGATAAAGAGGGAGATTGTGAGGTCAAAGTAACAAGAGATGTAGCTTCAGTTTATCTTTCTGTTCTCAATGTCTTATATATTTTTTTCTCCCAAGTTTATGCAATTTTTAGAAATCTGTCTGCAATTAATTATTATGGTTAGATTAAATTGGTAACTGGCTCGACTAGTTAATGAAATATCTCAGTAAAGCTGGCGTAGACCATTAACACCAGAAGTAACTTATGGAATTGAGTATTTTTTTGACAAGTGGACAACCATGGATTTTAACATAGGAAAAACACATTGTTCAACAACCATAAAGCAACAAAACTAACCTAACCTAACAAATGTAACCTAACCTTACAAATGTAACCTAACCTAACAACGTAACATAACCTAGAGGTTCGTTGGTTGTCTACTTGTAAACAAATACCTGGAATTGAACCAAAATTTCTGGAGGTACTATTTGCATGATACTGAACACAAAAATGGAAGCAAGAATGCACAGAAACTATTAGAACCTGACCTAACCTCACCTAACTTTTTAACCTGTGCATTGTCGTTTTAATATTCTTACTATCCAAAACACATCTCTAGAAAAAATGAATGAATGCAATCCAATATAAATCATAAATAAATAAGCCTGGTGAGATTATTGTTTGCTTCTTGATATTTCTACAAAGACCCTGGACACTCCCGCATAGCAGATGATGTAAACCAAAACACGGTTGCTGTGGGTGATCCAACGGTCCCATAATTATGGCAAATATTTTATTTTTTCGCCTACAAAGGATGTAGAGACCTGAAACTACCGTCATATGATCAGTGTTTGGAGTGTTTTTACCCCGCCATTTCCTTCTTCTTTCATGCTCTGCCCACTAACAATTAATTTATGATCCAAGGATAAGCTAAAAAGAAGACATAAACTATAAGTACTACAATTTTGTTGCCTCAATTTTATTACTCATCATCCTTCTAGTGCTAACGGTCTCCTTCACCTTTACCAAAATCTCATTCTTTCATAAATCTCCCATGAATGAGAGAAAAATTACCCTAAACCAGAAATTTTCCTGTTTCTTGTTGAATTTTCTAAATTTTATTTGTGTGGTTGTTAAGGAACAAATCCAAACAGTGGATAATAAACTATAAAAAGCTTGGTGGAAGATAATTAAGAGGAGAAAAGTGATGAAATGTAATACATGTACAGTAAAACTTGTGTACAGTACTGTAGCTAGTGCACATTGAATGGTTCATTCCAGCCAAAATCAGACATAATTTAGTGTTCACAGTTTTTAATTTGCTGGTGCTGAGTAGTGTCTAAGGCAAGTGCAATCCACTTACCACTGTGACCATAAACCTAGCTTTCATTGCAGCAAGAAAAGGCTTAAAAGAATAAAGAAAGAAAAACTGCATGCACAATACAATATACAGTATTTTCCATACATTAGATATGTAAATGTTTTATTTTGTATAATTTCAGGAAATAAATCAACAATGACAGCTGTGGGATCCCCCCTGATATGGCAGGGGGGGATGGGCGGGGTCACACTCCGCCCTCAACCCCGTCTAGATGTGAAATGGCTGAAGTCAGATCTACAGAGCCTCCTACAGCCGGACAATCTGCCTTCATTATACAACCAAATGGTTAAAGATGGAGAAGTTGCAGGACCTCATGTTGAAGGCATCCTTAACTCTGCTGGAGTTACTGCCAGGAAAGGTACTGTACTCATGCAGTTGTCCCTCTTCATACACACATCAGTGTACCTGTTACTGTACCTTCTTTGTATCTATTGAAGATTCCTCCCAGCTTACACCAGGAGATTAACCACCCTCATGTTAACCTAACCTGATCCCCCAGGTAGCATTAGAGTGGTTAATTTTTAGGTAATCTTCCTGCCCTCATCTGTATTACAACTCAGTTCATCATGATTTGTTACAATTAGTGACTCTGGACTGGATAGCAGAGTCTGTAATCCCAGAGTAAGTGATCTGCTTTTATGCGAGTTAGACTTATGGAAAACAAAATTTTACTGATAAACCAAATTTTCTCACTTTTCAATCTGCTCTTTACAGGTGAGAGTGGACACTACTATTGCAGTATGCGAGTATTGACTTGTCCCTGCTGTGATGGTATATGTGGGCCACAAAGTGGATGCAACTGTGGGCCTTGTCAAAAGCTTGATCGGGAGGAAGCTGAACGAGAACTTGAAAGTGGACAAGGTGCATCACCTCCTTCGTCATCCCTCCTTGATGGCTGGACGTGGGGACCACAACCACAAGGAAATGGTTTGAAGAAATGTCTCGATGCACTTGTCAAGGAACAGCGTCTGATGTGTTTAGAAGCAGCGTCCACAACACTTTCTGCTAGTCGTCTTCAACAGCGCTTTATGGTGGCTCATAGGTATCTTAACAATGTTTGCTGTCGTGTTATTATTGGGAATTGTTTAGGTGACATATAGAAAATTCACTACATTTGTTCCAATGTTCCTGCTACATTCACATATAGTACTTGTATATCTGTTGAATGTAAAGTTAAGAATTAGACAGAACTCTTTGGTTAAGCTATTTTGTAATAAAGAAAAAATAGAAATAATTAGATACACAGGAACAGTAATTTAAAATATAATTCCATTGGTCACCAGACATGTTGGGAGATGGTGGGGAAAATTATTTTGAATTCTGTGTACACTGTTGCTTATATGGTTCATATGGTACCCCTCCCACCTCCTCCCTGATTTACCATCCTAAAAGTAATTTAATAAGAATTAAGACATAGTAGTGTGGTTATCCAATTATTGTCAACTTGCCCCAGTGAGTTGAATATGTTTATCCCTTATCTTTTTGCTGCAAACTGAACTTGAGTCTGGTTTCAAAGGGCTGATCCTGTACAGTATGAGGTAAAGTCTGGGTACAGGAGGTTTTAGTGTACAGTACAGTACTGTTGAATGATTCTGAGAGAGTGATTCATTATTGATATGTGTCTTTGTTTACAGATATCTTGTTGCCCTAAAGCGAGCCAGACCACCAGAAACGAAGCCCGGTGAGCCAGTGGGCAAGAAAAAACCTCAGACAGCAAATGTCTGGGGTGAAGGAAGGGTTGGCAGAGGGGCCGGGGCAGAACGGGCAACTCTTGGATTGGCTCGAGTTGGATCAAGAGCCGCACTCAACTTTGCCTTTGCCTTTCTCAGAAGGGCATGGAGGTCAGGGGAAGATGCTGACCTCTGCACAGAATTATTGCAAGTAAGTTATGATGGTTTTTCAGAACTACTGCTTGATTTTTATATCATCTTTTGGTGTTTCAGTTGATATTTACTGTCTGTCTCCGACTCTTCTCTGTAGATGTTTATCTTCTACATCCATGGATGACTGATTAAAGGATTGAAATTATGCTGTCAAGAATACAGTACATTTCATATGATTTTACTGCTCTAGTATTATGTCAGTGATTATGTTTTTGAGAGTATGAATATTAATCTCCAAATAACTATTTTTCCTTCAGGAATCCCTTGAAGCTTTAGAAACATTACCTGAAGCAACATTGTTTGATGAGTCTACTGTCTCATCCGTCTGGCTCGATGTTGTTGAAAGATCACAAAAGTTCCTCACCTCTGTTGTTCTCAGCCAAGTACCTGGAGGTAAGTTGGCGGGTGAAGGTCAAGAAATTTAATTCTCCACTTTAGCCCTATACTCTACCATGCCATATGCATATTCTACCTTATTACTCTACTTGTATATTCTCTCCTCATCATTATTTTGCTCTTGTTCCTCCTATTCTTTCCTTTAACTTACCTCTACAGTCACATGATTTTTGTACGTATAGGGAATGAAAATGAATCCATCTCAAGTGTCTGCAGAAGATGACACTATGATATCTTCCTCGAACAGGGACAGGCGGGAGCAGTGTGACACGTGTGCCGCTTGGTGATCGTCACATGGCACTTTCTCTCCTACTTCACCTGGCACTTCAGCGAGCTACTTTGTCAACCCTGCTAACTGTTATTACTCTGCTGCTGCAACTGTGGGACTCTGGCAGGAATCAGGTAGAAATTATTTTTTCTTCATATGGTGTACAGTAGTTTGTTGTTCTTTCTAACTAGTATCTTAGTCCAGTAATGGTTATATGGTAGCAAAAGAAACACAGGGTCAGATAGACAGCTTTACTTCTGAAAAAGTCCTTTGTGACTGAGGTATTCAGATCTCGCAGTATGTATTGTATTTGTCATAGGACTTGTTTTTATTATTTTTTAGGTGGATAATCGTGTGAGCAGCCATGGAACCAGTGCTCCACTCTTGCCAGTACTGCATAGGTTTGGTGCCATTCCTCTCCTCAAGACTCAGTCATCCTCTACCATCTGGGATGAAAATACTCCTATAGAAGTATGCAAACGTTTATTTCTTTTATTTTGTGTGTCCTTGGTGATAAGTAAATCGCACAGAAAAATAGAATTATGCTTATACTATTTTCAAGACATTTTTCATTGACAATTTTCATCGTTTTTGTAATTACAGTAGGCTCTCGCCAATAACGACTTCCACAATAACTTTTTCGACAATAACGGTAAGTTACAATAGATACCCATTTTCGATAATAACGTCTGGATTCTCTTGAATAACGGAAATTTCGCGGGAAGCATCCGAGCGCATCAATGATAGCATTTGTTTGCCGCCATGTTGACTGACGTAGTTGTCCACTCCGCCTCACTCTCACAAACGCTCAGTGGAATACAACGCTGCGCCCACGTGTGAGATTTTCGCCACTATAACCAGTGGTTGTTAGGGTCGGTGATCAATAATGGCTTCCGCATTTTTGCCTGTGGGGGCTTGGGGAGGTGGTGGAGGGAGTGATTTGCCACCTGAATGACTGGGAACTTTTAAAGTGAGGAAATTGAACTGTCCTGAGTCTACAGTGCGAAATATTAAGAGGAACTTAGAGGAGACCAAGAAGAGTATTGTGCTGGCTAAAAATATTTCGGTAGTGATGGAAATGCGAGGCGAGCTATGAATGATAAAGGCGATAGAAACAGGTTGTTAGTGATAGCAGAGCATTTTCTCGTGAAATGGTTAGCCTGTAGAATAAAAGACAAGGCAAGTGTTAGCGGCCCTCAGATACGGAACAATCATCACACCAAGCACCTCAAAAACTTAGTGTTATGTTACTCAAACTCTTTATTTTGATGATTGAATAGCAATTCTTTTTATTTCAGCTAACAAAAAGTGTTAGGAGGGCTTCATGGGGAAAAAATGGGTGAAATTCTTGTGGCAGCGGCACCAATAAACCCTTTTTACATGTATTTTAATGTCACACAAATAACGTTTTCACTAATAATGGTGTTTTTCAGGCACCTATTAAACGTTATTGGTGAGAGCCTACTGTATGATTTTTACATCTGAGAGTGAAAGAAATACTATTGTAAAAAAGCATCATTATAGATAAATTACTACTTTACCCAACAGGTGAGCCCAACAGAATGCCTCCTTCGTTATCTAGAGTTGCCTGAGGATGAGGACGTGAGTGTAGACCTGGAACAAGCTGCAGTCATCCTCCTGTGCCATCTTGATCGTTTGGCAGCTCCTCACACTCCTCCACTTCATACACCACATGGCAGACCCACACAAGGCCAGGAGGTGAAGTTATTCTTTTGTAATAATGAAATACCTGTATGAATTTGAAGCCCCTACCAGAGTGGTATACAAGAACTTTATTGTTAATAATGGGCACAAAGATAGTCACTTTACCATGTCCAGTTCTGATACTAAATCATCCCATTGTTCTTTGAGTTTGGCACTGAAAAAGTGTGAAAGTTTGTGTAGTAGATCTTTTTATGCCCTGATAGTTGTAGTAGCTGTATGGTACATACAGTATTGCAATATGGGTCATGTTTGAAAAAAAAAAAGTCTGAAACTTTGACTTTCTCAAAATATATGATATGGTCAATGGGCTTACTTTGTGAAATTGACTAATACAGTTTCCATAAAAGAAACAATAACTTTGTAAGAAAACATTTTAGAAGGATTGTTAATGTGCATACTGTATTACAACAAGGATCATATCAGGTGATTTCATAATGTATAAATTTGAGGAAATGGTTATTAAGAATTTAGAGTAGTTTTAATTTCTTAAAGATGGTTGAGGTGTGTGTGAATTGATGATAACCTTCATGAGGCCATTAGTGATGAAGATGACTTTTTCTTCAGGGTCACCTTATTTTACAAGCAAGATCTTTTTATATTCATGAAATATTGTAACAATTAAAAATGTTAAAACATAAAGGATTATTTTCAAGACCTCTTCTTAAGTAAGTGAAAATGGATGATAATGTAATTACTGTATTGCGAAGTAATTTTTTCCCAAGTGTTCTTTCTTGCCATCAACAGGTTTTGTCATGGGGATGGCTGGCTTGGTCTGGAGTCTCCAGTCATTCTCGACCTCTCAACTACTGTGACTCTTTGGCAGAGTTGGGCATCAAGTCATTAGCATGTGCTGAGCGCTGCCTACTTATCCTCACACAGAAGGGCACCATGTATAGTTTGTACTATAACTCAGAGGCTCCATGCCCTCAACCAGTCCCAGGCCAACCAGAAGAGGAGATGGTTAATATTGCTGCACACCCTGATGGAAAGCATTATTTGGCCCTCACTACTGGTGGTCAGGTAAGTTTATCATCGAGTAAATATGTTTTCTGGCCGTGATGTTCTGGAGGGGCAGTCATGTCATGTAATAAGAAATGTTTTAATAACTATATCCACAAGTTTCTAAAGTACTTAATCTTATGCTCTTCTCCTTGACTACTAATTTTTATTATATTGTTGTAACATTGATATTATTATTGCATCCTGAAGGTATACTCCTGGGGCAATGGAGATGGTGGCCGCCTCGGGCATGGTGACAGTAGCTCTAGGGAAGCACCAACTCTTGTGCAAGAACTGCAAGGAAAAACAATAGTGTCCATTGCTTGTGGATCAACCTACAGTGCTGCCATCTCCAACCAAGGAGAATTGTATACATGGGGTCGAGGAAACTATGGCAGGCTCGGCCATGGATCCTCAGATGACCACAGCACACCCACACTAGTCACAGCTTTAAAAGGTATTAATGTAGGGACTAAGGATTCACTTTTACTTGCAATTGGAGGATATGAGGAAGTACGGTATGCGAGGATAATTGTATTTTATCTTGGTTCTTCTTTCATTTTCTTGTCTTAAACTACAGGCATCCCCCCCGTTACGGAAGCCCAGGTCACGGAATTTCGCTCTTACGGAATTTGTAAATTATGACCAATAATTTCGCGTTACGGCCCGTAAATCCGCCCTTACGGAAATTTGGGTAAATTTTAACAATTTAAAAAAAATTTCTATATAAAATTATAATTTTTTATTAAAATTGATAATTTGTTTTGTGTGGATTTCGTGGTGTTTGCTACCGCCAAGCGTGGTGTCGCCATGTGGAGTCACTCCGTTGTTTACATCCAGTGTGCGCGCATGTTTCGCGCCCCAGCAGTTTGATTTAACTTTTACAAACATACCGTAAGTACAGTACAGTGCATTACCCTTATTCAAGATGACTGGAAAGAGACCATCAAGTGGAAGTGACCGCAGTAGTGCAAAAAGAAGCCACAAAGGCATTACATTGGATATTAAACTTGACGTTTTAAGAAGGTTTGATGCTGGAGAAAACTTACCCAGATTGCAAAAACATTAAGTCTTGCTACTTCAACAGTGGGAATAATCTGGGATAATAAGGACAATATTAGGTCAAGTGCTCAAGCTGCTACTCCATTAACTGCTCGAACCATGTGTTTTCATCGAAGTGATGTGATGTTGAATATGGAACGACTCCTGAGTGTCTGGATTGAAGATCAGACTAAACGCAATGTGCCACTAAACACTATGGTTATTGAACAGAAAGCCATCAGTTTATATAATGATTTGCAGGAAGAGGAAGGTGCATCTTCTGAGGTTGAACCTTTTCTGGCTAGTAAAGGCTGGTTTGAAAGGTTTAAGAAGTGCCTTAAATTACACAACATAAAAATGAGTGGTGAAGCTGCCAGTGCTGATACAGATTCTGCTAAGAAATATCCTGCTGAGCTGAAGAAAATTATTGATGAAGGAGGTTACACACCAGAACAAGTGTACAATGTTGATGAAACTGGGCTTTTCTGGAAGTGCATGCCTGCTTGAACTTTTATTTCCACTGAAGAAAAATCAGCACCAGGCTTTAAAGCATCCAAAGATCGTCTAACACTTCTTGTGGGAGGAAATGCTTCAGGTGACATGAAATTAAAGCCCCTACTTGTGTATCACTCAGAAAATCCAAGGGCTTTCAAGGGCTATGCCAAGTCTAATCTACCTGTGATTTTGTATTCCAATAAGAAGGCTTGGATGACTATGACCTTTTTCCAAGACTGGTTCACTAACTTTTTTTGCCTTGCTGTTGAAAGATATAATGCCAGGCGTAACATATCTAATAAAGCATTGCTCCTCTTAGACAATGCACCAAGCCACCCAGTCAATTTAAATGATCTTTCTGATAATGTGAGAGTGGAGTACATCCCCAAGAACACAACTTCCTTGCTCCAGCCAATGGATCAAGGTGTGATAGCTAACTTTAAGGCATATTATCTTAAGAAATCTTTTTTGCAGCTCATAAAAGCAATTGATGGGGAGGGTAAACCTACAATTAGGGACTTCTGGAAAAAGTTCAACATCTTGGATGCTGTGGATAATATAGCCAAGTCATGGGATGAAGCGAAAACCTCAGCTATGAAGGGTTCATGGAAAAACATATGGCCAGAGTGTGTCCATGAATTTCAAGGTTTTTCACAAGATGAAAGTTTACAGCAAGTTCAACAAGACATTGTGACGCTTGCAAATAATGTAGGCTTTGAAAAAGTCATAGAAAATGATGTGGTTGAGTTGCTAAGAGTCCCATAGAGAAGATTTGACTAATGAAGATCTGATGATGTTGGAACAAGAGCGAGCTGCAGGACAAGAAGAGGATATAGAATCTCCACCCACCCCACTGCAGTTGACAACAAAGGATATGTCTAAAGCGTTTGCACTAATACAGGAAGGTCTGCAAATCTTTGCTGATTACGAGCCCAACCGTAAAAGAAACATCAAGATTGCAAGAGCAGTTAACAATGCTCTCAGTTCCTACACCGAGCTGTACAAGGAGAAGGTGCGCTGTAAACGTCAAACAACATTGGCTGAGCTATTCACCCTCAGAGAAAAGCCAAAAGCAGATGATGATGTACAGGGCAGGGCAGAAGAGAGTAGTGCCTTTCCCTCCCAATAACTCCCTTTGCACCACCTATCCTCACACAGCAGTCAACACCTTTTGTGGTGAGAACAGTACAATATTTTTATTTATTCAACTGTATTTCTCTTCATGTTACATGTATCTCATAAATTATTAATGTACTGTATTGTTTGTGTTTATAAATGTCTATTTTCATTCATAAAAGTGCTTGAATTACGTTTTTGGGGCCGAAAAAAATTCCGTAGGAATGCATCTCCAGTTTTATAATGGAAGTCAATGGGAAAATACAGTAAATTGTCCAGGAACGGAACCCTTCCGTAACGCGGGGATGCCTGTACTCATATGTATATTCTTCGTTGAACCTATCACACAACAACAGGAGAAGTGTGACAAAAATAATGAGATAGATAGTACAGTATTTATATTGTGTTCCCTCTCTGTGCAGTGTGATCATAAGTACAGGCAATCACTTTTGTAATCTTAATAGAGTTAGTGATGTGACTTAGGGGATATTATAACCTTTTGACCACCATTAATTGAGGATTGAGATTATTTTACCTTAAACATGGTAAGAAGAAAGGCAGGTTAGGGGGACCACTGAATAGGCACAATTAGCCAGAGAAAACTGCCAAATTAAAATTTTAGCGGAATGTTGGTGTGAAACAGACTTCATGCTTTATCCCCCCATATTATCTCTTGACCCCTTATCCTTGTTATGTTTTATTAGCCAACACTTTTCTGTTGGAATGAAAATACCAAGGAAATTTGTAGCAAGGTGCAGTATTTACCTGATAATGAAAAGTCACACCGATTATAATGATACAGAACAACTTGTTATTTTAAGCTCGATTTATTTCAGCTGAACGAGTCCTTGACGTCGCTTGTGGCAGTGGAGACGCCCAGACAATTGCCGTGACGGACTCTGGTAACGTCTACTCCTGGGGTGACGGAGATTATGGCAAGCTCGGACGGGGAGGGTCAGATGGCTCCAAAGTTCCAAAATTGGTGGACAAACTGCAGGTTAGTACAGTACAGTAAAAGATCTCTATGATCATCTCTTGAGTAAATGATGGAAGAGATGACTGGAGGAGGTTATGTGGAAGGGAAGGAAGCAAAGAAAACAGTATGACCTGCTTCAGACTACAGAGGAGATTATAAAAGAATTAATCTGCCATATAAGAGAAATTTTTTTTATAAAATGTCAAAGGAAGTTACTAGGTTGTCATTTGTGGTTTCAATATTGTTTTTTTTTTCTCAGGGTCAGGAGATTTGTCGAGTGTTCTGCGGTGCTCAGTTTTCTGTGGCTTTGAGCAAAACTGGGTCCCTCTTTACCTGGGGAAAAGGTGACAACCACCGTCTCGGCCACAGCAGCGAAGAACACGTACGCTATCCAAAACAAGTCAAAGCTTTAACAGGTATGGTTGTTATTGTATAATATGGACACGAAGTAGTACCTTAAGCTGTGTATTCTTATATTACTCTATTAATTATGTATAGTAAAGTATTACAGAACATGTATTAATCCTATGTAATATTTCCACTTATTGTGCACCATGTTATGTATGTGAATTATCATATTTACATATTATGTATTCAGCTTGTGAATGCTGGCATCTGTACATGCCAGCGCGGAGTGATACAGAGAGTTGAGATCGCTAGTCCTTATGGTGTGGAAGCCGACTGTCTATTAGTCCCTCTGTATATCTCCCGTACGAGAATAAGAACCTATTTTCAAGATAACAAGTGTTTGTGTATACCCTCAGTAGTGTAGAACATTTTGGGGGTATCAAAGACAAACATAGAGTTATAAATTTGTTTTCCATCTTTTTTAGTTTTTAGAGAAAGTAAGTTAATTGTATCTCATTGTAATACATAATGTAGGTTGTAAAAATGTATTCCCATAATATTTTTAAAAATTTTGGTGAGCAGTAAATGGATCATTGGGCCAAGATTAGATGCATTACAGTATACAGCTTTGTATTTTTAATTTTCAAGTCAAATTCAGAAATGACTTTTCTGTTCACAGATGACAAAGTTGTTATTCTTCTTTGAATACGAAAAATTTCGGTTGTAACAAATATGGTTTTGATAAGTAACCTGAAATTGGGTTGAGCTTAACCACATCTCAAAGATGAGTCTGATATTACTTGTTATGGGTTTGTTTTTTCTATAGCTTTATGCTTTTATGAAACAGACGAATACATTTCTTATTGTTGCAGGCAAGAAGGTCCGGGAGGTTGGTATGGGCTGTATGCACGTAGTGACTCTGACGGAGGACGGGGAGGTGTACGTTTGGGGGCGCAATGACCAGGCCCAATTAGGAGACTCCCCACATGTTGCTCTGGCAGAACCAACACTCATGTCATCTCTGCAGGGCAAGAATATCATTGGAATAGCCTGTGGCCCATCACAAGTAAGTAAAATAAACTTAAATTTTGAACTCTGTATGGTTGTTTCATTAATCAATATTTATGGATTAGAGGAGGAACAATTCTGCTACCACCAGAATCTAGATCCACAATTATATCCTCATATAGTTGAAATATACATCCAGGTAAGTCTTGAGAATAATAGTATTCATATGATGCCTTATGATTTTGCTTTTGAATATGAAAAAAATCTTCATCAGATTTTAAGGAGCAAGGATATGTGGATTATTTTTTATACATTACACCTGTATCCTCATCCTTCATCAAGATGTAACTTATTAGCTCATTGTCATAACTATATACAGTACATGAATAATGCTCTTGGTCAAATACCACTTAAGTGCACCGGTACTGATAATGTTTTTTTTTTTTGTGTCAAACAATTTAATCTTCTTTTATAGATAAGGACAATGTTATAATCAATATTATTTTTTTTTATAAATTTGTATTACCTTTATTTAAATTTTGCAGACTTTTGCATGGAGTACAAAAATGTCGTGGTCTGTTTCCATTCGGATTCCATATGTTGTGGAAGTTTGTGAAGAGACCTTTGTGAGGCTAAATGACCTCTTGGCTCGTGTTGGAGAAGGACTGGCTGATGATCGTATACCATCACAGGAGCAGGAGTGTATGGTAGTGGCAGGGCTCAACCTTCTTAGATTACAGGTAAGTACAGTAACACTTGTCTAGCTTGGACTAATTATGGCACTCTTTCCTACTTGCTTGAGTAACCTACACTTGAGACTTTTCACAAGATGGAGGGAATTGGGAATAGTTAGGTGGTGTCAAGTCAGAAATTAATATACACTATATCTGGAGATACAAATAAGGATAGAATAATAAATTTACAGTAACTCGTGCTATATTTACCTCCAATATTTTCTTTTAGCTTCACTCGGCTGTACAGAATCACACTGATGTTGACACTGTGGCTTTACATGTGGGATCATCACTCTTGGGCAGCCTCAAGCAGAGAGTTGTGAACCTGGCCAGCAGCTCTGGAGTTCTGCCTACAATACAGGTGAGAAGCTTTGCTGAACTTCTTTACAACCCTTTTCTTCTTTGACTTATGTTGCATGGTTTTGGACCAACTTTTTGAAATGTATTTGTGAAATTTTTTACAGTAATGCAATATTTTAAATGTTTCAACAACTACTGTAATGTGACCTGCATCCAGAACAGGAAATTAACCCCCACTCTTGAACAGCAACACCATCCTGGGTCCAACTGCTGGCAGTGTTGTCATAAGCTGTATGTGTAATGTGTCAGTAATTTTTTGGGTGGTAAATATTTTATTTTTATTCCAGGTTGCTGCTCAGGCGACTCTCCAGACAGGCTGGTCTATTTTACTGCCTACAGCAGAAGAAAGGGCAAAAGCACTCTCATCTCTTCTCCCAAGTACAGGTAATAATAGTTTGGAAGCTTTGCTAATGTCAAGTTGGTCATTTATCAGCAATTGAATAATGAATTGGCAGATTATTATATATACAGAGTACACTTGCTCCAAAAAGTGCATTTACGATTTTGTGTTAAACATTATGATACAATGGAGGAAGCATTTTGACAATCCTACCTAGACAGCAGGAGTTACAGTGTTCATTTTGAAATTTATTGGACCTATTCATTAAAATAGTTATTGTTGTGTGTACAGTACATTTATATGATAAGAGTTTGTGCTGTATCTACAAATGTTTAGTTGTTTGTTATTTGTTTGTGTTCTTCATCCCTCAGGATCAGACATCTCCAGCATGAGCTCAGGGCGACGATTCATGATTGATTTACTGGTGTCGAGTTTGATGGCAGATGGTGGTTTGGAAATGGCTCTTGGCGCTGCTATTAAGTGTATGTATTCATGACTATTGGGTATAGTGGCCCAACATGTGTCAGGCACCAGCTCTCTATGTACAGTACATCACTGAATTAAAATGGCAAAGGAGAACAAGCAGTTATATGTAAGGTTGAAATTCAGTATTTATTCAATATTGAAGTAAAAATATATAATTAACAAGTGATGAAAGATTGAGGAGAAGATTTGAAAGTAAGTAATGGTTAGTGATTAAATCTATTGAAGTTAAGAAAGATCAGATACGTACATGAGAGTAAAGGTGAATATTCAAGTCATATGCCAAGTGTGATCAATTCAGTGCTAAGACTATGATATAAATAAACCAATAGATAAAAGTTAGTTTGGAGGTAACATTGAAATGGGTTCGGTTGCATCCATACAAATATTCACTGGGTAGGTTTATTTGTATATACAGTGGTCCCTCAGTTAACGAGCACAATCCGTTCCAGCAGGTTGCTCGTTAACCGAAAAACTCGTTAACCGAAACCATTGTTTCAATGGGTTTTTGGGTAATTGGTTCCAGCTCACCGAAAATTGCCTAAATTCAACAAAAAAGGTAGAAAAGTACACTTACTTTGAGGTGTGTATGTAGAAGGCTCCTGGATGATGATGATGATGATGATGATGGGAATTAGAATGGGGGTGGAGGAGAAGGGAGAAGAGAAGGCATTGGGGTGGAAGAAAAGTCACCCCATGCCACCATTTCACCCAAAATTTTAGTTCTCTTGGTGTAATTCAAGATTATTTTCTTTAAATCAACACTGCACTGCATTATATATTGTCAATATGTAAAATAAATTTCAAAATGACCAATAATTTGCTTGGAAACACAGAAAAAAAGCGTTTAGTTGAAGAGAGTCTCAAGCAAGATGTTACCTCCACTGAAAACAGAGAGACTAACGCCTGTCTGGTGTGTTAACAGGCTGGATGGCACGCCAGAAACTAGTTTCTTTACCTTCAATTATGTTCAATAATTGTTAAAATGACTAAAAAAGTTAATATTAAACTTTTAAAATTATTGAATAGTATAAGCTTCTTGATATTTACTAAAATAGTAAGGAATTTAAGCCCTAAAACCGATTACTGTATTGGCGGACTAATACGCTGGTGGACCGCCAAATGCAAGCGAAAACATGTTGAAGTTGGCTCGTAAAAAACTCGTTAATCGAGGGATTGCTCGTTAACCGAAGTTAAGAATCTTATGGAAGGTAAATCGTTAACCGAAATCTCGTTAACCGAGGCGCTCGTTAACCGAGGGATCACTGTACTGTACTTGTACCATAACAACCTTGCCCATTTCTCTTGTTCTTTGTATTTGTCTTGCATCACCCTCCTCAACCTTTACTTCCTATTCAAGCTATGATATTTTTGTATCCAGGGGATGATAGGTTTCTTGCTTATACTTATATAAAATTTATTTTTATTTTGCCTTATAATGAATTTATTAGATGATATGAGCTGATTATTTTCAATTTTACCTGAATAGATAATATAATGGTTCTCTTACCTGGTCTAGTTGAAGTACAAGAAGCAGAGTGGACCGAGAAGAACAAGGTGGCCCAAAGTAGCACCATCAGCAGCGGCAACAGTGTGTTGGGGGGGTCCAATGTGAGCCCCAGGAAGAATGTGAGGGGTGAGGCTGCCTCTTCTCGCCGCTCTTGTGATAATTCTATGTCAGATGACCAGTCGGCTACTCTCCCTCTCCTGCATCTAGTCCGCCAGCTGTTGAGAAATGCCTCCACTCAGACACTGATGAGACTACAGGTAAGTTTTTATGGTAGCTCTTCTTTTATTTGGTAATAAATAAATTGAGTTAAAAAGTTAATTGAATATTGGAGCAAAATGATGTAATTGTGGGTCTTCAATAATACTTATTTAAAATTTGAATATAGACTAAGTATAGACTTTGAAATAAATCCTACATGTGTTCTTTTCCTCTGAATGGCAGATACAGAGTCTATTGGTACATGGATACAGAGCATTTCATTTCACTATTTATCTGTGATTAGATGACTTCTCAGTAGAAATCTTTAAACTTACTTCCTCTTACAGGCTATTGCTCCTGACAGCATGTCCATGATATCCTCGGCCGTGCTGGTAGATGGACACAATGAGCGAAACGGGGCCCTGATGGGAGGAACTACAGGGACTCAAGGGGAGCTCTCCCCCTCTATACAGTTACTCTTAAGGTTTCAAAGGTTGCTAGTCAGTCAACTGTTCCCTGTGGAGAGCAATGTTAGTCCAAAGCACATTATGCAAGGTAAGAGTACATGAAACTAAATTAAGGTTTATAAATGAAATATATACAGTAGTCACCCTTATCCCACAATGAAATTTGATCCAGACTGGTGTTGATTCCTCTGCATATTTTGCCCTCTTTTGTTGTTTATGTTTTGTAGCTGCTTAACACAATAAGCAAGGTAGCTGGAATGAAGAATGACATTGACTTAGGGAGAGTCTGTGTTGCTCTTTATTCTGGCTACCCTCTACAACAAAACAAATTGGTTTGGCTAAAGATTCCCTTTTATATTGTGTGATGTAAATGAAGACGTGATCAAGTACCAGTATATGCTTCTTACACACACAGTATCTTGCATCACTCTGACCTGTTAATTCCCTCATATCTTTTAAGTTTTATTTACGTTTTGGTTCACTCAACACAGGTGAGGAGGACAGTAAACGTAATATGTTAATTTACCTTTACCGTACAGAGAGTGAGGTTGAGGGAGCAGGTTGGCTACTCAGGAAGTACTTGTCCCTGTTGGTGGGTCATGTCTCTGATACTCTCTCCATTGCCACCTCCCTGGCCACCATCAACACCCGCCTCACTGCTCTCACCTGTACCATCCTGCAGAGAGACATAACAGGTAAAGTTCTTTGTTTTTACTATGGAATAACAATTGATTTAAATTTTTGACCCTGCATGGAAGAAAACTATAGAATGATTGTAAAACCTGTTTAATATTTGGCAATGGAGGATGAATATTTGAGAATTGATAGATTTCTGTGGACAGGTATTTAACTTTAGTTGTATATTTTGTAACCATTCATGTAGTTGTCCATACACTTACAAATCCCAACGACCACACATCACTGTTAACATAGTGATTAGGGTTATATGTATTAAAAGAATTACAATATCCCATTAGTTTTAAGACTAAATAAATGGATGAAAGGTAGATAAAATGCTTAACTTTTTTTTTTTTTTTTTTTATATGATCAGGTCTTCTGCTGAGTGAGCTCTTCATTTCCCTGCTGGTGGTGTCAGTGCACAACCCCAATGTCGTCCTGTCATGTGACCTTATCTCACCTCTGTTAAGTCTCTTGGAGCCTCTCGACCGCTTCAATCAACTTGCTCCCGGGGCCGACAGAGAAGATACAGAAGATATGGCTTGGCCGGGAATAATTGGTTTGTATTTTTTTTTTGTGCTGTTTGAATAAGATTACCTCATGTTTTGTACCTATTCATTTTGTGTACCACTTTCTTATGTTTGTACAGTACAGTACAATAATACAGTAATACTAATAATTATTCAGTAACATTGTCATACTGGTTTACAATTAGATAGACTGTACCATATATAAATTATGTAGGTATACAGTTGAGCATGAATATAGACACTATAGGTATATGGTGTATGTAGGCCGTGTGAATATACCGTCTCCTGTGTGCTGAGACAGTGCAGGTATACAACAATGGTAAACAGTAAGACAATTTGACCAAGGATAACCGACAAAACTGTCACATGCTAAATTCCAGGATGGCCCTTTGCTTTGTTATTAGATTATGAAAGATATTATTTTATTTATTTTTGTTTCTTCAGTGAACACCATCAAACAGACTGAAGAAATGCCAGTAATTCGTAAAGCTGATCTAGAGAACCACAACAAGGATGGAGGTCTCTGGATTGTAGTCAACGGGAAAGTGTACGATGTTCAGGAATTTAGGTGAGCTGGACATTTATATACTAATGTTTGTGTATATTTACTGCTACAATAAAACATAATTGACTCAATATAATTAGTGTCTTTCTTGAAATAAATAGTTAATAACCTGTAATAATCTCAAATGCCCCTCATGCTGTTATAGAAGCTGTGCTGGTGGTTAGGGGAGTCAAATTACAAGTGAACACATTTGAGTGAAGCTTTTTTTATATTGTATTGATTATGTTTACAAGAGGAAGAAGATGTTGTTGAATGGATTGGATGCTGATAAAAGGTTTCCTCAATGTCCATGATGACTTAGATACTGTGTGACTGTGATTTTATATTTCTCCTCAGTCACCCATACTCACTCTTATCAATGCCTCATCCATATGTATAATGGATATCAACAACTCGACAACCTCACACACACACACACAGATGACACTTAATCAATACAAAGTCTATTTTCACCTTATAAAAAGAGTCTACAGTAAGTTATATATTATCCTTGGTATCTCAACAGATCAACAGCTCCGTGTGGTAGTGATATCTTACAGTATTATGCTGGTCAGGATGCCACTCAGGTCTGGGAAATGGCTAATCACTCAGCCCGGGCCAAGGAAATGATGGGTAGTTATTTTGTCGGTAACTACATGGACCCCGAGCTGGAGGTGGTTCAGGTAAGGCTGTGGTGGTGGTGAAGTTGTGTTATATATCATATGTGTGTGTTTATAAAAGAGACCCCTCCCTTCCTTCCTTCCTTCCTTCCTTCCTTCCTTCCTTCCTAAGTTCTATCAACATCTGCTTCCTGGTACTAAAACATGTGAGTCTCTGGTGCTCCTGTTTTAGACCAGCCTGCATCATAAGGACTTCCAAGAGTAAAGAAAAAAATATGTAAAAAGATGTAAGATTTTTTTCCTCCCTCCTCCCTCCAGTTTGTCTAATAATGTTAGGTAACTGTTTATGTAATTGAAAAAGTCTCCTGGAAAGCCACCTTTAACACACATCACATAATCCTCAGTGCACCAACATTGGCAACCCTCTCGTGTTGTTTTTTGACTATCTTTTATTATTCCTTATGTCTGTTCTTGTGTTTTCCAACCTTTATAAGTAAGTCTAATGAATGGCCTGGTTTACCTTATTCACAAACTCACCACATTACTGAGATTATTATTATTATTTTTTTTTAACCTTTTGCAGGTTTTAGATGCAAGTACCCTTTCCTCACCATTGGTAGACACCGAGAGGGCTCTAGCAATGTTGGTGGGAGTGTATGCCAGCTGCCTTGCTCGTGGTCAGCCGGCAACACCTTGGGAACTTGGACACGAAAAGTGGATATCAGCTGAGTTCATGAGGGCTGGGTGTCAGGTACGCTATGAATGAATGTATTTAATATTCCTACTTTGACACTGGTAATATTTAATTACTTATATAAGAAGAATGTTGAAAAAAATTAATTGATGTTCTTGTAAGATAGCTTCATGCAAAATAGAAAAAGACTTTGACCAGGTAATCTGAGTGTTGATATGATCCTGTTTTTGATAACACAGACAGTTCAGCCACCTGACCCATATGACGAGGAGAAGGGAGAAGCAAGAACTGGATCCTCGGCCACCACTCCAGGTTCTGTCACAACTCCTGGAGATGTAAGACTACCCCGTCCAGTTGATCCTCTCTCACACAAGAAATCAAGAACACAGGGACCAAATTCAAGTCCTCAGGTGGAGATTGAGTCATACTTCTCAAATATGGCTGATTATTTCTTGTCGGCCTTGATGGAAGGAAAAACACAGGTACAGTAGTTATTTCAATGTTTCATTTACTAAAAATACAAAACAGGAAAGTACAATAATAGAAAAATTTGCTGATGTGTGAATAGGTTGTAAATTGGATGTGCCTGGTTAAACTGCTTCTAACCTGGTGAAATGAATACTGTGTAAGGAGAAAAATGAAGAGGCTTAGGAATATTAGCCATCATAGGTCTGTAATGATATGGCAGGTGTAGCCAGACACTTGAGATGAATTTTATGAAAAGTGAATGTTTGTAAAGTTTAAGGAATAAGTAGATTGTTAGCAACATGACTGTAGGGGATGGTTGAGGAAGACTAGTGTTGTAATAGTAAGGTAGTGTGTGAAATGTATTAAATGCAGAGATTATACTCTAGTGCACAGAGGAAGTATTGCATGAATCACCTCAAAGAGTTTTAGCCAGGGTCCTGAGGCCATTTTTTTGCAGAAGATTTAATTTTTCATGAGATTTTCACTTGTTTCCATTCAAATAATGAAAAATGTAGCTTGAATACAGATCATAAAAATCTCTTTGAAGTGTTAACATAATAAGTTTTCAAATTTTGTCTTTCAGGATCCGTACGTCCAGATGTTTCTCTCGGTGAGTGATCGGGAAATACGTCACTTAGGACGGCACTCTCTGCACACCAATTTTTCTCTGGATCACCCAATAGAAGAAGCTGGGCGTCTTATGTCTGCAACTCTCCTGCGTCACACACATCTCACACCTCAGCTAATTGAGGTTCTTGAGCAAGGTGAGATTACATGATGTCAGGGAGAGACTGTTCTTCCTCTCAAATATCTTCTCAAAGTTTTAATAATTATAATAGTGTCTTTATTTAATCTATCTTTCTTTGGGGAGACATCCTGTAAGATAAGACATGTTCACATAATAGTGGGACCTGTGAATATGATGATTATAAGCTCTAAGCAACCTGTAGCAGATGATGATAAATTCTAAGTAGTACAGTATACTCTAACAAACAGCTCTGCAGCACCATTAAATACATGACAAAAATGTTTACCCTGTAGGCCTGGCCCTGAGTGCAGATGACAGCCATGGTTGGGAAACAACCTTAGAGTTGCCTCGAGGCTTGCAGGAACTCATCCGTCACGTCCACAACACAAAGTGGCTGTTAATTAGAAGAAGACAAGAACTCACTCGATCTTACAAGGAGGTGTGTGCCCCAGTGATGGAAAGATGCAGGTGAGTAAAAGAGAACATGAAGTATCAAACTAGTGAAGTGGAAACTTTATGTATCATCGAGTTGTTACAATATGTTGGGACCAGATTATTGACTAGCCTTTAGAGATAGTACATACTCAATGGATTGGGTTTTGATCCCTTCATTATTTTTATGCAGGGAGTTTCATGTGGACAGACCACCTGATCTGAAATTTCAAATGCCATAGTAAAATTCTTTTCCACCATCCTTCACAGTTCATAGATACGTACAGCAAAATTTTATGTGTTCATTGCATTTTGATGATAAAAAAGGATATTGTACTCACTTCTTTACTGAAATTTACTTAGTACAGTATCAGCGGTCATGTTCTTATATTGAGTAATAACGTATGACAGATTGTGTCCTTTAAGTACAGTACTTTTACTGTGACAAAAGTAAAATATCTATACAGTTCTATATTGGTATTGGAAAATTGAATTTATACTTAAATCTTTTATCTTAATTTTCACCTCAGGTTTGTCTTTTATGAAGTTCGCCCTGCCAGCTGTGGAGAGGTTGAGGCCTTAGATAAGTTTGCTGTGCGTGGCATGTCAAGGTGGAGAAAAGCTACTCAGTTACTTCGTCTGCGGTCCAATGACACCACAGCCACAACTCAGGAGAAGGATGAACCGCAGGTGAATCTGTGTGTACCTGTTGTCAGCTGCTTCAACTGTTAAGAGTATGGATACATGGCAGGAACATGGGAGTGGGCAGAAATTTTGTCACCAGACAATTCACCACCAGTCCATTGAATATCGTTTTATATTCTTTATATTTAGATAATATTGTTTTTATTTTGGAGATGATAAAGCCCTGGCTAGGTTAGGTTAAAATATGTTTATACTGAACCGGTGACAAAATGTATTAAAACTGAATGTGGGATATCTGATCTAAGAAGAGGTAAGGAAATATGAAGGCATAGAAGAAAACTGCTTTCAGGATGATGAGAATCATTGTCAAAATATGTAAATTCTTTGCTCATTAGTTTTAGGTGTTAATTTTTAGCTTCTCTGCACTACATGTAGAAGAGCTTATGGCTTACCCTCATTGTCATTGTACTTTTATACAGTATTTAACTTGTGTTGTATAAAGTGGCAGGGATAGACTAGCTTTAGGGTCATGTGGAAGGGCAGTACCATGGCAGGACACATCTCTTGTCGTAATAACAATAAAGTAACGACACTGAATGGAATGGAAAATGTATGTGTGTTTGCTCTTGTTTCTGGCCACTTTGCATTTAGTGGAAAAAGACTTCAAAGAGTAAACAAAAAATATTGAAATGTTCAGCTCGTGATTAATGTTTTGTTTTTTGTTTTTTTAAAGGGTTCCAAGGAAGCAAGTGGTTCCATTGAAGATATCAGCATCAGTACTGGCAGTAATAGCAACAGCGAAGACAGAATTAATGGCCCTGGCGGCTGTGACGATGTTAGAAGTGGGCTCTTGGACAAACAAGAGGATTTGTGTAAGGACTTGACTGAACCCACCACCGACCTGAGTCACCTGTCTGAGGTCACCATGGACGACAACATGAAACTCGATGGGGACATGGACGCTCTAGAAAAGGAATTGAAGATTACTGCAGATACTAAAAAACAGCAAGGTGAAGGGAAGAAGGCATCTGTAAGTCTAAACCTGAAGAGATCTCCATCACCATCAGGAGCCACACGCTCGCCCTCCAGACCCTCCTCCCGTAAGTTATAGAAACGTTTAGTGTGGAGTGATGTGTAGTTGAAGGAGGTTGTTGAGGATAAGATGGAAGACTGACACAGTATTATGGTGTCATTACCTGTCTGCCACATAATATTCTGCACACACACACAACACACACACACACACACACACACACACACACACACACACACACACACACACACACACGTTATACTGTATTATGACATGGCATAACATTGATATTTTGATGAGACTTTGTGAATCTGTCAATTTAAGTCAAGCCTACAGGTTAAAAGGTCAAATGTGGCAGTGCCGTTACGGTATATTGAGGTATGACTCTTGTTAATTCTTCTTATTGCATTAAATCTGAATTATGATGAGGTTATTCCAACAGTTCTGACACCAACTGCTCCACCTCCTACCGCAAAAATTGTGGAAATCGCAACAAAAGTCATCGAATTTGTTTGTTCCGAAGAAAGCATTAATATTGAAGCCATGCGCAAAGCTTTCTTCACCCAGGTCAGTAATAGTGGTTCTCCTTTAGTAGTGTAGTGTAAGTAAGAGTGAACCAAATTAGAACTTTTTTTTTTTCATCTTTATATTGAACTCGGACATTCTGAAAGATAATTGGGATCACCTCAGGAGTCTCAACTCAATTTTATTTGACCTAAAGAATAACCACCCTAACATTAACCTAACCTAACCACCTTAATACTATATAGGGGGGTGAGGTTAGGCTGGGTTTGGATAGGATAGGTTAGGTTACTTTAAGGGTGGTTAATATTTAGGTGAAATAAAACTGCATTGGAGTTAGCTTAGGTGATTTGGTAATTTTATTTAGTGGGTTCTCACAGTGGCAATGATCCGCTTTTCAGATGGAGAGAGCAGAGATGCGATTGCGTGGTATTGAAATGTTCCTTGGCTTAGTTCAGAAGAGCAACTTCTTGCCATCTGTAAGGCTCACTGTCATCAACGGATGGCTCGGACTGTTGCCATTTGCCCCCAAAAATACGTAAGTAAAACTCTCAAAGTAACGAGCTATGTTCGTTCACGTACAGTAAACCCTCGATAACTGTGAGTATACGAGGCTCTAACCATTCTGATTTATCAAGGGTTTGCTGTTATTTTTATGTGTATGTGGTATGATACAGTATTGGGGATGCATCTTTGGTCAGATAAAGAAGTTTGCTATTCAGGGGTTCTTGCCTTGAGCAATACATTGCATTCATTGATGGTGCCTAGTTCATTACATATACTGTACTTTACTTATATTTTGGTATGTTTTGGGTATGTCCTCCTTCATGCAACACCATTAAAGTTTAGGGAGAATCTAATTTTGCTTAAGAATTTTTTCCCTGTCAACAGCCTTGTTCTTCCGGACTGCCTGGAAAACATTCCTCTAGTTCCTGTTTACCAACGGGCCATGCTGAAAGCATCATGGGCTAAAGTGTGGGAATGGTCTGTTGGTGAACTACGGGCTCATGTGCTGAAAGCTGAGCAATTCTGTGTTGCCGCCCATTCAACAGGCAGGTTACTAAAGAGCAAAGACAACCCTACCTACAAAGACTCCAACATCAGCTGTCGGGACCACAACATTTTGGCTTCCATGCCTCTTTCCAGGTGCTACACTGATTTTATATTTCAGATAAAAGATTTACTGTATGTAATATATTTGTCATTACAGTTGCCAGATCTTATATAAAAGTTTCTAAAATATCCTTAAGCTTGTGATCTGTATAATAAGTCTCCCAGGCTCTAATGAAAGATGTGTACAGGTTTGTTCTGGCTCTGGTGTGCTTATCAACAAGAACACACAGTGGAGCTGACCTGAGTCTCCTTATATCAGGTGGTCTGCTGGCCTTGATGCAGACGCTATTAAGACTCATTGGTAAGGGATTATGTTGAATTTATGTATATATTGTTTATTGAAGAATGGGTTAATATCTTATGAATTACTTTGAAGTTACATTGATTGCTATCTGTATCATATGTATTAACTTGGGTTCAGGTTAAACAAATTATATAATCAGAAGAATGCCATTTGATAGATGATGGTATTCCACTGCTTGATATGATACTATTTATATTACTTGGGATCTCTTACTGTTCCATTAATCTATTGGTTTACTCCATACCAAGTCATTCTCGAACTTGCATCATGGTGTTTATATTTTACGCTCCTCTTGCTGTCGGTAACGGTGCATTAAGTGTTTCTTCCGTCTGGTCCATTTGGTTAAAGTTTTTCACCCCAAATTGGATGCATGTATTTAACAAACAGTTTCTACCTTTGACAGTACAGTATCGACTTTTAGATTAATTGTGGGAGGAAAATCAACAACACGTAGCTGGCCTTACTCACTCACTCACTCTCTCTGAATGAAACTGTTTGAGGCAGATGTGGGTAAAAGAATGAGTGAAGTTACTATGAAAGAATAGGATGAAGGAGTACATATAGGAGGGGAGTTTTTAAGTGAATGTTTACAGTGTCAAGCGTTTTTGTCTGTGTCGTGTAACCTTATTTTGTTCACGTATCTTCGGTCTTTGATAATGAGATTTCATTGTAAATAGATTTGACAATGATACTTTTTAAATGTTGGAAAACTAAAATAGATGTGTTTGTGTAGAGGAGAGCATATAAGAACCACCCAGCTAAGTAAAGTATGAGAAATCTTTAATTAGTAGAGATATTTATTGAAATGAAGTCTATTTAAACAAGAATGTTATATGTATATTACAGGTCCATCATGTGCATCAAGCAACAGGAGTGACGACAAGGAGGAGATTGTGGCAATATTTGAAGAGGCAGCCAAGAAGCCTCGTGTACCGCCGCCTCCACTCTCTGGCCCAGAACTTGCAGCTATGATGAAGGTTTGTTTCTGATGGATGACCTTTGTACTTTATGTTTTCACTCCTTGACACTTCATTTATATGACAGAGAAAGGCGTAATTGGTAATCTACAAGCACCTACAGATTACCTCGTGTAAATAATATGACTTGTAATTTAGTAGTACACAGGCATATTGCTATTGCTTTCATTGACTTTATTATTTCTTGAATTACTCTTTTGTCAGCTGTGTTCTTCTCTTTTTTGATTCTCTTAATGTTACAACCTTCTCAAAAAGAGTCTTATTGAATTAAATGATAATGAATTTTCCAACAATACTGTTCCATAAAATTAACTGTATAATATAGTCTTATTTTTCATATGCAGTACTAGAAAATATTTATATGCAAATTATTGTTAATTTTCAATTCACCCAAAGATGTTGAATGTATTGATTGTCTTTATGTCAGGTGGGGACGAGAGTGGTCCGTGGGATAGACTGGAAGTGGGGTGATCAGGACGGTCCATTACCAGGTGAAGGAACTGTTATCGGTGAGTTAGGGGAGGACGGCTGGATTCGCGTCCAGTGGGACAACGGCTCGACCAATTCATACCGCATGGGGAAGGAGGGCAAGTATGACCTGAAGCTGGTCGACTCCCCCCTCCCACCAGCCCCGGAGAGTGACTCGGACACAGAGGAAGAGGAAGGTAGGTTGACACTATCATATAATTTTTTATTTATTTTTTCATGATTGGTTTATGGTTTTTCATGATTTAAATTATCTCAGAATGGCCATATTGAATACTGTACTGCAAAGGTTTTATGTTGAAGCTTGAATAACTGATTAACTATGACTCATCCAGGCTTATTTCTTCTTCTTGTATCTCCCCTTTATATATATTTTTTTATCTCATGAACAGGAACTTCTTCTTCTTCTTCTTAGTGTCTGTCTCCTCAAAACTTTGATGGGATTTCCAGGGGGTGAAGTTTTTAATTCATAAAAGAAGCCGGTATCCTATCTCATCCGTGCGGTGTTTTTTTAATCAGTCGTTGTTTGGAGTACCGGTATTTAGTTCTACGTTGATTTGTTGTTAATCTTGAACACTCCTTTTTCATATATTTTATTACATTAAAAATCTTAATAATGTGTCAATAATCAAAGGTGGGAATTTTTACATTTTTTTAGAAGGTGATCAGTTAAAGAGGTCAGCCATGTTTGTAGTCATGGATTTCCTTGAAAGATTATCTTCTTTGAAAATTAATGACTTGGAGTGTATCAGTGTTCTCTCAAAGTTATATTTATTTTATTGAAAAAGAATTTTATTTATGATTTATTGTTTGTTAACTACTGTATACGTACTGTATTTTATTACTAATAGTGGATGCCATAGCTGTAGAGCCTTTCAGAATACTTGTAGTGTATATTTTCCTCGTGACACAGCTTTCTTCAGCTCTAACTTCTGCCATAGTTACTGAAACACACAAGAGTACCGTAGTTATGAATGTCTTCATTATCCCAGTACACTACTAAAGATGCTGTTTGAACTTCCTCCATATATATTTTCTCTATATCTTTAGTATAGTAGCTTTAATTTGGTTTGTTATTGACTTTCACATATACAGTATTACACAACTTTAACCAGTCGATGATATCCTGTAATTTTGTTCTTTTTCTGCGCATTTTATAATATAATTTGTGACCTACGTGGAGGATTGGGTTCCCTCCTTGTGCACTAGCCCTTGATAACTCAGCAGTAAAAGAGAACACTGTCAAGTGTGCCTACTGGTGGTGGAACAGCTCTTAAATGGATTAGCAGCCTGTCTCTTGGGTTGGGTAATCCACTTGCTGCTGTAATGCTAAGAAACTTGGGATTTGTACCTGTCCAGCTACCCTGTATCATGGTAGGAAAAGGCTTGTACAAACTATGCATGACAAAAAGGTAAACGATATTGATAAATAAGTATTTTTAGCATGTACTCTGCTGCTGTCCACATCTCTCATACTGTTCCCTTGGTGAATTCACAGAGCAGCCTTACTAAAAAGAACATCTCTTCTTGACTACAGCTGCTGGTAAACCAATCACTCAGTCCTCTGATCCACCTAAAACAGCTCAGCTTCCATTATATGACTCCTGGTGCTACATCAGTATACATTGTGCATTAACTTGTTAATTTATAATGGGATGAAACCTTTTCAGATATTTATCAAAGCTTCCGATAATACGACCACTGATCTTATCTTCAAGTATATTTTTGTGTCTGCCTGTGTGATCCATGTACTGTACTATACAGCTGTCAGAATATGCAGCTTTTCTCTGACCTTGGTACACAATGTACATTATCACCACTCGGGGTTGAACTCTTATGTTGACATTTGTATTTCCTCCATCTGTTGTACTACAGAACACAACACAGGGCTTACAACCATGTTGAGATTTGATTTATAAGTTATCAAAGATTCTAGATATCACAGCAGTTGACTCTGAATGTATTAGAAGGTATTCTGTATTAACAATAAATAGTTTCACAAGAGAGCATTCAGTCACTATTTAACAACGAATAAATATTATATGAAGCTTTATAAGTTCATACAGTCTGCAAACACAAAATTAAGTGTTTTCTTCCTGACCTCTGGTTTAATTGTAATATACTTCTACCACAGCTGCTTCAGGGTAAAGTTTGTCACATTTTCAGTGGAAATTTTATGAAAATTTTGCATAACTCTTGTATAATCTGGCTTAAAAAATTTTCAATTGTCTTTTAGAGTCGTGTTAACAGTTCTTGTGTAAGGAGATTGTCATATTTTGATTAAAGTATGGAAGGAAGAAAATAACTTGATGTACTGTACTGTACCTAAGATGGTTATATTTCCACTAGAGTTTCCATCATTACAAGTCCTGCAATAAATGATCCAAATATTAAAAGCATTTTTTGTTTTTTTTTGCAAACATATTAGATAGTTGTGTCATACATAGTACAGTGGTCCCTCGGTTAACGAACACAATTCGTTCCAGAAGGTCGTTCGTTAACCGAAACCATAGTTTCAATGGGATTTTGGGTAATTGGTTCCAGCTCACCGAAAATTACATACAAACTAAAAATAAATGCAGTAAAGTACACTTACTTTGAGGTGTGCATGTAGAAGGCTCCTGGTTGATGATGATGATGATGGGAATTAGAATGGGGGTGGAGGAGAAGGGAGAAGAGAAGGCATTGGGGTGGAAGAAAAGTCACCCCATGCTGCCATTTCACCCATAAAATTTTAAGTACACTAGGTGTAATTCAAGATTATTTTCTTTAAATCAACACTGCACTGCATTATATATTGTCAATATGTAAAATAAACTTCAGAATGACCAATAATTGTACTGTAAAAACATAAAAATAGTTTATATTCAAGAGAGTCTCAAGCAAGAAACTTCCTCCACAGAGCTGGGACACACAATGACGCCATTTTGGGTGTGTTGAGTGGCTGTTTGGCGTGCTAAAAACTAGTTACCTGTTCTTCAATTATGTTAAGTAATTGTTAAAATGACTAAAAACTTTAATATAAGACTTGGAAAATTATTGAATAGTACAACCTTCTTGATATTTACTCAAATGGTAACGAATTTAAGCCCTAAAACCAATTACTGTATTGGCGGACTAATACTACAGCTGGTGAGCAGGCGAAAACATGTTGGGAAAAATTCGTAAGGAATTCGTTAACCAAAATTTTTTCGTTAACCGAAGTGAAGAATCTTATGGAAGGTAATTCGTTAACCGAGGCGTTTGTTCACCGAGGGATCACTGTAATATTTTAGACTACCTGTAGCTTAACATACAGTGATAGTGCACTTCAGGTCCTGTATATCAAACTCTATATACTGATTAGTTGTATTTAGTCCACCTCAGTACAGTATTACCACATGGATTAGGATAAATGTTAGATTCATGTGTTGTTTTTGTAATGTTGTGTCCCTTACAAGGTTTTAAGTAACTCACTTTCAAGTACTGTATATTGAGGATAAGAATTATTTCACTTGACCCTGATTGTAATTTGTAAAGTATCAGGTCTATACAATACAGTCTAGTTATTTTTGAAAACTTAAACCCTCAAAATTCAGGTTTTTTTTTTTTTTAATTAATTGGGAGATTTAGCAAACCTTCCTTCCCAGTGCAGCAGAATATTAATGTTTGCTGCTCACTAAAAACAGATGTACCGTAAATGGAAACTTGTTGACTACCTAAACTCGTACGTAAACTATACATCAAAAAGTTACAGACAAGGGTGTAGAGTTGGTTATGTTAAGAACCTCAAACATCACCATTATCTTATAGTATCACAGTGTCACAGTGGTTCATAGTAGTCTTTCATAATATCATCATTTACAGAGAGTTGTTCACTTACAAATTTCACACGATGTTCCCAAAAGGATTGAATGAATGTCATTTTTTTGCTCTGGTACCGTATTTCTTTCACCTCGGCAGTCACAATATATAATACACTAAAGCAGAAATGTACAGTACAGTAATAATATTGTTTGAAAGTGAGACTGCTTTCACTGATACTTAGGTCCTGTGTCCCCAACCTTGATTGACCATTAGTATATGTGATAAGGCTTGATGACACCACAAAGTACTCGTGTTAGTGTGTTAACTAGTATTTTTCTAGCTCTGAAATTTTAGTAGCTGTTAATTGAATGACAAATTTTGTCAGTGGTCCTTATTAATAGTGGTCCTTGAATATAAAGTACAGTATTCTCCCTTAAGTCTGACCATGTGTAGTCAGTGTCATGTCATGGGCTGATGGTAGTTTTCATGGTGTGTGTAGACTTTAGATATGACTCAATGTTTCTGTTTCTCTTTGATGTAAACATGTTGTGATATAGTTTCTCTCACTCTCTTACCTCTTTACATGGCCCATAGATTACATTTTTTTTATTTAGTTATCATTTGTTTGGGTACGAGTTGACCATTTGACTTTCTTGTCTATGGTAGAGTATCTTTGGAAGCTCTTGTATTGATCACATTACCAAAACTCCTCAACAACAGTATATTTTGCTGATTGAAGTCATAGCGGTTGGTATTATTCTGCTGCACTGGTCCCTGAAGTCATATTTTACATCATTCTTATTCATGCAGTAGTATATCATCTGATTAAAAAAAAACTCTTGCTTGTGCACAAAGCACCATTGAGTTTACAGCATGTATGATTATGAATTGTAGTCACAAGAGCCGTTTTCTATATTTAAAGCATTGTGGTCCATGCGGAATCTCCTCCAAACACTTCGGTCACGACATATCTCCGCACCTCCTGGTATGTCAGACCCAACACCAATGCTTCAGAAATTTGCCCAAGAATTTATGCATGTTGGCTTCTTATCATACAAGTGGAGCAGTTACATATTGCCTGCTTTATGAGTTAAAACTGTTACTATGTGAAAAGGATGAGGGATGCCTCTAGTTGGTGTGGTAACACAGGTAGAGAGAGAAAGAGGAAGAATGAGCATCAGGAGAGCAAGGGATTAAAAAACTCTGAGAATTAGGAAATAGTGATGATTGCAATTATGTTTTTGAGTCTGAGTTTGTCATTGACTACCAAGTCAGACATAACAGCAGTGTGAGTGTAGCCTAAGAAAATGAATCATCAGGTTATTGAGGAACACTTTGAGAACATTCTTCTCTTTTTCAGCACTACCCTTTTTATTTTTACTTCTTTTACTTGCACATTTATGCATCTCAGCCTCTAGTTAATGAACCTTATGCCTTTTCACTAGCAATCCCTAACTATTGTAATATGTGCATAACATCCGTTTGTACTTCCATCCTCACAAATCTTTGCCTAATTGTCTCAAGTGTTTTTCTTTCCCTTCTCTCTCTTAGACAAAATTCTCTCGTAACTTCACCTTAATTTTGTCTTTTTATGACTTTTTCACTACTACACTTTTAATATCTTTTATTCCTGTGATCTGTGTATTAGTCCTGTTTTCTGCTGACAGTTAAATTCTTCTCACTTTCACCACACACACACTCACTCACTATAGACAAGGCTAACACACACACACTCACTATAGACAAGGCTAACACATCATTATATCAACTGTTTTTCCCCAGAGACAGAATCAAGCTGTATGAGGAAACATCCCATCTTGGTACTTCGAGATTCTTGCTTGCAGTTGTTAAGATCAATCACCATATCAACCGGTTTGAGTGCTCACAGCATGACCCCAGCGAGCGTTCGGACAGTTGCCGCTCTACTTCATAGTATTGTCCAGGTTAGGATTTTCGAGATGATGTTTTGGGACGATATTGTTACGGTAAATTTGTGATGCACATCTTTTTAGGTGGGGTGAGTGGTGGGGAGGATGTCTGAATTACTTATGAGTTTGATGCCTAAAACAACCAAAAATTACTAGTGCTGTATATTTTATTGAGAAGTATAAATAATTAACAGGAGAGAGTAGCATTACATGGTTTAGGGGTTTGAACATGCTGCTGAAGATGGTTACTAAAGGGTATGTTGTAATACCTCAGGCTGGTACAACTCAGTCAAAAGAACGTGATCATCTCCTGGAGGAACAACATCGCTCGTGGTGCACCCTGGGTCTGGTGCGGTCCGTCAGCTGTTCTCCCTTATTGTGTAGGAACTTGGCCACTCCTCCTTGGGTCAGCTTACTCCTTAACCTAGCACAAACTTTCTTGGGAGCATCATCTCTCTATCGTCGGGTAAGTACCATTTGTGTATGCTTCCATGGTGGGACTTTTATGTTTGAGTTTTCATTGATCTTGATTAGAGTTGATGTGTTTGCTGGGGAACACTATAAAAGAACACCTTTGCTGCAGCAATTTGAGAGAATGAAGAGGGAGTCTTGTTTTTCTGTTGGAGTTTCTTTCACAGCCAGTGCTTTTAACATGCTAAAGTTGTATTAAAATCGCAGATACTTGCTTTGCGGCTCTTGACCTCTGTGCTGCCTCACCGTATTGACGACCTCGAGGAGAGACAACTGTTGCTCGACCGTATATTTTCACTACTGGGCAACACCATCCTTACCTGTGCAAACGATCCAGCTATTAGTGCAACAAGTATGTCTTCAGTTTTCTATTTATGTTGTTAATTTATGTACTATTGAAGGAAGTTTAGTGGAATTATATAAAAATGTTTGATGATAGATTCTTATAGAGTGAAGCATTTCCCAGAGCCTTGAAACCTTCCAGTTGCTAAAGATTTGGGCTTATGTATTATCTTTACTCCTCTCCCTGTTCCATGAGGGGTGGGCTAAGGGGCACTGATAAGGAAAGTAGTGTAGTGTAGAATAGACATACTGTACATAAAAACAGAAGAGAGGCAAAACAACAAATAGAAACATCCTCACTTATTTATTTTTATCCTTGACTTTGTATGATATATATGGACACAAAGTAGTACCTTCAGCTGTATATTATTATATTACTCTTATATTACTCCATTAATTATGTATAGTAAAGTATTACAGAACATGTATTAATTCTATGTAATATTCTATTTATTGTGCACCATATTATGTATATAAATTATCACATTTATACTTTATGTATTCAGCTTGTGAATGCTGGCATCTGTACAGGCCAGTGCGTAGTAATACATAGATAGATGTAGTAGAGAAGACCGAGTCCTGGTGGCGTGACCACAGGCTTCTGCGTCCTACTGTTTGTATATATCTCCCGTACGAGAATAGAACCTACTTTTAAGACAACAAGTGTTTGTGTATACCCTCAGTAGTATAGAACATTCTTTGGGTATCTGGCAATACGCTAGAGACTTCACCTCCACTACAGGGATGCTACTTTTGATATTTCACTTGGCTAATAGCAGACAGTTTTATTCAGCTCAGAGGCGGCCACATACACAATACATAGAGTGAATCTTTAGCATCCTCATTTTAGTAAGTAATTTTTTATAATACTCATTGATTTATATAATGATTTCTTTGTCTTGTTGTAATTTGTCTTTCTTTATTTGACAGGCAAGAAGGTTCACGGTACCTGTGTGGCCATAACGTCAACTCACTCGAGCACTGTTGTGGAAGCTGTAGTCTCCCTCGTCAGAACTCTTCATGCTCTCCCGGTCTGGAACAATGTTATTAATGATGCAATTATTGATCGTCTCGGCTTGGTGGTTCAATTGTTGTCTGATCTCTCACAGTTTCAGTTTAAGGTTAGTCTCAAATATTAAATCTGTAATCTGCCATGTGAAATGTTTTTATATACCCCGTGGCATTGTTATTTTAATTGTAATACTGTACTATTGTTTTTAGTATATATTTTTTCATAGGGTCTACCTCACCCACTGACCTGTGTCCATATCCAATGTAATAATACCACATTGGAGACTGTCAGCTGCTTGAATTACTAACTGGTACTGTACATAAAGTTGAAATAATTTGTCACCCAAGCTTGATATAGTGAAGCCTTACTGCACCATAATTCTTCCTATACATAATTGAGGTTGTATTTTTATAGAGTTTGGTCTAAAAGTATGTACAGTGTTATGTAGAAATTATGTAAGTAGTTAGAAGTTATTTAAATTAAAGGTTTATTGTATTTTTATCCTATGATAATTTCAGTAGTATTGCATTACCAGACTAATTAGTTTCCAAATTTGCAGTTTGATGATTGTCGTCCCGGCAGCTTAGCAGGTCAGGCTACAGGCATAGCAGCATCACTGGCAATAATTGGTGGTGTTGATGGTCGTCCCAGACTTGGGGGTGATGTTATCTTAGAGGAGGGGGCACTGGGTAAGTTTTAATCTTTGCCATTATTGAACTCTACTTTGCTTTTAGCTACTTTTGGTTGGTATTACATGACTAGAACTAAATATTAATGTTGTAATATTAAGATTTTCTTTAGTATTTATATGAAAACAACTCTTCCTTACCAATGTCCCAACAGGTACAATTGCTCGTATTGGTCAACACAAAGTCTATGTTCAGCCTCATGAGGGCGGGAACCTCCTCAGATTGAGTTTATCGTCTGTGGTGCCATCACCCACAAAACGTTTCACTATCGGTAAGTTGGGTCCATAAGTTATATGACCGCTAGCCTAATGGTTTGATTATGGCTGATCATACAGTATTTGAGGTTTAAGGAAGGTATGGGTACTAAAATTGTCTGAAATTATAAGTATGACAAAGAAATCCAAGAATGAAAGTAAACTATAAAGCTAGCATTTGAAGTCATTGTAGTGCTTAATCCCTTCATTACAGGGATGCCACTTCTTATATTTTATTTGGCTCAGAGGGGACCTGTACACAAGGGGTTATAAGGAGTCACTAGAAAGTCATAATGATACTCTCTGGCTAGTTGTGAAAGTTCTGATGTACAATTAGTTCTAAAGGAATGAGGTTTAGAATGATGCTCAGCCTTCTCATTTACAGTAGTGTTGTTCTTCAGTTGGAACACTATGTAGATGTAACTGGTAAAGGTAAGGCAGTAGAAAGCAGGAGAACATTAACAAAGAAACCATTCAAATGTATGAATGTAAATAACAGAAGAAATGCAATTGTGTTTGAGGGAACCAGAGTTTGAAATGTGTTCAGATGGTCATAAAAATGTTAGAGAATTGGAGATTAGTTACAGTATTTAATTAGTATTATTCAACCCACCTTAGGAGACAAAAGTTTTAAGTTAATTTTTGTTTTATTTGGCATTTTACAAGTGCATTAAAAAGAAGAGAGAAAGTGAAACACAATATAGATATACAGTACAAGGAACATTAATCTACATAGCATTTTTTTATCCTTATATGTGTTTGTCTGTCATGACTTGCAACAGCTGAATCACCACTGTAGGTCTTTAGTTAGTTCTGATAATGTACTGTGTTATTTACTATACATACTGTACTTTGCAGATCGACTTAGTGTAACAACAGCTTGTGTGCAAGTGTGGGTGTCCCTGGTGGCTCTTTCAGGAGACTATTCAAGAAGTTTTCATGTTAGCAGCCCTCTAGCTCTGTCCCCTACTCTATTAAGAATACAACAAGTAAGAAAAAATTATGTGTTAGTACAGTGTTGGTTTGTTGATGTGAAGTGTAGAGATATATTGACACTTTAGATGTATACTGCAGAGAGATACATCAATAAAAGCCAGAGTACTTTTCAGATATATACTATTTATATAACCTTTTGCTTGCAGTAAGTACCTTGTGTAAAACTCAAATAAATACATGGAAAAGGAGGTGAATTTTGTACCTTATTGTGCTTAGGATGGTATTCAGATCTTACGAATGGAACTAAGGCTTAATAAGGTATAATAACCAGTTGCAAATTAATTGTTCCAACAGGTAAGTATTATAAGCAGTATTAGATAAACACCTGTTAACCCCTTCACTATGGGGACATCATTTTTAATACTTTATTTGGCTGATGACAGATGATTGTATTCAACTCTTGGGAGACTGTACACAAAGGGGTTAAGTCTTTCTCTCGTGTTTCTTTAAAGCTACGAATGTTGGTGATGAATGCCTGCCGGGCACTCTTAAGTCATCAGTCTCTTCTGCGGCTGGTCCTTCTACAACACACAGCTGACATCAATAACTCTACCAACAACCTCGATTCAGTGGTCGATGACACCAGCCAGAGTTCAGAGGTCAGTGCCACCGAGTCACCCTGCAGTGAATAGATGAGTGACGGATATGTATGGAAAGTATGTATAGTGATGCATTATGGGATGTATGGAAAGTATGTACTTGTATAGAGTTGGATTATTGGATACATTACTAATATGTATTGGTATCATTTTCAGATTCTTTTGATCCAGAGGATGATCACGGCCTCAACCCCTCCATCTCCAGTGAAGGCAACATATACAAGGGAACAGCTGGAGGTAAGGTTATCTCAAGGCTAGTTCCAGTTCATAGTGTAGCCTGTGGTGGTATATGCAAGATCACACATTATGTTTGTGGTGGTGGTTGTGGTTTCAGAGTCGAATATTGTTGAGCAAATTCCTTGCGTGTTATTGATTCATTATTTTATTGACTCCTAGAGAATTTCAGTTAACGTATTTATTTATTTATCGTTTTACTTCTTTTCAATTATAGGTGTTTTTGTATTTTTTATTTTTTTTTACTTTTTACTTTCCCCCTAAAAATATGTTGGATTTTTATTATATATATATTTTTTCCTTATGCTTAATAGTTGAAGGAAAATCTTACTCGATGATAAATACAAACTTTCCAGACTGCCGCCTTAGCTCTTTGTGAAAGCCTCACGGAAGAGATATCCCAGCCTTCACCAACCACCCCTTGCTCCAATGACGACGTCTCTACACCTCTGAGTGAACATTCTCTGGGTGGACCGCCTTCACCTGGGATTCCAAGTGATAATCTGTTAACTCAGACTCGCCCAACTCGCCCGGCACAAACAACACGGGGGAAGAGAACGCGAAATGCCTCGCCGTCTCCTTTGGTTAGACAGTTCATGGAAATGGGATTCTCACGGAAAAGTGTTGAACATGCCGTTAAAGCTTTAGGTAAGTGACCAAATTACCCGGTACGGTACGTCGATGGGTCTCATGTCTGGTTCCTCGGGGTCTCCTCCGTGACAGGTGACCAGTAGTAAAAGGTTCACATTTGAGAATGGTTATATGATAGTAAAGTATCCAGACATTCATTACTAAGAATTGATAGAAGTAAACATATATGGGATGAATTGTTTCACCACCATCACATAAAAAAAGTTATCGCTGGGTTATAAATACTGTAATTGATTATAAGAACACAATTCTCTCATTTTGCAGGAGGTCTTGGCACAGAAATAGCCCCAAGTCCTGAGTCACTGGTCGTGTGGCTTATTGAACATGCAGACATTACCTTATCTGACTCTGATACTGCCCCAGAGGTTCTAGATTCTGATGCTGATTCTCTGACAGATGAATTCAATGATGATCCACCAGTATTAGAGGTACAGTATAGTAATTCTTTTTGTCTTGTATGGGGAATATTTAGGATTGTAGGGGATGTGGTAGTAGAGGAAACACAAGTGGACTTTAGGAGTTTTACATTTGACACGTGTTTCGTCCTTACAGATGAAGACTGTAAGGTCATAGGTCAAAACAGATAGATAGATGTTTATTCAGTAAAATTATTATACGAGCTTATGTTGATTCAGCATACACACATATATAGGCAATGCAGGTATACAACCAATATAACAGTGGTAAATGGTAAGTCAATTCGACCAAGGATAGCCAAGGTATTTTGTTTGAATAAAGACACGTAATGCATTTTGATTGAAGCTTGTGGAGAAATGGATTGATTGATTGAGTGTTGGAGTGTTAAGTGTCCATTATAGATGAAAAAAAATTGGAATTATGGAAGAAAATATACAGGAAAATAAAAGAGATAATAAACACAAAGAATGAGGGAATTAGTATCAGGGAGAGTTGTCACAGTTGATGAGAAATGTAAGAGAATGATATGTCTATGCCACTTGGAAAAAAATTATCTCTTAAGAATATGTCTAGATAGTGTTTGGTATTTAAGTATTTCTCTAACCCCCATAGACCTCTCCTGTTGTTGAGGTGTATCGCAAACGGGTGGAATTTACAAGCAACGATGAATATGCTGTGTACGTACGGGATCATATATCACCTGGTATGACCGTGCATTGCTGTCGCACATATGAAGAGGTTTATGAGGGAGACATCGGAAGAGTTGTTCGAGTGGACAGAGGCTCTTTGCATAATCTCAATGTCCAGGTTTGTAATTATTTAGCTTTGGCTCTTGTGTGAAATGAGATTATGTATTATTCTGTTGTGAGTGACTTATACATATACACTGATTAACTGGACATCATGGTAGTTATTACTGAAACAAAATCCCCATTAATTTGATTATAGAAAAATTATTAGTTTGATTTCAGTTGATGTCCATGTACAGTTATATTCTTCTCATCAGGCCTTCTTCATTTTATGGAGGGTGATGTTACTGTGTGATGAGGGGTGTAGTTTTAGACCGAGTAAGGTGCACTTAACTGTATGTCTCTTTAATACTGGAAAACTTAATAATTTTTTAAACAGGTTGACTGGCATCGAAAAGGAGGCACTTACTGGGTTCGATATATCCACATCGAGCTCTTGGACCAGTCACCACCACCCTTAGCTACCAATGGTCCTATTAGAGTTGGAGACAAAGTAAGAGTTAAAAGTTGTGTGGTTACTCCCAAGTACAAGTGGGGCTCTGTCAACCACCGCAACATTGGTGTTGTTACAAGTAAGTGTTGAGGACGTATTGTCTTATTGGAATTGGGTAACCTCATCATTCATTACCTTGTCTGTATTTTGATGAAGGCAGTTATGGTTTTCTCTTAATATTGCATTAATAGATTATTTTGAGGAGTGAGTGTGGTGACAGTTGATCATCCCCACCGCCTTGAAACTGACTAACGTGTGATTGATAAGTGATATTTTTATCATTGAATTATAACCTCAAGACTCTATTAATCTCCATGTCAGACAATTAAATATCAGGAAAATAATTACCAGTTTACTACAATGAATTTTTTGGATGACAACCTGATATGAACTGATAACCTTGGCCTTAATAAGTTTTTGTCATATTTTTTACTTTTTCCTTTGACCAGGTGTGAGCAGTAATGGACAAGACCTGATGGTTGACTTCCCACAACAACCCAACTGGCAGGGCCTAGTGAGTGAAATGGAAGTTGTACCATCGTGTCACCTTGGTGTTACCTGTGACGGATGTGGGGTCTCACCTGTTACAGGCAAGTGACTACTAAGTAACTAGAGACTTTTTTATACTTCTGGGTAAACTAATGGTCGTCCATTTGTCAATGTGATTGTAATGAGAAGCTTGTTGAGGAGAACTAGCCTGGTGAGTGGTTCATGCTTCTCTCTCTCTCTCTCTCTCCTTCACTGCTGGGATAGTTGTTTCTTGAGTCCTCATTCTTACCTGATATAGTGTGAGATGATGTGCTTAGTTAAAACATATTTCTATTGTGGTTTAGAATACCCACATCAAAGTCTGGAGATGTATCATAAGTTTGCAATCTTGCATATAATGTTCCTGAAAGGTACTGTAGGTAGATCTTCCCATAGATATAAACATTACAGCTATTGGGGTTGCATGTTTGGTTTACTAATTCACATTGAATGGATGACCAAGCAGAGCAAAGCATTGGCCTCACCATCCTCAAGTAGTTGAATTATTCTTTTCACAATTTCCCAGGTTCCTTACTTGGGACATCTCACTGTTGAGGGGAGCACTGCCAGGATGTTTGGGTGGTTGTATTATGTCAGACCAGTAAGATATATGTATGTTGAAGCACCATGTGAATATTATGTTATAAACTCATCATCTAGAGACAATGAGTACATGTTGGGTCTGGCTTAACCTTCTTGAATGATGTTTTGTGTGTGATGAATTAATACAGTACTCATGATAAATTGCCTCAACTCTGCAGGTGCAAGATTAAAATGTAAAGTGTGCGATAACTTCGACTACTGTGAAGAGTGTTATCAGACCAAGAGGAGTCATCGTCATCTCTTCAACAGGATTGCCGAGCCAGGTGAGATTGGTGTATAATTAACTTAATATTTTATTCTGCTTATTGATAACTTTATTTTGGAATTAAAACATTTTCTCACACGAATAGTTTTCATTTTATTTGTTGGAGATTTCTCGTAAAACTAAGAATGGTTACATTGTTCATATCATGTGATGGCAGGTAGTCCAGCAGTCTACGCGGGTCCTCCTGGCAGGGGTCGTTTCCGCAAGAAGGAAGGTATCTTGGGAGGTATTGATGGCACGGTGGAAGACTGGTATCGATGTGTACGCAATCTTAGTGTGTCTTCTCGAGAAAACTGGGCCCACAGGCTTATTGATGGCACTGGAAGCTATTGGCAAAGTTGTGGACAGGAAGGGAAGGTATGAATCAAGGTCATGTTCTGAATAAAATGACTTCACATTGACTTGGCTGTTCTAAAACTACATCTCTTAATGTTGTAATGATTTTGAGCTTTCTTGGTTTCACATTTGTGCATTGTAGTAAGTTAGAAGAGAAATAAAAGAAGTCTGGTTGTGACATTTTAAACAAGTAACACCATTTTAAATCTACAGCACTGGATACGTTTAGAGATGCAGCCCAATATTGCGGTCGAGTGGCTCCGATTGCTTGTAGATCCTGCAGACAGTTCCTACATGCCAACACTCTTAGCGATCAGCGGTGGTGACTCCCTAGCTAAGATGCGGGAGCTAAACACTGTCAGAATCACCCCATCAGACACATGGGTTACCTTACTTCGAAGTGTGAAAGAGGTAGGTAATTTCAGTGTTTTATTTTTCTTTGGTTTTATATTGAGGAAGATGTCATGGAGAACTTTAGGGACTTATTAAAAGGAGAGGTCTACTTGGCCTTTGAATTTTCCTGAGCCACGGTGTTAAAACTCTTGATAATTGGAAGATTTGAGTGAGTATGTATTGGTACTTTTATCTTGCTGACTTATCTCATTCCTTTTACTCTGTAGCTACAGTACTTGTCTATCACCAGTCTTCCCCTGTCATTTTCTGTCTTTCTTTGAGGTTTCTGTTCCCCTTGATTCAACACATGAAAAACTAGCAAAGGAGTTAAGGCAGTAGATAGATAGACTCTGCCCTGTGTCATACAATTAAATCTAAAATGGTAATGATAGTTCTTGTATTATGATTGATAATTATTGGTGAAAACTGGTTCTGGACTTCACAGTATTAATGACTTTACTTTACAAAGAAATGTGAGAGAGGAAACTTGTAGGAAGGATCATTAGAGAGCATTTTTATTTTTCAGTATGTCAAATACATCGAAATCAGCATTAAGCAGTGCAAAAGTGGTGGTATAGACTGCCGGGTCCATGGTCTGGCAATGATGGGGAAGATCGTGGATGACTTTGGTGACCCAGCATCAAGTGTTTCATTCCTAGCCTCTGACAATGAGGATGTGGAGGTGAGACACTAAGCAATTTTTTTTCAGCCAATAGATGAAAAAGTGATTGGATATGGTAATGTACTTAATCTCTTACAATGGAATAGATGTGATAGTTTACACTGATTGATAATATTTTGTGTGGACATTGAGTACTGTATATCAGAGTGTCTACTGGTCTGGAAAACCTGGAAAAGCCAGTGAATTTTACTTGGGGCTGGAAAAGCCAAGGAATTTTATAAATAAACCTGGAATTTTATGCAAATTCAGTTCAACTTCAAAATATTGTTATTTTGAAAGCATTCTTACTATAAATTAATAATATGCTACATAGTAGGTAATTAATTAAACTTTTAGGAACAAATTCCAGTAAATAGTCCACTCCAACAACTGAATAATTTTTGTACCTATCATATTTCATGTTAACGATCAAATAGCCAAATATTACAGGTTATACCTACTAATTCTGCAGTGAGTATTGTCTGAGATGAATTGTTCTTATAATTAAGTGACTTTATTTAAGTGGATTATTCCATATATTAATCATAAGTCATATAGGTGGATCAGGAATGTGATTTTTCGGTTTTTGATTGATTTCCGGCTTTTTTGGAATGTCCAGGTCGGTCTACGTGAATCGCACAAATTCGAGGAGAAAAATATGGAGGTGGGTGGGGGTTGTCAAGGTCTTTGCCGATGTTCATCACTAGGCTAGGGGTGTATCACAAAAGGGTCTTTAATTTCTTGATTAATATCATCTATATCATCTTTAAATTTTTCAGTAGTACTGTATATACATATTATTGAAAACCTTTAAATTTGTTATTCTGTCGCAATAAATACCGAATTAAAATACTTGGAATTTTTCAAATTTACACATGGAAAAGTCATGGAATTTTGTTTTGTCTGGCCAGTAGACACCCTGCAGTTCATATAGTTCATGGTTTTTATGTAATCTAATTCTAAGTGTTTTCTTTCTTTACCAGGATGACATTACTGATATGTCTAGAAAGAGTCTCACCTCAGTGATAAGCTTTGATGGAGAACCTAAGGTACTTGTCTGGGGCCTTAATGACAAGGATCAGCTTGGGGGTCTCAAGGGATCAAAGGTCAAAATGCCAGTACTGTCTGAAACACTAAGCAGCCTTCGCCCTCTCCATGTTGCTGGTGGATCCAAGTCCCTATTCATCGTTTCTCAGGAGGGCAAGGTGAGGCATATATTTCTTTCCTCACATTAATTTATTTATTATTTAATATTATTATTTATTCATGATTTTATATATTTTTTTTATTGGGGTTGGCACAACACACATCAATCAGAATTTAAGCTATTTGTTATTAGGAGAAACCAGGTCTCTCATACCCTCAAACTATCTTTTTTGAATAAGGATCTCTAAAGCATATGACATAGGACCTGTCTGGGTCAGCTGGCTACTACCCTCACTTAATTCACTGGTGGTTCTAATATGATTGGTAATACCCACAGAAAATATATGTTTGCATTATAACAGTACAGTAGTCCTATGGGCACTTGATGGAGCAGAATTCAATTGGCAGACAAAGACTCACAAGTAACACATGAAGAAAATGTTGAAATACCCAGTACATATTCCATTCACTTATTTCATATATATTAACTCTGGCTGCATGTTAATTGAGCTTTGTTAACTAATACAGTACTGATAAAACACATCTGGTATCCCACACATTATTGAATCACGATGAAAAGCTTAGTATACCAAGTAAGCAATATGTATTGGACTAAATTGGTCTTCACAGGTGTATGCATGTGGAGAGGGCACAGGTGGAAGACTGGGGCTTGGTCATTGTAGCAACATTCCAGTTCCACGACAGATAACAGCGCTTAGTCAGTATGTGGTGAAGAAAGTTGCTGTCCACTCTGGTGGCCGACATGCTATGGCACTTACTGTAGATGGCAAGGTGAGGTATAGACACTGAGGGTATTATTGAAGTTTAATATTAGTTCATTATCCCATGGTTGTTAGTTAAGTTTAATATTACTACATTATCCCATGGTTGTTAGTTAAGTTTAATATTACTACATTATCCCATGGTTGTTAGTTAAGTTTAATATTAGTTCATTATCCCATGGTTGTTAGTTAAGTTTAATATTACTACATTATCCCATGGTTGTTAGTTAAGTTTAATATTACTACATTATCCCATGGTTGTTAGTTAAGTTTAATATTACTACATTATCCCATGGTTGTTAGTTAAGTTTAATATTAGTTCATTATCCCATGGTTGTTAGTTAAGTTTAATATTACTACATTATCCCATGGTTGTTAGTTAAGTTTAATATTAGTTCATTTTCCCATGGTTGTTAGTCAGGTTTGAAAACCGCTTCTTATCCAATCAGCAAAGTTAGCAATGTTGGGTCTTGTTAGTACTTGGACTCTACTGGAAACAAGCTTCTCTTAGCTTTGTCAGCTGTTCTTGGTCATATTGACTGAATATCAATTATTATCCCAGCCTCTGGTATAGTAATATAATCTTTTGTGGTTATTTTCAGTGTAGCACAGTTAAATTTAACTAAAGTATGTGTTTCTGTGTTGAATTGTAATGACATACTGTACACTTAAACAAATGTATACTGCATATACTGTAGTGGGATATTGTTTCTTTATGAATCTTCATGTTTGGTCTTAGCCCAGGTTTGCTCTTTGTATATTTCTGAGCAGCTTATAATCTCTGATTCATTTACTAGGTCTTTTCTTGGGGTGAAGGAGAAGATGGAAAACTAGGCCATGGAAATCGTTTAAGTTATGACAAACCCAAACTTGTTGAATCTTTGAAGTCAAAACGTATCAGAGACATTGCCTGTGGGAGTTCGCACAGCGCAGCTATTACCTCCAGTGGTGAACTTTACTGCTGGGGCCTTGGAGAGTATGGACGCCTGGGTCTTGGTGACACCACAACACAGCTCAAACCAAAGTTGGTGAAAGCTCTACTGGGTCAAAGAGTTGTACAGGTTAGCATTAAATGTGAAATATTTTTTAATGTTCATAGATTTAATAGAGAGATATAGTTGTCTTTGTCTTCATTTGTGCAGGTAATGCAGACAGGTCTATGTTGATATTTTTTCCCCAAATTCTCATGTAAGTGATACCAACCTTAATTTTATTGTACGATACTGTACGTCTAGCTTCCCGTATTTCTGCAAATGAAGCACTTACCCTCTTAACTCCTATCAATCGACAGGTGGCTTGTGGCAGTCGTGATGCACAAACACTTTCCCTAACCTCAGAAGGAATGGTTTATTCGTGGGGTGACGGCGACTTTGGAAAATTAGGACGAGGAGGATCAGAAGGATGTGCACTGCCACAGAACATTGAGAGACTGAACGGCCTTGGTGTGTGTCAGATAGAGTGTGGTGCCCAGTTTTCTCTTACTCTTACAAAAAGTGGACAGGTTAGTATTTATAATGATTACCGTATTACTGTTGATATATGAGCACGGCGGTTGAGTGCATTACCGGCCATGCTGCCTCCTTGTGTACCGAAGGCTTGGTATGCAGTGTGCTGTATCCACAATATGTCTAGTGGACAGTGAGGCCTTCGAGACTCATTTTCACTTCATTGAATCACTGTTGATATGATATATGATATTTATATAGTTATAAGGTGAATTAATGTAGTTATTTATTGAATGAGATTATTATTTGTTTCGTCAGGTGTGGACTTGGGGTAAGGGAGACTATTTCCGATTGGGCCACGGCACAGACCAGCACGTACGGCGACCGACGATGGTGGAAGGACTTCGAGGCAAAAAAGTCATTCATGTAGCTGTTGGAGCTTTACATTGTCTGGCTGTAACAGAGGCAGGACAGGTAAATATTATGTATTGTAATCTCTTGGGCATGAAGGGTCTCTGTGCTGAATAAAATTATCTGGTCTTAGCCAAATAAAGTATTAAAAATGGCATCCAGTAGTGAAAGGGTTAAATGGGTCATCGGTTTCATATATTTATTGAAAAAAAAAAGAAGGCCACTTGGTATGAATTAACTTAATTTGTAAACAAACAAAATGCTTGAAGGAAGGAGAGGCACGGCCATTTCTCTTGCTTGATGATGCGTCAATTTTTTGTAGTGTGGATTCTGGTGTAGTTGATCAAGGCATTTACATCACAATTTTTATGTAGCACAGATCTACAGTATTGCAGCCAGCACTGTCTCACATTAACCCAAGTGAGGACTGTGGGAGGCAAAACATAAAAAATAGCCCATCATCTGCTCTCCTCAAGTGCCCAGTTTATTGTTATTTTTTTTTTTAGGGGTGCCAATTTTTCTGATAATTTATTTCTGAATTTTTGTGGTTCTACTGACAATAAATGGAGCATCATGTACAATATTAACAATTACAAACCTGAATATACTGCCACACTAACTAGAAACAAAATATGGATATTGATTTAATAACTTTTTCTGTTTTTTATGTTAATAGGTATATGCATGGGGTGATAATGACCATGGGCAGCAGGGTAATGGCACAACTATCGTCAATCGCCGGCCTGCCCTGGTGTGTGGCTTGGATGGAGTAAAAGTGGCGCGTGTTGCATGTGGATCTTCTCACAGTGTTGCATGGATGGCTCCTGACCCACCTCTACCAGCTGCCACCGAGCCTGTCATGTTTACTACCACAAAGGATCCTCTTGGGGCTTATGCGTTAGGTACGATTTTGTGTGTGTGTGTGTGTGTGTGTGTGTGTGTGTGTGTGTGTGTGTGTGTGTGATTCTACTTCATGATGGGAACAGCCATGCCCCCCCCCAAAGACAAATTAATGATGGGCATAGTACAGTGCAACCTCAAAAATTTGAATTGCATGGGCCAATGAAGTACAGTAGTACCCCGATTTACGCGGTCAATTGAACCCACAGTGTACCGCGGAAAGTGAAATCCGCGTAAATGGAACAACAGAACATATGGGATTAATTCCAATAGAGACTGGCCTGACCCCCAAACTCCACTTTTTGACGACACAACTATGTTGTAGTAAAAATTTTATCAACTTTATGATGGTATGCACAAACAAGTACTATAGAAGAGGTTAGGTTAGGAAAAATAAAGGTTAAGTTAGGAAAACTAAAAGTTAGGTGTAACACTTACGTTAGTAGAAGAGATGGGTCGGCATACGGGGATGGAGGCTGGTTCCTAGGCAGAGGGCAGATTACTGGCCCTCAGGTGAATCACCATTACTAGGTGCATCACCATCACTTTCAGTTACAGTTGTCAGGGCTTCCCTGACAAATCCCTCAAAGTCACCTTCACTGTCACTGGCTCTGGCTGGCTGTGGTGGGTTGCGGCAGAGGGGGGTAGGGATGCATGGCCAATCACAGTCCGATACGTCAAATGACGTCAGTGATAACGCAACAGAGACATGCACTGCGCAACCTTACCGCGCGGCTTGCCCAGGCGGAGGAGGGAGGAGGCGGGAGCAAGCGGGTGGGGCGAATCTAAAAATAGCGTCGAGCCGGAAACTCTGCGCGTATATGGGTAGATGAACTGTGGAAAGTGAAAGTTCGGTTCTGGCGAGGCACCGCGTATATGAGAAATCGCGTAAAGTGAAACCGCGTAAAGCGGGGTAATACTGTATACGAATTTTAGATAAAGTCGAATTTTAGATGTATGGAAGCGCCAGAGCAACTTGTTGTATCAAAACATGCTACAAAAATTATTTACATATCTAAAAACTGTCAATAAGCAATACCCGGTAAGTATAATAATTAAAAGTATTACTGTATTTATATTCAACAACATTTATTCCAATATATTTTGAACATTATAGCTACAGTGGTCTCCATGTAATCCTGCTAGTCTCCAGTACAGTCTCCAAATACTGTACTGTACAACACTCCGTCTCCATCCACATTCACTGTACTGGATACAATGCGTGACCTAGCATGTCATAGAACCAGGATGTGGTTGTTGTGCTCAGCATTATGATCGCATTTGAAAGCTTGAATTATTATGGCGATATTTTCAAATTCTTAAACTAAAATTTTGGCACTTATTTTTAATCAGATGCTATTCGAATTTTAGATGTATCCGAATTTTTTAGGTTTCACTGTAGTATTACCCAAGTACTGTACATCCATCCATCCGTCCATCCATATTTCCTATCATTAGGTTGCATTCAACAAGACGAGAATATGTAGCTACTTGAATTTTAACTAAATTTTGCCAGAGTATGATATCCATAAGAGATAAATCAAGTGAGATGTTGGTAGTTTTGTCTCTGTTCTCAATTTATGAAGTCTATACAGTCGCTGATGTATGTTCAGTAAGGACAGTGTGTTGTGGTGAATCTTAATTAGGTTGGTAAAATTAGGGTGAGTTTGGTGACGATAGTTGTGGGTGAGTTCTAGAATGAGTTGTGGCACTCAGGTGATTTAGAAATCCTGTAAGGATGTCGTGTCATTGTTGTCACTCAGTAACTACTGAGCACTAATAAGACTGACTGTGTGATTTATTATAGAGGTTTGAATGTGTAAAAACTAAATCAAGTTTGAAACATGCAGTTGTCAACCTGTTTCTGTAAGGAATAATGCCTCTTTTTGACTTGTAATGTCTCAATTGTTCATGAAGTTTTTAATAAAAAAAAAGAAGACATTTCAGAAGGGAAGGAAAGAAGACTTGGATAAACTATTAGAGGTGGTGGTAAATGAGACAGAGGGCCAGATTAATGTAATCCAACAGAGATGGTGATGAATGTGTCAAATTTTCTTTTACTTGCATTTATAGAAAGTACTGTAGTCTAATTCAAAGTATAGTAAGTTTAAAATTTTCTTTGGTGCAGGAGTAACAGACCCCCTTGGAGGAGACTCAAGTGCAAACTGTGGGTCATCCAGTAATGCAGGAGGGATGCCGCTCAACCCCTCTCTGTCACGGGTGGTACTGACGCTTGAGTCATCAGCTGCCAGGCAAGCATCACTCCAACACATCCTCAATGCTCTTCAAGTGATGTTTGCCAGGGATTGTGTGATTGCTGCTTTGGACTCAACAGTTTCAGCTTTAAGCCACACCAAGGATAACTTTATTAGTAAGTTACAATATTGTGGAAGACTTCAGGTCATCACTTAGATATATGAAGGTTCAGATAATGTTCAAAATGAAAACCTTGAAGTCTACTTGTATTAATTTAGCTTGTTTTCTGTTTTTAGGTTGTGAACCTCTCCCCAAAATTGGGGGACTTCCAACTCCAGAATCCATGACTGATGCCATAGCTGACTCATCCTCTTCTTCACTCTCCAGTCCCAATGGTGGGGAAATAGCGGAGGGTGGTGGCGAGGCCCCTGCTTCTGCCTTGGAGGCTGCTGCAGTTCCTACAGCTTTGGTAAATTTTGATGGGCTAATTCTTAGGCTTACAGTAAACCCTTGATTTCCACAGTTGTCCCTGGAGACTGCAGACCTGATATGAAGCTGATAATTTTTTTTTATACTTTATTCCTCTACTGTGGTTGTACTTTATTTATCTAATTGTTATTTTAATTCTACTGAAATAAAGGTACAGGTACATACAGGTATGGGACCATTTATCTAGCCTCCCAGTATCCAGAATGCTCCAAAAACTGGCTATGTTCTAGAGCAAATTATTTAAAATGATCTCCAAATATAATTCCCAGGCTGAGTGGGGAGATTGCCAACCATTCTCCACTTGTGAGCTATATGTCCTCTTTTTAGTTTTGTATGTATTATTTATCATAAACTAAAAGATCTCAAAAATTTCCTCATGGGTGTTTTAATGACCAGTACTTTGTTATACAGTATTATAATAGAACACATCTGTTATGGAAGTTAGTTAGAACTAGTGAAAGTTTTCATAAGGAGAATGATTTTGCTTTTATTTTCAGCATCGGTGTAGGGAAAGGCTTGTAAGACTGAAAGATAAAATGGATATACATTACAGATAAAAACTTACATACAGTATTAATTTTGTATTATCGAATTGACTCATACAGAGTTGTGGCACGAGTCCAGACAGTGAGGAGAGTGTGCTGCTTCAGTTGGCATCAGTTCCCTCCACCGGGTCCTTGTCCTCGAGGGCATCCCGTCTCTCACATTCTGCGATGAGCATTCTGGCAGCTACACTCACAACAAAAGCTGATGTGGTAATATACTCATTAAATTGATTTGAATATTACTTGCATTAATTTGATTATTATTATTATTATAGCAGACAATTAAAGTGTCATTTGATTTTCATCTGTCCCTCCTCATTAATGATCTCTGGCAGAGGGGATATAATACAAGACTCCATCTGTCTGTAATTGTTCCTAAAAATATATACCTGTAGTTGAGTATTATTTAACAGCATCTTACATGCCTGAAGGTGGTTGTTAGGGCAATGTTTACTTAATGTTTACTGTACAGTACAGTACTTTACAGGACCTACTTTTCAATGAGGCATTAGTATAGCTCATTGACTGTACACTTGCCAACCCAAGAGACACAGGTTTACATCTGGGTACAGGCAAGGTTGATGGGGCATTATCTGGTGTGATTTCACTGAGCCAGCCCATCGCCCCATCAGTGCCCCAGGATAGGTTTATCCTCCTCATCTAGAAATTACTACACCTATGAATTATGGGAAATAGTAATAGGACATTAGGTTTTCAGCATATATCTAGTAGAACTGATAAAGCAGATCGGTGCTCTGGCCTTCAATGGCTTCTTCCTTGATAATAATACTACTAATAATAATAATAAATGAACGGTAAAAGCAGTTTTTTGTATGTTAATAAACCATTGCAGGTGTCGGAGGAAGTAGATGCTCATGAGGATGATATTGGTTCTAATGGACTGGATGAGTTCACAAGGAAACTTACTGAAGATGATGCGCGAGTGCTGGTTGACCTTCTGAAGTTGGCTGTTGCTGGACGAGCTGGACCTCGAGCTGCTGCTGCCATCACAAAAGTCTTGACAGGTGAAATTAGTGATCATATTGCATAGTAATTTATAACTGGTAGAGAATATTGAGTATATTTCAGTGGAGTTTTCTTGGCATCATCTGCCATCTTAATGATATACTGTATAGTACAGTAAATATAGATAGATAGATAGATAAATATACATGTATGTGTTGTTGTGTGAATGTCTTTGTGCATAGATATATACTACAGGTTGAAGCTTCCATATCCAGCATTCTAACATACTACAACTCCCCAAAAATGGCATTGTTTTCAGAAATTCTACCCGGCAAACCTCTCATCAAGCAGCAGTTTCTTATAGTTCGCTGGCTGGCCGCTAATATTTTGGAAATTATATAAAATACAGTGCGTTATATACTGGTATAGGTATACAGTGGCCCCTCGGTTAACGAACTCAATCCGTTCCAGAAGGTCGTTCGTTAACCGAAACGTTCGTTAACCGAAACCATTGTTTCAATGGGTTTTTGGGTAATTGGTTCCAGCTCACCGAAAATTTCCTAACTTCAACAAAAATGGCGGAAAAATTTACTTACTTTGAGGTGTGTATGTAGAAGGCTCCTGGATGATGGTGATGATGTGCATTTGAAGTGGGAGGTGCAGGAGGAGAAGGGAGAAGAGAAGGAAGTGGAGGTGGAGGAGAAGCATTTTACTGCTTCTTGGAAGGTGAGTCACCTTCCATGAAAATGTCAGGAACCTCTGGACTGACAGATTCTCCACCATGAACATCCTCTCTCCTTCTTGAAGTGGAAGGCTGAGGGCTAGCATCTTGTTCCCTCTGCCTTTTACTGAAGAAAGTGTCAATTGTGGTCTGTGGGGCATCTGTCCTCCTCACCATTAACTTATGTTTAAAGAAGGAGACCACTGAGTCCTCAACATGACACAAAGCTAGTTCAGTTTTTTCCACTTCTGGGTGCTTTGAAGCCAGTTCCCTGAACTTCTCCCAGTGGTAAATCACATCTTTCAACTGTGTAGCTGACATATGGTCATCACTTTCAATTTCCTCCTCACCACTGTCAGCCTCTACCCGTAACATCTCATCCAGTTCCTTCAAGTCATTAGGAGTAAGTTCCTCCTCATGAGACATCACAAGCTCTTCCACATCCTTCTCCTCCACTTCAAGACCCAATGACTGACCAATGGACACAATCTCCTGGTCCAACTCTGTGTCATCCTCAAATCCCTCAAAATCATGGACTACTGATGGCCACAGTGCTTTCCATGAAGAATTGAGGGTTCTATTGGAGACTTCTTGCCATGATGACACAATCAATTTTACAGCCTCCAGGACGTTGAATTGTGTCTTCCAGAACTGTTTCAGTGTTAGTTCAGGATCAATGGAAGTTGCCTGATGACACCTCCTAAACATTTTCTTCATGTACAACTTCTTGAAGTTGCTGATCACATTCTGGTCCATTGGCTGTATGAGTGATGTAGTGTTTGGAGGCAAAAACAACACTTTCACAAAGTCAAATTTATACTCCAAATTTCTGGCAAGGTCAGGGTCATGACCAGGAGCATTATCCATGAGGAGAAGAGCCTTTACAGGAAGTTTATTGGTGGTTAGGTAGCTCTTGACAGAGGGGCAAAACACATCAATAGCCCATTCATTAAAGAACTGTCTTGTCACCCATGCCTTACGGTTGGACTTCCAATAAACTCCAAGCATTGTTCTTACCACTTTCTGTTGCTTGAACACCCTGGGGTTTTCAGAGTGGTAGACAAGCATAGGCTTCAGTCGGAAATCCCCTGAAGCATTGGCACCAAGCAATAGAGTGAGACGGTCTTTCATGGGTTTATGCCCAGGTAAAGAGGCTTCATCCTTGGTGATGAATGTTCTTTTGGGCATCTTTTTCCAGAACAGCCCAGTTTCGTCAACATTGAAAACTTGCTGTGGAAGATAATTTTCTTCTTCCATCAGTTTTTTAAATTCAATTAAAAACTTTGCTGCCCCTTCTTTATCAGCACTAGCAGCTTCACCATGCCTAACAACACTTAAAATGTCACTTCTTTTCTTAAATTTTTCGAACCAGCCTTTGCTAGCCCGAAAATCTTCAAATTCTGTTCCTGAAGAACTAGGTTGATCTGTCTTTAAATGTTCATAAATCTCCCTGGCTCTTTCACAAATGAAATCACCAGAAACTGAATCACCTTTCATCTGTTTTTCCCTAATCCAGATGATAAGTAACCTCTCAGTTTCTACGATTAGGGATCTACTTTTAAACACTCTTGTAGATTTGTCTCTCACGTTCACTTCCTTAAATTTGTCTTTTTGTGCAAGAATTGTCGACACAGTTGATGCCGACATGCCATATTCTTTGCATAGCGCATTTGATTTAATACCTTGTTCGTGTTTTTTTATTATTTCCTGCTTCATTTGGATTGAAATCACTTTTCTTGATCTCTTAGGCCCCATGCTGGATTCAAACAATGGCAACACGTATTTTTCAAAGTTAAACTAGCTGTAAATAAAGAATATTTTCTTTAAAATAACACTGCACTGCACTATATATTGTCAATATGTAAAATAATTTTCAAAATGACCAATAATTTGCTTGGAAACACAGAAAAAAAGCGTTTAGTTGAAGAGAGTCTCAAGCAAGATGTTACCTCCAGTGAAAACAGAGAGAGACTGACGCCTGTTTGCTGTGTTAAGAGGCTGGATGCCGCGCATTAAACTAGTCACTTTACCTTCAATTATGTTCAATAATTGTTAAAATGACTAAAAAATTGAATATTAAACTTTTAAAATAATTGAATAGTATAAACTTCTTGATATTTACAAAAATAGTAAGGAATTTAAGCCCTAGAACCGATTAATGTATTGGCGGACTGATACTAAAGCTGGTTGCCCGGTCAGTGCAAGCGAAAACATGTTGAGGTCGGTTCGTAAGAAGTTCGTTAAGCGAAATTTTTTTCGTTAAACGAATTGAAGATCCTTATGGAAGGCAGTTCGTTAATCGAAATTACGTTAACCGGGTGTTAGATTAAGCGAGGTCACTGTACAGTGTATTGGTAACTTGTTACAAGCACTGTACAGTTTCTCCTCGACTTACGACAACCCGGCCATGGTCATATAAAACATTTATTACATTACGTATTTTCGAGTCCCGACGTTAGTGATCGCTCTGTGTACTGACAAAATTTTCTTTTGTAATTCCATATAAAATGGCTGGCAAGCGTAAAAGTGAGAGTTCTCGTGGCACTGAGAAGAAAAAGAGACCCATTTTAGAATTTCTATGTATTATTTTCGCCTTTTCGACCTAGTCGTCGGGGTGGAACCCCTCGTAAGTCGAGGAGAGACTGTAATTTACATAAGAAATAGGGCCTTCTAAATAATGGTAATTTCCTTCATCCGGCTCGGAGCTGGTCCCATGGTTGCTGGATATGGGAGCCTCAACCTGTACTGTACAGTACTGTATGAATGATAAGTAAATGTAGTTTGTTGTCATAATCTGTCGTGTGATTTTTCCAGGCTTGGCTCGGGAAAATTCTGTCGTGGCGGGGATGCTGACCGAGCTGTGTGTAACAGAGCTCGAAGATGCGGCATCTGATACAGAAGCTATGCGCTCAGTGCCTCAACCTGTCGTCCAAGAGAGCTCACATCCATACACAGATGATGTCACACTCACTGGGGTGGTCAAAATTCCTGGTAGGTGACAATTACTATGAGTTATTGTATATACATTATAGTACAGTCAGCATTTATGAAGGCAATTTGTGATTTTTTCATGTATCCAGTAAGGAATATTTAAGTTACATAATGAAAGTGAGAAATCTTTTTGTATATACAATTGTGAAATTTTTATCTTTTTGTATTAGGTGCCGAAGCTTTGAGAGTTGAATTTGATCGTCAGTGTTCAACGGAGAGAAAACATGATCCCCTTACCATCATGGACGGGGCTAGCAAGATCATCTGTACTCGGTCAGGAAGGGAATGGTCTGATTGGTCAACTGAAGTTCGTATTGCTGGTATGTATTTTCTTATATCATATACTGGGTAATAAATATGGGTTAGTATCAGCTTCTTCTTGATTTTACTTTGTCATGTTAAGATTGATCCTTGATTTTACATCTACCAGTACAGTAATGTCCTAAAACATTAGGCATTTGCTATGTCTCTGTGGTGATGTCTGCCTCATTTTCTTTTGCCTTATTGTCTGGAAAAATTAGCAAAATTGGCAATAATTTATTTATATATTTTTTAAATTTGAAACTATCAGAAAATATTGTCAATGATATGAGAGCTGTGTTTTACATGTTTGAAGGTGAAAAAGAAGAAGAAAACGTTATTTTGCAAAACTTGAGTCTGTAAATATATTTTTATAGAGAATAAAAAAAAAAATGTAAATAAACTTATTACTTTCAATCATCATCAAAGAATTAGGTGGTAAGTTCATGAAATGAAATATCTCTCAAGAAATTTAAATGGTTGGGGCCAGTTTGATGTTGATATTAATATTTTATCTTCAGGTGACGAACTGAGGTGGAAGTTCACCAGTGATGGCTCCGTAAATGGCTGGGGTTGGCGCTTGACGGTTTTCCCCCTCATGCCGTGTGCGACTCCACGAGACCTACACAGCGACCGTCGACTCCTGTCTCGCCCCTTAGTGGACCTTCCCATGTGTCTTCTGGATTCTCTCTTACCTTTATGTACCCAGACTGCCATTCTGTCACGTCTGGCTGCATCTCTGGCCTTGTGTGCACAACTATCATCTCTAGGTAATTTATACTGTATGGTAAAAAAATATATAATTTTTTAATATATGTTCTTGCTTTTTTGTAATTTGTAGATACAAAAAATGTATAATTGAAATTATATTTGCTTTGAAGTAAAACAGTAGATGAAGTTTATTTACTTTATACAGTGAACCCTCGCTTTACGCTGTCAATTGAACCCACGGAGGCCCGCGTAAAGCGAGAAACGCGTAAAGTGAACAACATAACATATGGGATTAATTGAAATAGAGACCGGGCCGACCATCAAACTCCACTTTTTCAGACACAATACCTACGTTGTAGTAAAAATAACTTCTTGATTTTATGATGTTATACACACACAATTAATAATTAAGAGAAATATCAATAATATTAGGTTTTTTAACACTTACATTAGTAGAAAAGATGGCTGGGCACATGGGGATGGGGGGGTTGGTTCCGAGGCAGAGGGCAGATTAATTGGCCCTCACCTGTTTCACTTGTATCAACTGTATCACTATCCACCACAGAGGCTTGCAGGGCCTCTTTGTCAAACCCCTCAAAGTCCATATAAGTCCATTTCCTCACTATCACTGACTTGGGCCGGCTGTGGTGGGTGGCGGGTGAAGAACTCGGTAATGTTTTGATGACTGGGCGACCTTGTGCGCACCCTGCCCACGCCGCTCTCCGCGTAAAAGAGTACATGCACAGCGTAAAGTGAGCATTCCGGGTCTGGCAGGGTACCGCGTGAACGTGGAAACGCGTAAAAAAAAAACGCGTTAAGCGGGGTAATACTGTATATATTTTTAAACTTTGTCTCTTGAATAAGTTAGTGGTTAGTATGATTATCTACATTAACTATTTATTGCTTTCATTGCACAGAAAAATACTTAAGTAGCACCAATGTTATATTATTCCATTATGAAACACTTGGTATTTTACAGCACCTTGTCAGCGCATGTGGGGTCTCAAAACTCTTCGAAAGATTGTCACCACTGACCTGGGATCTGGCCTCAATATTCGAGCTCTTCTCTCAGCATCATATTCCTCAAGCTCTACTCCTGCTCCATCTCGACCCATATCTCCAGTCCCCCAGTCTTCATCTGTTTCAAGTGTGCCGACCTCAGCTCCCCAGTCCCTTGCTCCTCCCGCTCCTCCTTCATTACGTGGAAGTACAGAGAGCTTGGAGTCGTCCGGCAGTTTCGTAAAGCCATCAGTAGAGGTTAAAACTTCCCCCGAGATGCCACTTGTCAGTCTGCTGAAGGGGTTGCCAGAAGCTCTTCTCCGTCAGGCTGAATATGAAGATCCTCTTGTTCGTGGAGGAAAACACCTGATGCATTCCCAGTTCTTCAAGGTAAATTATGAATATTTCCTCTTTACAGTATTTTATAATCTCTATTTTATAATGGTATTGATCCTAGTCTCGCTTGAATGCTTTTCTGTCAGAAAAGAACTGATTGATCTCCTAGTAACCGTTCTTCCTTTATCATTGATTTCATCGTTTGTATTGGTTTGTGAGAAGCAGTGTGAAGATTGACATGTCAAGCCATGTAACTTCTCATCTTTGTAGAACTCTAGTTGGGCGCATAAGCTGTGGAGAATCGGAATAACACTTTACTCCCATTACCACAGTTTGATCCCATTATCGTATGAGGCATTGCCTGAAGAAACTAGCACTTGAGCCACCCAGTCCACAATCATGTTTATACCTGGAAACTGTTCTTCAAACACCCTATTTTCATGAATTGATGGATGAAGTGCAAAAACGCCACTGACCGTATGGTTCAAAGTCCGTAGACAAAAACCTAACTCTGGTCCGCATCTCTATCAAAGGTTAGGTTAACAGTATCGTTTCAAAAAATTATTTGCATAATTTGCAAACATTCAGCTTCATTTTAAAACAAACTGCAACATTCTAGCTAGAATACTTACCGGGTTATCAATTTCTGAATGTTGCAAACTTTGATTGCATTTCCTGACAAAAACTGAGAATGGTGCTTGTGCCTCATATCTGTTTAAGGAATTGTATTTGTCACTTGAGTGATACTAGCAACAGGTATTAACTAGATAGGTATCTTTGGCCCTTGCTGTGGAAGGGGAACACCATAACAGAACACATCTGCTTTGGTTGTTAAAATGATAGATAGGAATTGAAGTCTGGTTTACTCTGATTTTTGCTTTTGTATATACAATAGAGTCTTAGAGTATGCAAGGGTTATGTTCCTGGGATCCCCACATAAGTGTGAATTTGTGTATATATTCTGGCCCCCCTGTATGTATACAGTTTGTAAAACACCTTTTTAGTACGAAGGTAACCGATGCGCAACTTCAAAATTTGATGCGCCACTCCTAAGTAAGTCCAAAAGTTCTCACAGTATGCACTTTTTCTTTACTCTCTTACTATCATTGCAGTAAAATTCACTGGTAGGGAAAAACTTTACCAGTGCGAATGCCTGGGAGATGTTTACAGTACCAATGTGAGAGAGAGGACACCAAAGTTATGTTATAGATACTGTACTGTATTTGTCAACTCGTAATTTAGGGTCCACAAATGCACTCCCAGGCTCTTTATTTATTTTATTTTATAGTTTTATATTATATTTTCTTTATTTCTAAGCCACATCAGATATTGTAATGATTTTATTTTTTATACTATTTTATTTATCAGACGAGCACGGACAAGTGATAAACACGCTGAGCTAACGAGAGATGCTGGGTGGGTCCGCTAACTTGGGAGCAAGTCCCAAGCAGAAGGGCAGTTCAGGGGGTCAGACACGTATAAACAGGGTCCCTTACTTTGGATACGTGTACTGTGAGACTTTACTGTAATGTGAAGACTTACAAGTGAAAAGCAGGTTAACAATGAAAAAAAATAACATGATCATCCACTTGAACAATTTCCTTATTACAGGTACTTGTTGGACTTGCCTGTGACCTGGAGTTAGATAATGGTGTTGGTTCTGGTGAAGCACACAAGTGGGCTTGGTTTAGACGATATTGTGTTGCTTGCAGAGTCCTGAAATCACTCATTGAACGCACACCTCTGCCATCTGGATTTTGCACCGATGTATGTAGTACAAAATTGGTATATATATTTATACATATATATAATCCTTAGAAAATAAAATGAAACTGACACAATATTTCATGATAAAATATTTCTGTAAATAATTTAAATAGTTTGCCAAAATTTATAAATCCATTTTAAAGCTAAAATTGAATACATGAGAATCTAATGTTGAACAGGTAAGAAAGAAACTGTGTGAGATGCTTGGTGAAGGGGAAGTGTTGTCTCTTGAACAAGAAGATCAGAATCAGTTCCTACATCAACATGATGAACAACTACTACTGTGGTTTAGCAGGTACAGTGTATACAGTACAGTACATACAGAATATTTAAAATGTCAATTACATTGTGCCTGTAAGTTTTAAGTTGCCCTTTTATACATTTTCTACTGTATCTTTACGCTTTAGACATGTTAGTTTTTAGTTTCCAGAGAAAAGCGTTTTATTGTGAACATGATAACTGAACCTTTACCCATTGTCAGCATATGATGTCAAAATGTGGATTTTGTTCAAAATTTATACAAAGGTATTCTTTACGTGCTGGTTAAGGACTGGGTTCAGAATTTTAAAATATTAGTAATTAGTGTTATTCAATGAACTTTGAAATAATTTAGTACCTGTACCATTATTTTTGATGAATGTCTTTGTGTTGCTCTTTCTGTTTTGTGATAGCATTTACATAACATAACTGCATTTTTTTGTATAAATTTTGCTGATTTTCACCTGTAATATATCCAGTATATCTACGATATATGTTATACCAGTAGCTAGAAAGTAGTCTCAACAAAATTTAACCTGAAAAATATAACTGGAGTGCAGGAGTTCATATTAATATGGTACGTATTCTAAACATGACTAATCATAAAAGACTCAGGAAATTAAGTGTTATGAAAAGAATCCTATTTGAAGTACAGTGAGCCCTCAATTTAATTTTATTTTCTTATGGAAAACCACTGATACAGTTAAGCAGCCTTTTACTGAAAGGCTTAAGGGTCACACATGTGGCCCTCAGACCATCCATACTGTGTTCCATATTTAAGTAATTTATTTGTTGTTTGATAATTCAGTTCAAGAGATTGACTGTTCTGCACTTTACAGACGCCCTGAAGATTGGACCCTATCATGGGGAGGAAGTGGCAGCATCTATGGGTGGGGACACAACCACCGTGGTCAGTTAGGTGGAGTTGAAGGTGCCAAAGTTAAGCTGCCAACTCCTTGTGATACCTTGACAGCTCTGAGACCAGTACAGCTCATTGGTGGAGAACAGACACTCTTTGCTGTTACTGCTGATGGAAAGGTTTGTATAAATAATTTTGATATAACTGTACTCTCATAATTATATACTGTGAACTGGGTTATTCTTGGTTTATTTTAAATATGAACAGAACCAGAGATTACTGTAGAACCTCAGTCATCCAGTAATGTGACTGTTATAAAACTTGACAAATCCTGTTCATTGTTGATTTCAGTAGATCTGGATTACAGAGGGCATGCTATAATCTTTTAGTACTGTATCAAAAAGAATTACTGTATTAGTGTTTAGATCCATGAAAATACAGTATTAGTAATGTATCATAGAGGAATGTTAGATCACAAAGTAGAAAGAATTGTTTATGAAAGAGACCTTAAATTTAGCATATCTAGATCATCAAGAATGGGTTTATATTATAGATTACTACAGCTCTTATTCGTCTATTGTTATTAATTTAATGTGTGACGAATTAGGTATATGCCACTGGATATGGAGCAGGGGGACGACTAGGTATTGGTGGAGTAGAATCGGTCTCGACCCCCACTCTTCTGGAGTCAATCCAACACATTGTTATCCGGAAAGTGGCTGTCAACTCTGGTGGGAAGCACTGCCTTGCTCTTACTGCTGATGGAGATGTTTATTCTTGGGGTGAAGGTGATGACGGTAAACTAGGTCATGGTAACAAGAGGTGAGCCTTGGTTATGTATCTTTGTTAACATCTGTATCCTATTTTTACATTGTGTTATATTGAGTAATTGAATTTTAAGTTATTTAGTTTAGTAAATAAGTTGTGAATTATTTTGTTTTATCAGTCACTCATGTTTTCAGCCCCTATGATCGTCCTCGGCTAATAGAGACACTACAAGGGAAAGGAGTGATGGAAATAGCATGTGGTGGAGCTCACTCTGCTGCCATCACATCCTCGGGAGAACTGTACACATGGGGTAAAGGTCGCTATGGCAGACTCGGCCATGGCGACTCTGAAGTAAGTGTTGCTTTCTCATTATGTAACGTGTCTTCTGTACATGGGGATAGCATATATACAGTATATATATATATATTACACTAAATTCTCTTTACCTACGTCACTTGGTTATTGATTCCCTAGACTGAGAATCACAATTTTTAACACCATCAGTACTAATATGATAGCAAAATGGTAGGTTAACATTTCTAAAACTACTTAATGTGTTTAAATAATTCAGTCAGAAATAAAAAGTACAGACTTTTACCCCAATTTGTTTCGAGTGAATCAGGAATATTTTCTAGTTATTATTTCGAATCAGTTGCCGAGACAATTCAACTAATTTTTACACCTGTTTATATTTTTCATGAACTTGACTTGAGTTAATATCTAAATGTGTCTGTACACAGTGAGAAAACCAAGAGACAAAAGATGGAAATATTGTACAACTCTAATGCTTTTTCTTGCATCTGGTATTATGAAGAGCTTCTTTTGAACCTAATGTAGAGCTTAAATAAAAATGATGTAGGTGGAATTTGCAAAATCCAATAATTAAATATTGAGTAGAATCAACTGAAGTAGAGTGGGGAATAATACAACTTCAGGAAGTTTTATAGCAACTGATTTTATTGGATGTTGTGAAAATAGGATCTTGAACACTGTCTATAAATAATTCTTCTTCTTTCAGGACCAGTTTAGACCAAAACTAGTGGAGGCTTTAGTTGGCTACAGAGTAGTAGATGTGGCTTGTGGATCTGGAGATGCCCAGACCTTGTGCATTACTGATGATGATAATGTATGGTCATGGGGCGATGGTGACTATGGGAAACTGGGTCGTGGCGGCTCAGATGGATGCAAGGTTCCGATGAGGATTGATGGACTGGCAAGTCAGGGAATTATAAAGGTCAGTAGACAAGATGGTTCTGAATGCCTTTTAGTGTGATTCCTGTGAATATGATTAAAAAGTTACAAGTGGAAAATGAAGAACATGACAGTACAGTATGGTACAGTACAGTACATGTGTTGCTTTTGATAACCCAGTGCTTGTCTCATTATTTTGTTTTCATATGTTTGTGGTTCACTCCGTGCGAGTCGCGTTATTCTTGCTATCCGTCTTCTTACACCTGATATTGGTACATCTCTTTAACAGGTTGAGTGTGGATCCCAGTTTTCTGTGGCTCTGGCTCGCTCAGGTACAGTGTACACCTGGGGCAAAGGTGATTACCATCGCTTGGGTCATGGCACAGATGATCATGTTAGACGACCTCGTAAGGTTACAGCCTTGCAGGGCAAGAAAGTCATCAGTATTGCGACAGGTGTGTTTTGATATGGTTCTGTGTAATAGTGTGTATCTTGGCTTCAGAAAAAATACATTTAGTATATTTAAATGTTAATTATTTCGATAATACTGTATATGAAAAAAATCTGAAAATGATTATACAGTGTTTTTGTTTTTTTCTCAGGCTCACTTCACTGTGTGTGCTGTACAAGTGAGGGTGAAGTGTACACTTGGGGAGACAATGATGAGGGACAGTTAGGTGACAGTACCACAAACGCCATCCAAAGACCACGATTAGTTATGGCATTACAGGTATGGTGTATAGACCATTATAATTTACTAAGTAAGAACTATCTTTGGATTAAATATAACATGTGACACAGCACAAGGTTTTCATTTAAAATAAAAAAGTATGGTTTTATGCTGAAACAGATTATACCAAGATCAGTTGAGGGACTTACACTGAGGTGAATAAGAAAATTGCTTTGAGGACAAATATAAAATTTTAATTATGATATGGAAATGCAATTACAGGGTAAGAAAATCAATCGAGTGGCTTGTGGATCAGCACACACTCTGGCGTGGAGCACCAGTCGGGCAGTGAGTACAGGACGCCTTCCATCTGAGGTGCCCATGGAATATGACTTGCTGAAGGAGATCCCATTACATGCACTGAGGAACAGATTGGTATGAACAGTTGCTCTCCTATTCTGTGTCTGTATATAGTACTGCTCTATATTCTTCTACTCGTCACGTTGATAGTGGGTTTTTATATAATATTGTCTTCCTTGTATTTCTAGGTTCTTCTACATCATTTCTCTGATCTGGTTTGTCAGAGTATTTCAATGTTTGACCTTTGTACATCACCGGAAGAAGAAGGAGATGAACCAATGTTAGCCAGACTACGAGCTATTGTTGTGTCCACAGCAAAGGAGACCGCATTTAAGAAGGTGGGAAGACTTGATTCTCTATTTCATTACTACACACTACTTGTCTTGTAATTCAGTAATTAGAGGAAACAATTTTGTCATCTAAGAAATAAGATACAATTTATCATTTCACTGCTTCGTGTAATACAGTACAACTAACTACTTTATGAATATATCTTCTCCCTCTAAATGAAGTGTGTTGCCTTTAGGTTGTACAAGCCACGATGGTGAGAGACCGCCAGCATGGACCCATTGTGGAACTAAACCGCATCAGTGTTAAACGGTCGAGGTCCCGGGGAGGTTTGGCTGGTCCAGATGGTATGAAGTCTGTGTTTGGTCAGATGGTGGCCAAGATGTCACTTTTAACACCAGATGCTCTGTTCCTGCCCCATCGTGTGTGGAAAGTCAAGTTTGTGGGTAAGAAACATTGTGTATAACTTGCTATTTTGTTGTATTATCAGATTATATATTTGCTATATTATTAGACTGTGTTACATTACTGTTGTCCTCTGAATGCCACATCATTTTCATCAGGCTGCCCCTGAATGCAACAGTCAGCCATGTATTGGATCAGAATAGTTCATAGTACAGTATTAATATAACAGTTACGATAAATTAATTCTTTTTCTAGGTGAGAGTGTTGATGACTGTGGTGGTGGGTACAGTGAGAGTGTGGCAGAGATGTGTGATGAGCTTATGAATGGATCATTGCCACTCCTCATCCCTACACCCAATGGCAGAGATGAAGCTGGAACTTCACGAGACTGCTTCCTTTTGAACCCACAGGCCAATTCATCTCACAACCTGAACATGTTTACATTCCTTGGTAAGTAATATCTATATGCCATCAAGTTGTACAATTAATATGAATCTTGTAACCCACAGAAAGAGCCCCTTATCTGCTCTCTATCAGTTACCATTAACCCCACAATGGCTGTTAGTGCATGATACTGCTGGTTGGTGTCTAATATGTGAATTCTGAACAGCCACTTACTGTAGTGCATACACCCAGAACTTTACTCTCTGTTTATTATATCAGTATATATTTTCTCAGGTGTGTTGATGGGGATAGCCATAAGGACAGGCAGTCCTTTAAGTCTCAACTTGGCTGAACCGGTGTGGAAGCAGCTGGCAGGGATGTGTTTAACTCCAGCTGATATAACAGAGGCAAGTCCTTTATGCAGTGACAAAAGATGTGTAGATTTTGTTTTATTTAGCATTTAACAAATTCTTCCTTGGTATTTAGTTTACACTTAACAGTATACATATTAGTAAATATGAATCTTTTTTCTGCATTCATAGTGCTGTATTAACAAAAGCTATCCACTCAGCTGCCACCTGATCAAAAGTCACATTGGCAAGGTTTCCCGTAGGGGTAGGTTGAGATGCGTGAGCTTGAATATGGAGGGGAAGAGAGCCAAGGGTAGGCCAAGAATGATATGGGGAGAGGTTGTAAGAAATTATCTGAGATATGGTAAGAACCTGACAAGAAAGGCTGCAAGAGACTATGGTGCATGGATATTTGAATGCATTTATATGGTAAGATAGGAAGTAATTTATGGTTTTTGTTATTCTTCTTTGTTTTCCCTAACTCTGTCTCACTGACGCTTACCTGTAGGTTGATCGCCACTATGTCCCGGGGCTGATGTGTGTTCAGCAGATGGAAGGTGATGACAAGGACTTCTGCAGCATGGCCTTACCTTTCACGACCACTTCAGCTGCCGGTCATGATGTGCAACTTTCTACTCGACACACAAGGATTACATTGTCCACTAGACATGAATATGTTCGTCTGGCTCTCAATTACCGGTAAAACAATATAATCTAGTGTTAACAAGTCATCATGTAGAATTAGCAAGAGAAAGTAATTTTATTGGTGAATTTGTTGGGTGTATAGAATTGGGTGTTAAGTGAAAATAAGATAAGGTTTTAAATGATGGTAATAAATCATCAGTTAACATAAATTGAAACAAGTTATGGTATTAATAAATTCTTTGTTATTTTGTGTTGCAGATTACATGAATTTGATGCCCAAGTGTCAGCTGTGAGGGCAGGCATGGCTAGGGTCATTCCTGTGCCATTGCTGTCACTGTTCACACCATATGAACTAGAGACAATGGTGTGTGGCTCACCTGACATTCCCTTAAATCTCCTCAAGAGTGTTGCTACATATAAAGGTAAAACAAATTCAGTTTCTTTGTCATTAGTGTCAGAATTTCTATTTCATTAAATTTTCACCAAGCTTTTGCTGGCAATAGCATATTTTTGCCACGTCTTTCCATGGTTTTTTAAGGGCAAGAGATGAAGTTAATGAGAATGGATGCCCCAAACCTTTTCTCATCAGAGGGAGTAGAAAATGTTGGGAATGAACTATTGGATGTAGAGGCCTCTAATACCCAACTCTGGAAAAGAACCAGCCCACCACTAGGTCAAAGACTCTAGGGAGTTTTATTTGCAGGTATACAAACAATTTAATTATTTCCTTAGGTGTTGATGGAACAGCACCTCTAGTCCTGTGGTTCTGGGAGGTAATGGAAGAATTCAGCACTGCAGAAAGATCACTGTTTCTTCGTTTTGTATGGGGTAGAACACGTTTGCCTCGAACTATTGCTGATTTCCGGGGACGAGATTTTGTATTCCAGGTAAGTTCGTCACAACTTTCTGTTGACAAATCATAAATTACAAGGTACCTTAAGTTTGTCATACTGTACTAATTTCTGTTTACAGAAAAAGGCTTCACTAATGTCATGTATAATACAAGAATAATGGAACTGAAACTAAATGATTAAGCCAAACTTCTCCATGAATGTACAATACAGTAAGTAAAACTGAGATCCCAAATTTTAAATTTTACAGTATCTGAAGCTCTGATATGATACTAACCTTATATTGTTTTATGTTTTTATTGCACAGGTTCTGGATAAGTACACTCCACCAGATCATTTCCTGCCAGAATCATACACGTGTTTCTTCCTGTTGAAGATGCCACGTTACTCCTGCAAGGTGAGTCGTGTATTATACAGTACTGTATACAGGTATATTAATTAATCAGGGAAAAAAAGGTCTAACAACTGTTACCTAAAACTTTTTTTAGGTTTTTTAAATTTTAGACCGTATGCTGTATGTATGAGACGACCAGGAAAGCAAATTACATTTTTCCCATACATGTACGGGACAACCAGTTACCGGTCAAGCTCTCTAGCACTTTCCTACCCTGATCTCACATTTTATAACCATTATTTTTTCCCCCTTTTCTTTACAGGCCGTTCTGCGAGAAAAATTAAAATATGCAATTTACTTCTGCAAAAGCATCGATACGGACGACTATGCACGAGTGGCCATGATTGGTGCAGGAGGCGAAGACAACGTGTCATCAGAATCTGACACCGATGACTGGGACTCCATTGGTAGTGATGATCCTTTGGCATGCGTGTCTATATCCTCTACATGATTGTGCGATCAGCATTGACACTTGATCTGCACATGAACATTATGTGATATTGGAATTTCCATGTGGTAATATAGGAGGAGGAGGATACTTGTACTCTCTAATGCAGTGAAAAATGCTATTAGTGTAAAAAGGTGACACCTCTCATGTACATGTGAAAATTAAATTAATTTTTATTAATGAAGTGTAATATCTGATAACTAAACAATTACAAGTAAAGACAGTGCAATTTACTTTGTTACACTTCTGGGTCTTCCCATAATGTCTTGTTTTATCTGCCTCCAAGTTTTTCAATGAGATGAATTTAGCTAGCTATGCTGTGAATGAATTAAGTTTAACTAATTTATTTACTTCCACTCTATGTATTAACCTGCTGTCATGCTATTATACATCTTACAGAACCAAATGGGCAATGCTGGAGTTCTCTAGTTTGGGGGTACAATATAAACAAGCTTGTCGAGCATTTTTACTTACTTTTAACGATGTCATGAATCAACTGCAAGAAAATTCATCACACTTAGACTTCTATTCTGTCTTAGCCAAGTTTTCATCCATTGAATGCAGAACTAAGTTAATCCAAATTATTTAAACTTGATAAAAAAAAAAATAAAGACCGTTTGTGTTCAAAAAGTTATAAAACCAACATTTGAGGCGCCCAGTGGAAAAGTGATTTTTTTGACCAACCAAGGAAAAATAAGACATTTGTTTTAACCTGCTGCCAGAAGAACTTCTGTAAAACCAGAGACATTTTAGAAGGTACTGTCACCTTCACTAGTACATTTACAGGGGATTGTCAGGTTTTGTGCAGTGTGACAGCGCTGTATTTGTTTACAGGAAATGCGCAATGAATCAAAATAAACAAATATTTCAAATAATATATAAATATAAAGATTTATGTAATGTTTATATGTTTAATAAGAAATGCATTAAATGGACTGTTATTAAGATGGGATGTTTTGCCTAGTACAGTCATGGTGTTTGTGAATGATGAACTATTAACACTCAATTGAGGCTTAAGTTTGTCTATTATTTTCCTCGTCTCCTATATTATGCAGATAACATTCATACTGTTCATGTTAAACTTTGCCAATGCAACATTTCTTATTCATTAATCACAGTCGACAATGGGAGGTTTTCTTCTGATCTAGCATTTTGGTGTAATCATTGTATCGTGGTGACCAATGGCATATATCACTGCAATTAACTTCAAACCTCCTCTTGTTCACACTATGGTCACAGTTTAACATGAACAGTATGAATGTTATCTGCATAATATAGGAGACGAGGAAATTAATAGACAAACTTAAGCCTCAATTGAGTGTTAATAGTTCATCATTCACAAACACCATGACTGTACTAGGCAAAACATCCCATCTTAATAACAGTCCATTTAATGCATTTCTTATTAAACATATAAACATTACATAAATCTTTACATATCTATATTTGTTTTAATATATTTTTTACTTTGATTCTATAGTGTGTTTACTATTGCGAGTTTCCTATAAACAAAAACAGCGCTGCTACACTGCACAAAACCTGATGAGCCCCTGGGTAAACACATTAATGAGGGAAACTGTACATACAGTATGTCATATGGGATCGGTAAAAATGCCTTGAAAAATTATAGGATCATTGCCCTAATGTGTAGCACTAGCGTTACACGATAGGTTAACCGGGTGGGGTAATACTGGCTTATCAACAATGGAACATAGCCACTCAGCGGCGAGCAGTGCCGTGACGGACATACAGCCAATGTGTGGCCTGTGATGAAAGGGTCTGTGCAGTGGTATGCAGAAAAAGTTAAGTTTTTGTTGTCTTCTCATTAGCAATCATGGGTAATCGAGGTAATGTTTTCATGACTCCTCTAAGTGGAAGAAAGAGGTACAGTACATGTACTGAAGAAGAAAAGAAATCATGTTGAAGCATATGTAAGGATGATCAGCAATAAAGATGGAGATTGGGCCTTCAGCAATAAAGATGGAGATTGGGCCTCTCTCTAAGTGCGGCTGCCTAATACGTACAGTATACTGTACACCTATCTTCGACTTGTATTTCATTAACGTGTTTAATGACCATTTATTGCAGGTTTCAAGGTGACTTACTTCCTAAGTCATACTCTAATTTATAACTACTGTACGTATTGTGATCTTGATGACTTCAAATTTCTTTACACATTCAAAAATTACATTAAATTTACTATCATTTGACACGTACATTATTAAAATTGTGCGTTGGGTTATGGTGATGTGCTAAAAGTAGTATAAGTCAACTTTAACTGCAATTATCTCTGCTCACGGTTTTGGCGCATATGTCACTCTTCTACCGCTTGCCTCATTTCCCCAAGGTATATGACTCATGCCAAGACAACTTTTAGAATAATATGATTAATAATGAATTTTTGTAATAAAAAAATTATTTCTAATGCAAAAAAATGTTTTTGTAATACAATGAGCCTCCTAATAATATTGCCTCAGAATTTTGATGTATGGAATACTGAATACGAAAATATTCTAAAATTGTAAACAAGTTCACATGGCTTGACAAATTCTTTAAATAATTTTGAAGTGCATTTCACAGATTCCTATTCAACCCCTGAGAGTAGATATGAAACATTTTCATCAAATTAAGGAACACAATAATATAAGACCAGTTGCAAACACTTGATTTAAAAGACCATTTTGCATTTGTATATAATGAAATTTACTCTTTTAAATAAAAAATCATGAACAGTACGGCAGATACTTACCCCTACTTTATTACCTATTAGAGATTTGCAAGTTTGTTTTGTACTTAAAAAAAAAAATCTAATTTAGAAACTAAAAGAATTTTCTGCACATAATGTCAAGGAGTTTTTTTTTTAATCTTTAAGTTTGGTTTTATCTAAGAAAAACTCACTTTTTTGTGCCTTAAAATTATCAAATTTACTTCCTATGCATTGTCTGAATACTGTATCAATTTCTATGTAGCAATTTTGTTCTAAAGTTTTGTCATAGGAAAACCGAAAAATACAGTCCAGTAATAATTATATCAATGATTCAACTAATGTACTGTACAGTATAGTCTCGGTTTATGCGGATATTTTATACGCGGTTGGTCATTTACGCGGCACCTGTCCAGACGTGCCAATTATTAGTTATGCGGTACATTCCTGAATTTACACAGGAAGCGGCGCGGGCAAGCTGCGCGCTAGGTCGCTCTGACGTCACCACTGACGTCAGACTCGTGCTGATGACATTTCAGACTGTGATTGGGCCACGTGTCCTTACCACCCACACATCCCCTCCGCCGCGAGCTGTGGTTGGTCTATTTAACCTTGCTTGCCCAGTCAACAAAGCATTACCGAGTTCTTCACCCGCCACTCACCACAGGCAACCCAAGTCAGTGATAGTGAGGATATGGACTTTGAGGGGTTTGACAAGGAGGCCCTGCTAGCCTCTGTGGTGGATAGTGATACAGGTGAGGGCCAATAATCTGCCCTCTGCCTCGGAACCAGCCTCCCATCCCTGTGTGCCCAGCCATCTCTTCTACTTATGTAAGTGTTAAAAAACCTAATATTATTGATATTTCTCTTATATATTAATTGTGTGTGCATACTATCATAAAATTAAGATGTTATTTTTACTACAACGTACGTATTGTGTGGGAAAAAGGGTAGTCTGGGGGTCGGCCCAGTCTCTATTTCAATTAATCCCATGTGTTCTGTTATTTTGTTTACGCGTTTCGCGTTATACGCGGACCCCCATGGGTTTAATTGACCGCTTAAACCCAGACTATATTCTATTATAATGAAGCTTCAAATAACAGTATTCTTCCCTGTATCATGGCCTGCCTCTCACTCTCCCCATTGTATTTCTTCTAAATAGCAAAAAATTTATTAAAAAATTTGAAGACAAACAAATGATTTTTTGGTCAACGAACATGGGGAGATATTGAATAAGCTGTATGAAACTCGGTGACATTGAATAAAACACTCAATAGCTTTAAGTTGTACTCACTGTTTGTGGCTCATTAGTTCCTTTGCACAAAGTTTAGCTGTGTGTTGTAGGGTTTAGCACTTGTTTTTTTTATATTTTTGTAAATATATGTGTAACAGTAAACGAGTGAATCCTTATGTCTTATTTGGTAATCATAATTTCTGTGGCATTTTAATTGGAATGGAAGACTGGCTAACATACTGTATGTAAAAATTTTAACTGAGAAAGGTCTATCATTACAAACACTGTGGTTTGTGATTGTTATTCTGAAAATACAAAAATAAAAACCATTCTAAATATATATGAAAATATTTTTGTCATGTACAGTACAGAACATTTTGGAGGGACTCTGTCACCTTAGGTAGCAATAGTAGCACATAATGCAGTTATATGAGTGTTAAGTACTGTATAATATGATGTAATGTAGGCATTACTGCTACAATGTTGTGTTCAACCAGGAGTCCCAAGCAATTTTAGTATGATTCATTTAGTGCTTTGAAACATCTTTGTATTATGTGAGGCAGAGTTAATACTGTTGTCTAGTTTTATGTTAAAAAAACAAAAATAAGTAAATTTACTTATTATGAATTATTGAAAGCGGTAATAGCCAGTTTCATGCCAGATAACACAACATTTGACAGTTATATTGTTGTGGTCCAAGTTACTCACTTCAGTTTCATGTACAAACATACTAGATCTGATACCTTGTATTTCTACTTCCTTTAAACTGATATTTACTTCCTTTCCATAAGTGTGAAGCATGTAATAATATGCAATGAAAATATATTTATTTCATATTTCATAATATGCAATATACTTTCTTCTAACTTTTGTATGTAAAATTCAACCCTTTCTTTAAGCCTTTCATTATGTAAAGACTAGAAATTAAAGTAATTTACCGTGTAGCCGATGTATTATTTACTATTGATTTCCTTTGTCTCAAGATACAGTACATTAGTGCCTCTTGACCTACTTTTTAACTTGCATGAAATTAGGTATACCCAAATATTTCTACTGTATAAGTTTGAACAATGGATAACCTAATCTTGGCTGTAGGGGCTAACCCAGAGTGAGACAATGAAAGCCACATGTAGTAGGTAGCAGTCAGCTATCAAACAGGGAGGTACTACTGCCTGGGGAGATATTGGAAGCATAATGTGTTGTGTAATGGCACCCCTTTGTTCCAGCACTGGGCAACAGTGCTAGAACTAGAGCTGTTGGTACTGGTGTATGTGCATTCTCTGCACCAATCCTCATTCACCATGTACCTTGATGTATTGACGGTACTGGCCCCATGGTTCAATGCCCTAGACCACACTAACTATGCAAGGTGGGACATGTTCACCTAAGAGACATGGCAGAACTTGAAAAAAAAAAACCCAGATGTAGCCAGAGAGTTCAATACTGTACAGGCAACTTCACGGTGCAGAAGACGAAGAAGATATTCTCATCAATCCCGATTGATCAGGCTCACGAACAGAACAACGCCTGCATCAAAGGCGATGGTTTCTGGTCCAGAAGTTGCAAAAGTGATAGAAGAGTTCAAAGATGAGCACCGGTACTGGAGCAGGCAAAGAGACACTCACCATCATGACCAGATTCCTAGTGTGCAAACTTCATTCATCAAAGATGTCCACTCCCTTGTCAGTGTGGTAGAAAAGCTTGGTAACCCTTTTGAGGAGGAAAGCCTGGATCTGGTGGCCCTTCACACCAAGGAGATCGCCAGTCCTGCAGCTGAGATTGTCAGAAATGCGAAGAGCATTGGCCAAGACCTGTTCCATACCTTCGCCAGAGAACGTCTGATGGAAGGAACCAAGCCTGTCGATGCTCTTCTTCATTGAAACAAGCTGAAGGTGTTCAGTGTTTCCATCTCAAGTAAGGGAAGCAAAGAAAAGGAGCAGCTGGCCTCTCTCAAGCATGATGTGAGCCTTTTCTCGCGGCTGTATATTGGCTGCCAGACAAGGGATGGAAACCTTGAAGAATTCTTTAGTCACGAAAATCAAGCATGTCCTCCTGCACTCTCTGATGGAGGTAGCATCCGTCTATGCTGTTTCAAGGCCAGACTTGACCAACACTGGAGCAGGTTCAGAGACATTAAGGAGCCAGTGCATGCCCAGTACTTGCCAACAGTGCGTAACAGAGACGTGACCGATCACCTGAGTGGCTCGATCAGTGGCAAAGAGGCTTAAAGTAAAATTATACACAGGGAGGGAGGGAGGGAGGTAAGGGCTACCACCTCGGCCGGACACAACTTAGCTCCATAAATACATCATGCAGCATTGCTTTCAACATTCTAATACCAGCTTTTAAGATGTATGTTATGTATGTTTTTACGCATCGCCACCAAGAAGAACTGTATGTATACAGACAATAACCACTCCTAAGGATACATGAAACAAATGGTGTTTGTATATTTTGTATTTTGACTATAATCCTTAAGATATCACATTAAAAAGTCGCCGACCAATTTGTTAGTTTAATTTATAAATACTTACAAAAATATTTATGTAATGAATATACATACAGTACATAACGGCATAAAACAATAACAATTTAACTGAAGACAAGCACTGTTATCACGTTGAACATAATAAGATTCATTTAATTAGTTTGTGCTTGGGAAAGATAATTAAAAAGTTAACATTACTTAAATTGGTGTCAACATCTCTTCTATTCCTACGTACTGTATATAGCACCATTAGCAGGCTGTTGGTTCACTGTCTCCCAAGTTAACATTAACATATTATTACAGCACTGTTTAACATGATTTTATGAATATCCCTCCTCTACATACTAAACCCAGCACTACCACATCATGTTACAGTAGGCCTATCCTCACTTGTAACCTCTACTACAGGTACTACAATGTATGTTATAACCAACCACACCTCTACTCGCATTACATTGCCACATGATCACATAACGCCTCAGCTCTCACATTAGTCTATAACTATATTAACATACACAAGCACCAGGCACTTGTTATATATTCACATACAGCAGATTATGTTACATGTTATTTAGAGGTTAAATTAAAAATGTAATAAATAACGTATCATTTCAAAAGAGCTGTGACTCTTAAAGATTTGTTTGATTATACAGTACAAGTTCCTTCTCAATTTTCCGACTACATAAATAGTTCCAGTTGTCTCACTTAAAAAATACGATGATTATACACTAAACATAAGACAGTAGATAAGGGGAGTATGTGGCGAGTCATATCCCCTGATGAGTGACTTTCCACCGAGTCACTTCCTTTGATGAGTGAGGTCGTTTGGCGAGTGACTTTCCGGGGTAAGTGACGTCCCTTGGTGAATGACAACATCTCCCGGAGAGGAATGATTCTGAGTGAAGTCTTTTGATGAATGAAGTCCAAAGGGAATAACATCCCTGCAAAAGTGACTCTCCCTGTCGTAAGCTTATTCGTACATGACCAATGTCTGTAAGGAGGAAAATTTTATAACATACTCCCACAGTCTGAATTTAAAATGTTTGTAGAACCCTTCCCCTGAGTTTTGTTTATAATTTGAGTGGATCGTATACATCAGCTTCCCTGTAAACATTGCATTTACTGTTTGATCTGTACATCCACGAGTTAATAAAAAAGTAGGATCATATAAAAATTGGGCACCCGAGCTTATTTCACACAATTAAATTCCGTAATGCTACCTGGGGAAGCTATGTTAGGTAAGGTTAGCGTTATAGCATTTTTATAGTGGTCCTCGTAGCACCTGACTCTAAAACAACAACACTCCACAGGCTCTTCATGATGCATAAAACAATGCCATTTATTTAGCTGAACTCGGAATTAGATAAGAAGTAACAATTATATACTGTTAACAAATAACACGAGTGACTGACCGTATAGCCTCTCCTAGGTGGCTAGATATATATTGAACAAATGGTAATATCATAAGTTAAAAGATATTAAATCCTCAAAAAATAGCCAACTAAATATCTCGGATATCTAAAATATATAATATTGATTATAATATATGTCTCTCTAAATATATACCGGGTACTCATTTATACCGTTGTGTCTATCTTTTCCATTAGACTGTGTGTGGCGGTAGGAATAGACAGAACACTCGCCCCTTGTTCCAGGGGTTACTGGTTCGCATTCAGGGTACTTTACAGTTGGAGGAAATAAGAGCAGTCGAGTGCAATACTGACCACAATATTATCAGTGTGATATATATATAGGGAATGGTTAGGCCTAAGAAACCTACTTTCAAATTTGCAAACAAGAAAAAGTAAATACAATAAATAAACAACTCTACATGTGCCGGTAGAAGACTTGTTAGTTTATAACTAAAGTGTGTATACTGTATATAGTAATTTGGAATAATTTTCTAGAATTTTACTTTATTAGACATGTTTAAATGTACTTTCCTGGATGCCACAGTTTAGCACGGGGTCGTTGGCGACACTTGTGTGCTGGCGGTCTACCATGGAGAACATGTAAACACTAGGATAGGTATTACATATAATAACAAAGGCAAGAAATGTGACTAGCCTACCGGGTCGAGGCTGGCTTACTAAGTTTACAATAATAAAAACAAAAATTATGCGAGATTCAATCTTTTCCATTAAAAATATTAATTTTTACTTTTTTCTTTATCCATAATCCCTGATTAATAAAGGAGCCTATACTTATATTATAATATTCTAGACAAGATGCATTGGAGCCATAGGAGTGTCACACAACAGTAAAAAATATGTAATTATGATATGTGAAGATGTGCATTGAATATTGACTGTGTTTTGGAGTTTTTACACTTGACTAAGAGGTAGTGATGAGCATGTCTCTTTACTCCACAAGAAATACTGACAGAACAAACAAATACTATTAAGTTTTAATCTTACACTTTCCTCTGAGTTAGTTTTGATTACGGAGTGTTTCATTGGGAGAATTCTTTGATAACTGGAACATCTGCTATGAAGATTTGCTATAAGAAAATATAAATATAAATTAATAAGAATGAATGTCTTTAACCTACAGTACGTCTACATACAGCAGCTAGATCTATGGTAGCGACGGTTCTATCGGACTCTCGGACAGATTCTATTGGCTATTATTCTTACAGTTACAATACACTATTGTTAGCATTGCCATTCCCTGGTGTGTGTTCAATGCCAACATTATCTGTACTTTGGACTTGTTGCTGGTCTTTCTGGCAGTGTGGGGACTCAGGTGTATTGAGGCCACTTGTCGCTGCCTCCAGGAGCGGCGTCATGTTGGTGTGGCAATCTGCTGTTTCCTGTCGCTGGCGCTGTGACCGTTTCCGTCTGCTGAACAAGAACTTGCACTGTCTGTTTTCTACGTCCTGCAGAGTCTCCGGCAGCGGTCTCTTGTTGGTTTCGGGAAGGAAGGGCACTAAAAGACTGCCTAGGATCCCAGCACAGCCGAAGGTGACGCTGACTGCCCACCAGGCGTATTCTGCCTGTCATTCAAGTAGGGAAAGATAGTTTAGGTGGTATAATTCAAGTTAATACTGCAAAATTAACAAAGAGGTTTTTTGTTAGGGCTGAATTAATAGCCAAGCGAGCTCTCAGATGCGGACGTAGAGGTTAAAGTATTTGACAGACAATAAATTGGAGTTTCTTGTGGGTGTAATAATGAGCAATATTCATAACATTGGCTCTCACTGAGTTATCTATATTGTACTTAACAACTATGTTACGACAATACTTGCACTCATTACAATAAAGTTTAATAAAGACGTTTCACTGTTTCAATGCATACTTACTATAGTGGATAGTTATACACCTCAAGATTATGCCCGATTGCATACCTTGGTTAGAGAGTTTATACACACTGCAAAGAGTATACACACTAGCCAAAGCGTGTACAGCAACCATGACGTGTACACTAACTACGAGATGCTACGAGATGTACTGTACATTATGCTTACCAGGACGTAGGTGATAAGAGGGGCGCAGGAGAAGCCGACACTGCCCATAACGTTGACGAAGGCGAACCCCCTGGCCCTGGTCTCTGTGGGGAAGAGCTCCGGAGCATACACGTAGTTGACCTGTGGCTCCGTCAGAAGTTGCGAAGGTGGGTGGGAGAGAATAACCATATTGGTCAACTAGTGAGGTTGACCCGAACCACCGCAAATATGGTGTTGGTGGTCAACTTTTATCAACCAATGTATTAACTTTATCATGTGTAAGATGTTTGAGTGTTAAGTAATAATTTATACTTGAATTATTGGAAGACACAAACAGTTGAGAAAATGTTGGATAAAAATACTGAAAATTTTTAAGGTGCCATTGATGATTATTTGTCTTACCACAGATAACAGACATCAGTAAGGAGTGCCAGGTAGCAGTGAGGAGTGCCAGGTAGCAGTAAGGAGTGCCAGGTAGCAGTGAGGAGTGCCAGGTAACAGTGAAGAGTGCCAGGTAGCAGTGAAGAGTGCCAGGTAGCAGTGAGGAGTGCCAAATAGTAGTGAGGAGTGCCAGGTAGCAGTGAGGAGTGCCAGGTAGCAGTGAGGAGTGCCAGGTAGTAGTGAGGAGTGCCAGGTAGCAGTGAGGAATGTCAGGTAACAGTGAAGAGTGCCAGGTAGCAGTAAGGGTGCCAGGTAGCAGTGAGGTGCCAAATAGTAGTGAGGAGTGCTAGGTGGCAGTGAGGAGTGCCAGGTAGCAGTGAGGAGTGCCAGGTAGCAGTGAGGAGTGCCAGGTAGCAGTGAGGAGTGCCAGGTAGTAGTGAGGAGTGCCAGGTAGCAGTGAGGAATGTCAGGTAACAGTGAAGAGTGCCAGGCAGCAGTGAGGAGTGCCAGGTAGCAGTGAGGAGTGCCAGGTAGCAGTGAGGAGTGCCAGGTAGCAGTGAGGAGTGCCAGGTAGTAGTGAGTGGAAAGGACCCTTGTCACTCACCTGGAAAGCACCAGCCACCAGTAAGAAGCCAAGCATGACCAGAAGCCAGTCAACCCAGAAGTATCCAGAGTCTGTTAATAAACACAATATACTGCTAACTTTTATGTCATCTAACTCTCCACATTTTGCTATTCTAAAGTCATAATGTGATATATAAAAGAACAGTTGACCCAGATATTTTACATGTACTATACGCTAAAGCGAGAGAGAAGTGGTCAACTTACCCTCTGGGACGAGGAGTTCGAGCATGAGGAGGGCGCCACCCAAGGCTAAGCCCGCCCACACCATGACGCGACGACCCAGGTAACCGGTAAGGGGAGTGATAACCACGATGGCCACCGCCTCCATCAACCCAGACAAAGCCAGATACAGGAACGGATCAGTACTGAGGACAATATATACCGTCACCACCACACTACCAACACTGGTCACCACCTACACTGGTCACCACCACACTACCTACACTGGTCACCACCACACTACCCACACTGGTCACCACCACACTACCTACACTGGTCACCACCACACTACCTACACTGGTCACCACCACACTACCTACACTGGTCACCACCACACTACCTACACTGGTCACCACCACACTACCTACACTGGTCACCCACCACACACTACACTACCCACACTGGTCACCACACAGTACCTACACTGGTCACCACCACACACTACTACACTGGTCACCACCACACCTACACTGGTCACCACCACACTACCCACACTGGTCACCACCACACTACCTACACTGGTCACCACCACCACACTCACCACCACTACACTGGTCACACACCACACCTACACTACAGTAGTCACCACCACACTACCCACTGGTCACCACCACACTACCTACACTGGTCACCACCACACTGCCTACACTGGTCACCACCACACTACCTACACTGGTCACCACCACACTGCCTACACTGGTCACCACCACACTACCTACAGTAGTCACCACCACACTACCTACACTGGTCACCACCACACTACCTACACTGGTCACCACCACACTACCTACAGTAGTCACCACCACACTACCTACACTGGTCACCACCACACAACGCCGCCTTTTTAATAAATCATTGGATTTCTTCCTCACTCAGATGTTTCCAATCACGTTAGTAATTGGACAAAAGAATCGCTACAATATATATAATGTCGTTTACCCTGGCGCTGGTGCAGTGAACATATTCATTCTGTGTTAACTTTACAACTGACAACAAATCTGTGTAAATGAGTATAAGGTGTCGTCAGAAGCACCTTCAAGAGTCAGTACTGACCTGGTAAAATTATTAGCATTGATAAGGACACCCAGGTAAAGACAGCTCTGCAGGAACCACAGTATTGGAGTCACGATGATGATGGTGCGCATGGCGGGTGCGCGCAGGTACGACCACACCTGACGTACGGCAGATAGTAACAGGCTGGAGCCATGGGAAGCCCCGCTGGAGGTCGCTTTGCTTTCCTGGTGAAGTCCGTTCACCATAAAGTAACAGAAAATAAACAAGAGAAAAAATCATTAATGGAATTTGCACAAGCTTCTAAAATTTGGTTTCCAACATTTGCTGGCAGACACATATATGAGAAAAAATGATACTTAGCTTCCAAATACCGACGGCAATTTGTCCACACTATTGACAAACGGACGGACGGACAGGTGTCATAGTCATGGTCACAGTAGCACCTATATTCTATTAACCCCACCACTCATTTATATTACATAAAACATTATTTTCATGAGTTACCCGTATGACGTTTTCTCCACTACAGTACCCGTATAAGAAAAACACGATTTATCTTGAAATATATTTACATTAAGTCTTCAAGTATAAATTATTCAAAACCCCGAATGTTTAGCATTAAGCGCAGGAACAACATAATAGTGTTGTGAGTCTCTGAGAGCCAGTCAGAGGAAGATGAGAGTAGGAAAACTCACAATAAGATGGGGTTTGAGAATATTCGTACAGAGGCTCTGAAACTGTTAGCCCCCCCTCAAGATGTGAGGAGGCTAGGACAAAAGCAGGAAAGTGAGGTGCTTCCCCATTTGGGGTAATGTCACCCCGTTTGGTCCCAGAGGTATGCGAGAGACTGCTGTAGTGGACGTCTCCCCTACAACTGCGTAGCCGCATTCCAATGCCACAGTATCCTAGCAACCAGCCACCTACTACGTCTTCCCTAGCAACCAAACGAGCGGCCCAGGGGGGAGGCCTCACCAGATGCCACAGTATCCTAGCAACCAGCCACGTCTTCCCTAGCAACGGAGTCAAGAAACCGGCGACTTTCCACGGATTTACTTCCGGCGGCTGTGTATATAAGCTCTGTCTCTCCATTGAGATTCATTCTGGCCTCGGTTCCTGAACACGCAACACCTCCTCCTCCGCCGCTGCCTGGCGGCCCTCGCTTCTCCTCCGCCTGTCTGGCGGTCCTCGCTCCCGCCGGCGAGCATGGCGACCCACCAGCTGTCCTTCTCTGAGCGTCCTCACCAACCAGCTCTCTCATTCTACTCTACGTTCCTGAACACGCAACACCTCCTCCAAGCAAGCTCCTCGCTGTCCAGCTTTCATTCAACCAGGAGGCCAGCAACAGGCAACATCTTCTCTAACGAAGCTCCTGCACATCTACCTCCTTCAACACGCTACTCACCGAACGTGTCTACTGAGCAGCTCCTCACCACACGGCATCTCCAGCACCAGACTGTCTACCATATAACTTATATTATATAAGAAAACCACCACCTTAGAGTTTCCATCCATCCTGAGTGCTAGACAACATAATATCACGAAACCCTACACTGCCAATTGATTGAAAATGTCCAGATTGGTGCCTGCTCTATGGAACCTCAGTTACCCAGAAAGATTAGAACGCCTGCAACTTCCTAGCTTGTACTACAGACGAGCTAGGGGCGACCTAATCGAAACGTATAAACATCTCAGGGGGCACAACTCGATCGAATTTACATGCCTGGAGCTGGCGGACGCCCAACCCACAAGGGGTCACAGGACAATGTTGAAGAAACCACAAGCCCAGAAAACGGTAAGGGCAAAGTTTTTCCGAGTGCGATTTGTGAACTCTTGGAACATTCTGCCAGAGAGTATTGTGACAGCACTGGGCATGAGGTCATTCAAGGCCAGACTTGACCAACACTGGAGCAGGTTCCAATATATAAAGGAGCCAGTACATGCCCATTACTTGCCAACAGTGCGTAACAGAAGCGTGACCGACCGCCCAAGCGGTTAAGGAGCCGATCAGTGGCGAAGAGGATAAAAAGTAAAAGTAACAAGCTTCGCCCCCTCAGGATCACACTGATCAGTGAGGATAAGAAATGGAAAGCTATTTGGCACGCAAAACACTTAGCAAGGAGCGATGCATTTCGGAATATATTCATACACCCAGATCGCACGGTGATGCAGATAGAACAGCACAAAAAACTTCTATGGTATGGGGACGTACAGTACGTGCATGAGTTATGTACAAGGGGAGGGTAGTGGAAACAAATGCGCCAACACAGAACCAGGGGAAAGCAGAACACCCCCATCCGCTCTACAGGAGGAGACGAGCTCCATGTGAACAATATTATCTCTGACCACACCCCACAAAGTACAATGTATTCAGTAAACGCTGCAGCTACTGAGAATGGGGGGAGGCCGAAGTCACTACCAAGATCAGAGACATTACCAAGAAAAAATTTCGCATTGAAAGTCATGTACACTAATACTAACACGTTCCTTAATAAGAGAGCGGAGTTTGAAACACTACTGAAAGTACATCAACCCGATATAGTATGCGCTGTAGAGCTGTTGTATAAGAACAGAAGAATTAACCTGGAGGAATGCGAGTTCAATATAGACGAATATGACTCATTTACGAACCTTTCTTAAGCAACTTACAAGAGGGGTGTGGTTATCTATGCTAGGCAAGACCTTAGAGCCAGCCAGGTGAGGATACAGGGGGAGGATGTTTTTGAAGAATCAAAGAAGTATGAAATTAAATTAAAGGAGGGAGGCTTATTTATTGTTGGATGTATCTACAGATCCCAAAACTGTCGCTTTTTAACCAAAGAAACTCATGAGCCTTAATAGACAATGCAACGGTGCTCAATCCTAGCCACCTCCTTGACAAGGGGGACTTTAACTATGGCGACATCGACTGGAGAATTGAAACCACGCCAGCTGACCTTAATAATCCCGCGACCCTTTTTGTAGAAACTCTAGAGACAATTTTCTATTTCAACATGTTAAAGATCCGACTCATTACAGAGGGGAGCAAACACCCAAACCACTGGACCTCATCATAGCTAACAAGGAGGGTATGGTGGTGGCCAAGCTGGAACACCTAGCCCCCGTTGGAACCAATCACTACGTAATGTTGTCCTTCAGATTTAACTGTTACTTGGTTCATGATAAAACGAGACCGAGGTTCAAATATTACAATGGTAATTACGACGGGATAAGAGAGGAGATGGGGGGTATTCACTGGCATTCAAAATACCGTATGTTTGTGGTATATCGCACAAAGAGTGTGTAGTGGACGTCTCCCCTACAACTGTGTATCGCATTCCGACGCGCTGCCGTATCCTAGCAACCAAGCGAGAGCTGACACCAGATGGTACGGTAGCCTAGCAACGAAACTATTCACCGGCGACTTTCTGGGTTTTCCCAACATGATTCATAGAGGACTGGCGGCTGCTGCTGGGTATATAAGCTCTGTCTCTCCATTGAGATTCATTCTGCCCATCTTCCTGAACAAGCAACACCTCCTCCAGCAAGCTCCACGCTGTCAGCATTCATTCAACCAGGAGGCTATAGTGGAATTCTCCCCTACAAACGCTGTTTGTCGCTGCCTAGCCGACCCCACCAATTCCCCAGTGTATGCCTCGTGGTCTAGGTCAACCAGCGCCGCCATACACCACGGAGCGGGGGTCAACTGCTAAGCCACGCCTACCCCCGCTATTTAAGACCTGACCTCGTGGTGATCTCTCTCTTTCTACCTACACCAACCAGCCAGCAACACCTCCGCCTGCCTGGCGGTCCTCGCTCCTCCGCCTGCCTGGCGGTCCTCTCTCCCGCTGGCGAGCATGGCGACCCACAAGCTGTCCTTCTCTGAGCGTCCTCACCAACCAGCTCTCTCTACATCACGCTTGTAACCATGCTGCCTTCCCAGCACCAAGCTGCATTGTACATCCAATACAACATGTATATAGAGAGCACATTGTGAGTTTCCTTTCTCCATCCCATCCTGAGTGTGAACCAAACAATTTCATACCCCACAAGGCCAGCAACAGGCAACATCTTCTCTAACGAAGCTCCTGCACATCTTCCTCCTTCAACACGCTACTCACCGAACGTCTCTACTGAGCAGCTCCTCACCACACGGCACCTCCAGAACCAGACTGTCTATCATATAACTTATATTATATAAGAAAACCACATTAGAGTTTCCTTCCATCCTGAGTGCTAGACAACATTAATATTTCGATACCCCTACAAGTGTCTCGAAGAAAGTTACAAAGAACAAGCTGAGTATGTTCAGTTGACAACCAGAGAAAAGCAAATCCCTCTGTCACAGAAACAGTTTCCATCAGTGAGGCAGGATCGAAGTCTGCTCCCTAGCCTTTCCATTGCATGCCAAGTCCGTGATACCGACGTAGCTGACTTCTTCCACCATGAGAATCACACTTACTCTCCATTATTATCTGCCTATGGCGGTACGAGATTTGGAATTGAGTCAGATTTCCTCTTCTCGAAGATTTGGTCCCACACCATGACAGTACCAGTTTCCAAAAGTATGCAGATATGGTAATTCTTGATGGTGTAGCAACTGTCAACATGGTCAAGCAAAGTACTTGCAAGAGTTTTGATGATCATGTACACCAGATCAAGGAATACATCAGGCGTCAGTTTTAAAGTTCTGCGAAACATGTTGACATGGTATTTGATGTATACAAAACAGGTAGTCTGAAATCAACCAGAAGGGAAAAAAGGGGACATGGTACCTGACGACGAGTTGAAGGAAGATCAAATTTCCCAGGGAATTGGCCGGACTTTATGCGAGAGAGTGAAAATAAGAAAGAGGTTTTCCTCGAGGATACAGTAAAATATTCTCCAGGACTGTGGGCAAGGATGCTGGGGTGCTCTACATAGGCTTAACTACAAAGATAGGCTATGAATGTCTTTGGTACGGGACGGTCCTTTCGCTATCTTGATTTTACACGGCTGGCTGAGGTATTAGGGGAGGAAAGTTGGTTTCAGGAAGTCAGAGAAAATGGACGGCACCTAAGCCAGAGAAAATGCGTTTCTTCCTAGGGATAACTCACCAGTTATCCACATGTTTTGTGGGCATGGAGCATAATATGAATCATCAGGTTTCAAACAGACCAGCAGTCATTGTGACCATAACATCAGCCCAGGCAGTGCCTGCGAGAATGGCACTGACAGTCTGACACTTTAGCTGTTACCATCACACGGTGAACACCCAACCTATTCAGTGTGAGACCTTCAACACATATGTTCAACCTATACTTAAGTTTATTCAGGTAGACTGTGTCCATTGTATTGTTTATCACTGTGACAACATGGAAATATGGCAATTAAACATTTATGTATGATTACCTACGTATAATTTATTATTTGAAATCCTAATTATGAATTGTATTCAACAGATTTCACCGAATTATAAAGTTCAAGTTCAACGTGATGAGTCTTATTATCCCTTAATAGCCATATGGAAGATTACAAACACACTGTTATTCCTTTTATCTGCTATTTTTAAGTCTTTCTGTTGTGATGCATGATGTGTATCATACGAGTTTGGATATATATGGCTATTATTGGCTATTTATTTTGTTCATAGACATTTTAAAACTATGATTTTACAGATATCAATATGATTTTTTGTGACACCATGTGATATTAAAATTTTGTCCTATTATGTTATTGACATGATTCTATAGGTTTTGTGTTAATACATTCCGTCATACCTTTATATATAGTAGATGTGTAGTAAGCAATATTAATTATATTTTTTACTTTTTACTTTTATCCTCTTCGCCACTGATCGGCTTGTTAGCCGCTTGGGCGATCGGTCACGACTCTTTTCCTTTATATTCTTCACCAAAAGGTCGGCTCGCTAGCCGCCCGGGCGATCGGTCACGTCTCTGTCACGCACTGTTGGCAAATACTGGGCATGCACCGGCTCCTGAATGTACCTGAACCCGCTCCAGTGTTGGTCAAGTCTTCTCTTGAAAGAGCTCACACTCGGTGCCGTCACAACACTTTCTGGTAGATTGTTCCAAGAGTTTACAACCCTCACTCCGAAAAAGTTTGCCCTCACGGTTTTCCGGACTTGCGGCTTCTTCAATCTTGAGCTGTGACCCCTTGTGGGGCGAGCGTCCGCCAGCTCCAAGTAAGGACACTCAACTGAGTAGTGCCCCCTGAGATGCTTATAAACCTCAACTAGGTCCCCCCTTGCCCGTCTGTAGTATAAGCTAGGCAAGTTCAGGCGCTCCAATCTCGCAGGGTAGCTGAGATGCCGAAGTGCAGGCACCAGCTTGGTGGCCCTCCTTTGAACATTTTCAACCAACTGACAGTCCCTAGCATATCTCGGGGACCAGATGGGGTGACAGTACTCCAGATGGGGAAGCACTTCACTCCTGAAGATCGTCACGAGGGACGGACCGTCTAGATATCTGAACGACCTTCTTATAAGACCCAATAATTTATTTGCCTGATTTACCTTCTTCTCACAATGGCCCGAGAACTTCAGCTCATTGTCAACATACACACCTAGGTCCTTCTCACACACAGTCTCAACTAGTACATTTTCTTCATCCCGTTGGGACATATGGTACGCCTCCTTACCGTTGGTACGCCCCAGGTGCATCCTCTTACACTTCGTGACATTGAATCTCAGCAGCCATTCCTTCGACCATTCCTGGAGCCCACAGAGGTCCTTCTGCAGCTCTTCACAGTCCGCTTGGTTCTTAATTTCCCGAAATAACTTGGCGTCATCGGCAAACATTTGTATGGAGGAGTGTACAACGTCAGGCATATCATTTATGAAACAAACAAACAACAGCGGGCCCAATACACTACCCTGCGGTACCCCACTTGTTACAGGTACAGATGACGATTTCGTGCCATTAATCACCACACATTGCTTGCGGTCATGTAGAAAGTCTTCTATCCACGCTAGGACATTTCCCCGAATTCCGTACCCTTCCAGTTTGATTTTCAGCCTTTCGTGGGGTACACTGTCGAAAGCCTTGGCAAAATCTAGGTAAATATTGTCGATATTACCACCCCGTTCTAGAATATGGGTCCAAATATCCAATACCTTGAGCAATTGTGTCAAGCAAGAGCGCCCCGGCATAAAACCGTGTTGGCAATCTTTTACAAGGTTGTTTCGTAGTAGATGTTCCATCGCTGCATCTCTGATAATACTCTCAAGTACTTTACATATTATGCTGGTCAGGCTCACCGGTCTATAGTTGTTCGTGGAGTGCCTATCGCCCTTCTTGAAGATAGGACTCACATAAGCCACTTTCCATTCACTGGGGACCATTTGTTCATCCAGGCATTTACAAAACAGAATCTTCAGGGGCTCTGCAAGCTCGTTGCACAGCTCCCTTAGCACTCTAGGATGCACCATGTCAGGTCCAGGACTCTTATGGACCTTTAGCCTGGACAGTTTATTTCTAATACCCTCTTCTGTGAACACAATGTGGGTCAGTGCTGTGTCGAACCGTCTGTCCTCAAACGCAGGAAGGTTAGTTGCATCCTCTCTTGTGAACACTGAGGAAAAGAAGCTGTTCAATGCCTCAGCTTTATCCTGGTCAGAATCTGCGTAACTACCATCTTCAAGCCTCAGGTCTGATACTCCTACTCGCGTTTTCAATTTCGACTTTGCATAGCGGTAAAACGCCTTTGGGTTTGACTTGACCTCGCGTGCAACCAGCCTTTGGAACTCCTTTTCAGCCCTCCTACACTCTATCTTTGCTTGGTTTCTGGCTCTTGCATACATCCTCCTGTCTTGCTCATCGTTTGACCCAACCCACGTCTTGAATTTCTGGGTTTTCTTCTTAATTTTGTCGACCGCCGCATGGTTCATGTGTAGGGATCCCCTCGTATTCCTAGAAGCACTGGGTTTGGTCTTGGGTATATATTTATCGATCAAATGGGTCATTTTACTAGTTATGATATTCAGCGTAGTGTTGCGAAATATGCTGTCATTTGAATTTCGAACACTATTTTCTGTGTTGTATTAATAATCTCAGTGCAACTTTAAATTTTGATAGTCATTTTCTGAGGTGTTAAGTTCACCAAGAAGTGTCTAAATTTTAGTTTTGATAATACCGACATTACTCTTAAGTTGTAGGCCTATGTGCCATGAGAATGATAAAGGAATATAGTACCTACAGTACATGGATATTACATTGGATTTTACTCTTGGTAATATTACTGCACTATATGTATGTACTTGATCACCTTTTGATGTACCAAAGTATACAGTGTTACAACAGTGCGTGACAGAGACGTGACCGATCGCCCGGGCGGCTAGCGAGCCGATCAGTGGCGAAGAGGATAAAAGTATATATGGGTGTAGACTATTGGAACTAAAAATTTAAATAAATATTAGAATGATACACATATAAACAGTTATCCAACATGTGCACGCACACTCTGTTCACATTTAAGATTTACTAATTTTGAAATTATTTTTTTTATAAATTATCTCAAAATTTCATTATATAATTCGTAACAACTCTCGGTTTTATTTATGTATTTATTAAATATCTATATTTTACCTGTCAACTTAAATTTCAGACTGAATGACACATCTTCCAGATGTACCAATATTACTATTAGATTCCTTGGGCTAAAAACGTGGGTAACGCAATAGAAGCCGAGATATTACCTATTTTAATGTGATGTTGCGGCCATTTTGAAAATGGCCACCACGGCCACCAGCAGGCAGATACAGCTTGCCTCCAATCTTTAAAACGGCCCCCATGGGTCCTAGTATCAGTGTACAAAGTATGATTCTTTAGTAAAAAGTGCACAATTTGGCTAAAGATTGTTCCTTATCCCCTGGACAGTATATAAAACCAAAAGGTTGAGAAGGAGGAGAGGGCTTCACCTGTATGAGTTGTTCCATGAGGGTGTTGAGGGGTGCTGTCAACTGGACTTTGTTCTGCTGCAGGGCTTTGTGCATCACTCTGGTGGCCTCCTCCATCCTCGCCTGCTGAACCAGCCACCGCGGCGACTCATCAGTCATGCTGGGGGAAAAAGACATATATTTGGAGGTAGCTTGTGTACTTAGGTTAGGGTGTGAGGGGCCTCCAGCGGGCATTATATGTAGGTGAGAGGGTACTGGATTCGCCCTGTGTGTGTTTGAGTCTGTTACATAAATATACCCACTAATAAATGCTGGATAATGTAAAGACCAGGGATGTGGTGGCTGATGAGTGGTAACAACAGTCACTTCCTGTCTTAAGGGCTATTATTTTATATTCAGGGCACCTCCAGTCGATCCTGCTGTGAATGAGTCACCTAACTTTACAGTTATGGAAGTGAAAGTGGTTAAAAGCTGCGTCAGACACGTGGCCACGTATGTACCAAAGGCTCAGTATTCACTGTAGCTCCCCCTCAGAGTTATTATGCCCATTTTCACTAACAAGTGTTTAAATTATTCCCACAGTTTACGCTTTTTATAATAGTTGGAGGGGTAAAGAGGAGAGTTAAGGTTTATGCTGCAGCAAAGATTAAAACTGTGAGGCTTATGACAAGTGACGATACTCACAAAGCCACCGGGAGGAGTATGAGGATGGGTGAGGAGCACACCAGCAGGAGGATCCGCCACTCCCGGATGAAGCAGCCCACCACCGCGAGCAACACCGTGCTGGCTGAGAACGGCAACCCTAACAGCATCCCCACCCGGCTCCTACACCCTGCTGGCGTCGACTCCAGGGCTGTGGGGAGGACAGGGTGACACTAGGGATATGGCAAGGGCATGGTGACACCCCAGGGCTGTGGGGAGGACATGGTGACACTCTAGGCCCTAGGGATATGGGAAGGACATGGTGACACTCCAGGGCTGTGGGGAGGACATGGTGACACTCCAGGGTGGGGGAAGGACATGGTGACACTCTAGGGATATGGGGGGAAGGGCATGTGACACGCCAGGCTGTGGGGGAGGACATGGTGACACTTTGGGGATATGGGAAGGGCACACGCCAGGGCTGTGGGGAGGACAATGTGACACTCTAGGGATATGGGGAAGGCATGGTGACACTCCAGGCTGTGGGGAGGACATGGTGACACTCTAGGGATATGGGAAGGGCATGGTGACACTCCAGGGCTGGGGGAGGACATGGTGACACTCTAGGGATATGGGAAGGGCATGGTGACACGGGAGGACAGGGTGACACTAGGGATATGGCAAGGGCATGGTGACACCCCAGGGCTGTGGGGAGGACATGGTGACACTCTAGGCCCTAGGGATATGGGAAGGACATGGTGACACTCCAGGGCTGTGGGGAGGACATGGTGACACTCTAGGGATATGGGAAGGCCATGATGACATTCCTACTAAAGAAATTAACAAAATATGTTTTATATATTTCCTGATCGAGAATGAGAAAGCAACTTACTGAGACTCCATGCGGGGACGAGCATAGCCATGACAGAGCAGCCGGCCACAAAGCGCAGGGTGATGAGGAGTGGGTAAAGGGGAGTTAGGGCCATGGCCAACACCACCACCAGGTTCACCGCACATGCTCCAACCACCGCCCGACGCCGACCCCATCTGATAACACCATCGTACTGTACTACACTGTACTGTACCATGAAACTCATCAAGAAATATAATTATAGAAATAAAAGACGGCATAAACACTGAAATATAACCATAATAACAAATCAACAAATATATAAATACAATGATAAGTGAAAACACGTAAATAATTACCCTGCTTTCAGTATTAATAAATAGCTCAAGCGGCTAACAGGCGGCCAGGACGAGTAGTGGCGAAGAAGATAAAGTACAGTAAAGTTAGACTTAGTGGGTGGGGGGCATGGATTTGAAGCCACACAAGGATACTTTGCCTTTATTTTACCATTTTCGTCACTGGTTGGCATTTTTGTGATTCCTAGGTGTGAGTCTTTGTGTGTGTGTGTGTGTTAGGTACCTGTCGCCGATGTGGCCGCCAAGGATGCTGCCGATGATGCCGCCGACTGTGAAGAGCGTCTGGAAGAGGGGTTGGAGGGTGGCTCTCTCACACACCAGGTCCCACTGCAACATGTCCCACACTTGGTGCCGAAATAATTGCAATAATCAGCAAAATGGGGAGTATTGTGGGCAATGTAGATCGGTTGCCAAGATCAGTTTGATAACGAGAAGATAAACCAAGAAGTGAAATGTTCTAATGGTTTTGATAAAAACTTATTTCTGTTTTCGTGTCAGCTTCTTCAGCATTTTTTGAACGAAGTTATAATTCCAAGTATATACAACTGGAGAATTGAAAGTAGCATAAATCTCCTATAGGTCTAAATGGCCCTGGTTTAAACTTAAATTTGAAGTTGGGTGAGAGGTAGGCCTATAATCAAACGAGCGTACCACGGCAGGTGTGACAAAGATATGTAAATGGTAACAAATATCAGGAGTCGGCCAGCATGCAATATATATATATATATATATATATATATATATATATATATATATATATATATATATATATATATATATATATATATATATATATATATATATATATATATATATATATATATATATATACAGGTAAGTCACTAACAAATTTTCCCTAATTCGAGTAAAAGTTTGCAAAAGGAATAAAAACTCTTCCAAGAACACATTGTGATATATATATATATAGAAGCGAGACAAAATTATTATCAACTCAAGAGAAAATATATGTAAGTTAGTAGACGACCCGTGACGACTTTTCCAGAAAGTTTCGAGACATCTAGTAGAGGTTGAGAGAAGGTGGAAACTTCTGAAGCCAATATCAAACATCATTATAGACTTCTTACCTCAGATATAACTGTTGAAGTGAACACTGAAGTATCATACTGGATTAATGGGCAGGAGGGAAGGCTGGTGGTCCTCCATGTTGTGAGGTGAGAGATGTCTTGTGAGGAGTGAGTGGTGGTGATGGATGGGGTGATGACGGAAACATTGACGGCAGCTGCGGTGGTGATGTTGGTGACAGTATTAATATCGGTGGAGGTGTTGGTGAGCGTGGTGGCGGTGGTGGTAGTAGTGTTGGTAGGGAACTGAAGACACTGTTCGTCGAAATGAGACGACGGTGACCACGTCGTACTGGTATTGCTGTTGAAGCCACCAGATACATTACTATACATGTACTATTGTGGAAAATCACACACACACACACACACACACACAGTCGGGGATCAATTTTACAAGTCTCATATCCCATTTAATTCTACCCAGAGATTTCAGTGCAACAACATATATTAATGTAAAACAATGTAAGATATGCTTCTGAAACCTCCAATGCCTGACTCCCCTCTTTCCCATCACACCTCCACTAACTCATTTAACTGGCCACTTTCCATCATGTTCTTACAATTCTCTGCGAGGATATAAGCCATATGAGTCGTGGTAACTCGGTTATCGTTATGGATGATGATTGATGACCATGTGGTTGGTGGACTTGTTCCTTCACAAATATGCAGACAAATAAAGAGAAGACATAAAATGATGAATGTAAGAGCGAGGCACAGCTCTCAAGTAAAAATTGCCGAGACAGTACAGTGTATGATTGATGGGCTTCCTCCTGCTGGGCTTGCATCAGACGGTGCTGGCGTCTTAATGTTGAGTGTTCTTGTTTGATCCTGTCTCATCTATCTTACTCACATTTGTTAGACTATTTGTGACTGTGGGAGGGCTGTGGTTTTTCCTCCCGTTGTGAAACCGAAGGCAGACCAGTGGGTGGTGATGATTGTGGGCGTCAGCGGCAGCTCTGTGTGAAGCACTGGCCGTCGTTGTTGCTATAATGTTATTACGAAGGTCTTCAAGCGCGTGGCAAGGTTAGTAATACACTAGTCCAACAACGAAAAAGAAATGAGAGATAAAACTCTCTGCTTTTCCTGTATGTAAAGACATATGCTCTTGAGCCACACTCTACGGCAGTGGTCCCCATATTATGGAGCCCACAAGGGTTTATTAGAAAACTATTAATTATTTGGGATTCTTTGTACGAGTGAAATTAAGATCACAGATTACCGGGCCCAGAGAGAGAGCCAGCCTTCTCACTGGGGTAAATACACACGTCCCGTCCAGGAGAAACTGTAAAAAGTATGTAACTGGTAACAGCCAGACGTGTAAAACTGCAAATAACTGTACAGTATATATGAGATTTTTTTTCCTGAATATAGATCCAAAGTTTTGGCGCCCTCCACTATATTTACAATCATAAATGTGGCCCAGAGTCTTCAAAAGGTTGGGGGACCTCTGATATACGGGCTACCCTAACATTTTTTTTTTTAGTAAAACTGGATCATTATATTAGCATTACAGTATTACATTACTACTTTACACAGGCAATGATTAAGAAAATGTGCTTTTTTGATTCATCGCCTTACTGAATTGATGTGTCTGACTGGGCGCACGCAACCAGATACTGCAATGTAATATTATTGAATTCCTCAAAACATTATGAAAAAACAAAATATATAATTAAAAGTTTTGAAAATAAATAGCATCAATGTTGTGAGTTCCTTTATGCAGAGCTAAAATCAAAGCATCCGAACAGTGGGTGCTATTGTCTTGCTCACAACTAGGATGACGTTTCGTCACGCGAAAACTGAATCAACACTTTCTTTATTTTCCAAATTTCAGGTCCACTATATTTGGAAACTCTGCTGTTCTCATTACAAAATCGAAGCTTAACTGACACACACCTGTTCTCTTGTTCCACCTCAATACTACCCAGAAATCAACTCCACTGTAAAATACGTAGGCTATATACTTGAAATATAAATGTAAAAAAAAAAAGAATAAAAATAACGAAGTGATAACCGTGATAACAATCTGACATGTTTTTACTACCACCACATTACGCGGGATCTCATCACAAATTTAGACTGTTAAATTTTGTTGAAAATTTTGTCACTTGTACAGTTTTTTTATGCCGTTTCTAAGTATGCAACTCATTTTTTGCGGAAATAAATATATAACATTTTTATGGCGTTTGTTTGCAGGAACAGTGTCTGTTTTTGCTGCTGAATGAAAGAAAAAATAAAATTATGGTTAGGGAAATAAGTAATTGGATCACATGAAAATTACATCCCCCAACTTTTTTCATTTGATGATTAAACAACCTAACCTAACAACCCAACCTGATCTAACCTTACCTTCTGATTCATAGACCTGTAAGTCACAATAAAACGTTTCCACAAAACATGAGTTTCGCATTTAAAATCAGCACGGAAAACTGTACCTTTAATGCACGTTTAAAAAATTTGGAACACAGTCCAAATTTTTTAAATATCATTTTTGCGTACTATTCCAGATGATACCAAATGTTACATAATACTTCCTTGCGATAATATAGTAAATATATTGTAGGAATTCGTGGTATAATGTTGTCTAGAACTCAGGATGGATGGAAACTCTAAGGTGGTTTTCTTGTATATTATAAGTTATATGATAGACAGTCTGGTGCTGGAGGTGCCATGTGGTGAGGAGCTGCTCAATAGAGACGTTCGGTGAGTAGCGTGTTGAAGGAGGTAGATGTGCAGGAACTTCGTTAGAGAAGATGTTGCCTGTTGCTGGCCTCCTGGTTGAATGAATGCTGGACAGCGAGGAGCTTGCTGGAGTAGGTGTTGCGTGTTCAAGAAGAATGGCCAGAATGAGAGCTGGTTGGTGAGGAAGCTCAGAGAAGGACAGCTGGTGGGTCGCCATGCTCGCTGGCGGGAGCGAGGACCGCCAGGCAGGCGGAGGAGAGGCGAGGGCCGCCAGGCAGCGGCGGAGGAGGAGGTGTTGCGTGTTGTGGAAGTGAGGCCAGAATGAATCTCAATGGAGAGACAGAGCTTATATACCCAGCAGCCGTGAGTCATCTATGAGTCATGTTGGGAAAACCCGAGAAAGTCGCCGGTCTTTGGTTCCGTTGCTAGGTTATGGTAGCATCTGGTGACGCCGCTCGCTTGGTTGCTAGGGAAGATGGTAGCAGCTGGTGGCGCGGCTACGCAGTTGTAGGGGAGAAGTCCACTACAATATCAAGTGCCTTCAAGAGAGCTCAGGCTCTCAACTGGCTCAGCCATGTTTATATTGTTATTATTATCCACTCTGTATCTGTGTTTTTCTGGCTAAATAAACTGTTTCAATATCAATACCTGCTGAGATAGTGGCACTGTACTATCATGCCCGACGGCCACTTATAACTGTCCATGTTTGAGGGAGAACGGATGCTGGGTGTACTGTATTCTACCTAGACCAGTGGCTCTCAACCTTCTTCACTCCATCCCCCCTTGAGGAATTTTCAACATCCTCGTGGCCTCCTTCATTTTTCTCCCAAAACTGACAAACAGACAAGTGATAAAGACTAAAGAATGATAAAGAAGGACAGATTATAGGACAAGAGTTAGAATGGCAAACACACACACACATATTCACATACATAACACGCCCATGCACTCACACATAAAGCACACATACAGTCATACACAAACATGCACACAGGTAAACATTCACACTCAAGCTAGCAAGTTGAAGTGTACTTCCTGTAAGCAAGAACACGCCTACTTTGACAAGCTCTGCCCAACTTGGAAGAATGAGAAGAATAGCGAGTCATACCAATTTAACACTAAAAATGGTAGGATTATGTAAGTAAAGAATGACTATGAACAACAATGGCACCAATAAATAAGGAAATAATTAATAAAGGAAGTGTACAAATATTTCACCCACGTAAAGCAGCGACCACATGAATTATGAAACAAAATAAGTAACACCAATACGGAGTATATTATGCTTGAGTCAAGCTCAAACACAATATATGGTTCAGAGACAATACACTCCACTGTTTTCGTGATGGTATCCCAGGCCAGACTGAGATCATTCGGTCCTATCACCACTTGCAAAGGGATGACACACGGACACGTACTGAACAAGTCAGTTCAGCAGCTCGGTCCAGCGCCTGTCACACAGACAGGGACTGGACCTGTGAAATCTTAAATAATCCGTAAAAAATAAAAAAATAATTAGCACCAGAGTAGGTAAATATTAAAATTGTATTGTCGTTATGATTAAACAAAATGACAAAAAAAGAATGAAAATTCTCTTTTGCCAAGTCAAAATAAGTAATACAAGTTTTGTTTAATTCAGATTCCCAACATTATTTGGAAACGTACAATTTATAACAGCTCGCCGTGGCTCCCCTAAATTCTTGCCGTGGCTCCCTTGGGGGCCATGGCCCCCAGGTTGTCTCTCCACCGTACAAAACTGAATTGGATAAAAATAGTCCACCCACACAACATAGCAGCCTATCATACACACACTGAAACAAAATGAATTTTTTAGGTGTATACCAGAAATAGGTTAGGGTTAAGTTTTAAGCCAATTAATTTTGTTAAACACATGTTAGCTTAAGTTAATATTCACGTCAGGTTAAGTTAGGTGAGTCCTAGATATGAGTGACAGCATTACAGAGAACCTCAGACAGATGTAAACACATAATAAAGGCATTAGTATATAATCCGCCCCACAAGGTTGAAGAAGTCACAAGTCCAGAAAACTGTGAGGGCAAACATTTTCGGAGTGAGAATTGTGAACTCTTGGAACAACCTGCCAGAAAGTGTTGTGACGGCACCGAGTGTGAGCTCTTTCAAGACCAGACTTGACCAACACTGGAGCGGGTACAGATACATCCAGCAACCAGTTCATGCCCAGTACTTGCCAACGGTGTGTAACAGAGACGTGACCGATCGCCAAGTATAGCTACCGAGCCGATCAGTGGCGAAGAAGATAAAAGAAGTAAAAAGTAATATATGATTGACCTTTTTACACTGAAAAAGTCTGATAACTACCGAGACTAAGCACACAATAGTAGATATCAATAATGCATTAAGGTTTTATGTTAAACGGATGATCATGCTAACTAACACTCACAATATACAGTACCTACATAAAATAACTTGACATTATGACCTGAGAGTTAGTGGGAGGATGGAACAGCGGAATGTGACCATCCTGACCACTTGCCTGATATTGATTGGGAGGATTGAGCAGCATAACGTGACGTCACGACCACTCACCTGAGATTAATTGGGGGTGTTGGAACAGCAGAACGTGAAATCATGACTACTCACCTGAGACTGAGTGGAAGGATGGAACAGCGGAACGCGAGAGGAGCACTGAGTAGCGGCGAGCCAATCAGATGGACGGAAAACTGCGACATGGCTGGTGAGAAAGAAAAACAACGTCAGGCTTCAATCACATCCACAACACAGTGACACGATAAATCTTTCAACACAGGTACACACACACACTACTACTACTTTGCTGTCACTCGGAATCGAGTATGACGATCATCCAGCTATGATACAATGATATGAGTTATTAGGGATGTCACCTTCGCTGGTGAGTTTTAAGGTGACTAAAGAAGCCGATACGGGACCGGCGGGGTCATTCACAGATGTTGCACATGTGGATGGCTCCATCTACTGCGGGAGGGGCGGCGGCAGCGTCTTTGAAAAATGGGCACCACTATAGTATGCGGTCTACAGCACTGAAGCTACTACAGTATCACCTATACCTTGTTTAGGCAGGCTGACACGAACCAAACCCTCGGCCAGTTCAAAAAAATACACCAGGACTGGTTTGATGAATATGATGCGGCAATCAAAGTACACATCGATGATAAACGTGCTGCTTTTACTGACTGGCAGAACAGCCCTCAGTCTCGGACCAAAGCTGATACTTTCCGCAAGAAGAAAGCGGCAGCCCAGCGGGATCTTCACAATCTAAACAACGACTGGCTTAAAAATAAAGTATGGGAAGCATAAAAACTTGCAGATCATCACAAGATGCGAGAATTTTTTATTTCCACTAAATCATTTTATGGGCCAGTCATTCGTGGCACAGCCCCCCTTCGCTCATCTGACGGTAACCACATTATTAAAGACCTCGAAAGCCTCCTTCAGCGCCGGAAAGAGCACTACCATTCATTGCTCAACCGAAACCCCGACGTGGATGTCCTGACTACCCAGCAGGTTCCTCAGCATCCAGAGCTGACCCACCTCCGCTATTCTCCATCCCTAGATGAGGTGGCTACTGCCATCAAACAGATGAAAAATGACAAAGCCTCGGGGCCTGATGGACTCCCAGCCGAGGTGTATAAAGCAGGAGGACCTCTACTTTCCAGCCGTCTACACTCTCTCCTGGAGAATATATGGGAAAAGGAGGAAATCCCCCAAGCTCTTAAAGATGCCTCCATTGTCAATATTTATAAGAACAAGGGGGGGCGGTCAGATTGTGGCAACTACCGTGGGATCTCGCTGCTCTCCGTAGCTGGCAAGATTATAGCCCGATTCCTCCTAAACAGACTTCTTCCTGAGGCGGAAAACTTCCTCCCAGAATCTCAATGTGGTCCTAGACCATCACGTGGCACCACTGACATGATCTTTTCCGCCCGCCAGATACAGGAAAAGTGCAGAAAACAGCGTCGTGACATGTACAGTCACGTTTAAGATTCTCCAAACACTGCTGGAGACAGCTGGCAACTCCAGGCCGTTTGTTTACTATAGTACGAAGTAAAAATTATGAATTAATGTAAAAGGTTATCGGTGATTGGTTACTTAGTTCCCTGTTTCTTAATTAATGGTTGCGCTTTGTTGTTTCGTATTATATTATACTACGTAATATAAATAAACAAACGGCCCCGAGTTGCCAGCTGTCTCCAGCAGTGTTCGAAGAATCTTGAACGAGACTGTACAGTACATAGCTTTCATCGACCTAACCAAGGCCTTCGACTCGGTCAACAGGGAAGCCCTCTGGTGGACCCTCAGCCGTTTTGGCTGCCCACCAAAATTCATCGCCATTGTGAGGCAACTCCACGATGGCATGCACGGCAGTGTCCTGCACAATGGCACCCAGTCAGAGTTCTTCCCCATCCAAACAGGGGTTAAAGAAGGGTCTGTACTGGCACCAACTCTCTTTTCCATCATCTTGGCTGCCTTCCTTACTCGTGCCAGTGCCACTTTAGTCAGCGGGGTGAACATCGAGTACTGGGTAAAGGGGGGTGTCTTTTCAACATAAGACGACTCCAGGCAAGAACAAAGGTGTCGGCAACTTCCATTACTGAATTTCAGTATGCAGAAGACCTCACCCTTGTTGCTCACACTGAACACGATCTACAGGAGATCCTGAACACCTATGCAGACGCGTATGCACACTTCGGCCTTGAGGTGAATGTACGCAAGACTCAGATTCTCTTTCAACCTGTCCCTGGTTCAGACACACCTCCACCATCCACCCAGCTTAACAGTACTACACTCTAATGTTGCCCACTTTCGGCTCCCACCTGTCCACCACCGCAGACATCGATGAAGAGATTCAGCATCGGATCAGATGTGCATCTCACGCCTTGGGCGGACTCCGAAATCGCGTCTTCAGCTGTAGGGAGATGAAATTATCCACAAAGCTGCACGTATATCGAGCAGTGATCCTGCCCACCCTACTATATGGCAGTGAGACACGGGTCACATACAGGAGGCACCTCAAGGCACTTGAAAACTTTCACAAACGTAGTCTACGTTCCTTCCTCCGAGTTCGCTGGGAAGACAAGAGAACAAATGCCATTATTCTTGCTGACACCATCTGTAGGAGCATCGAGGCTACCATTATCCACGAACAACTACGTTGGACTGGTCATGTTACCCGCATGGACGACAGTAGACTGCCAAAGCAGGTACTTTACAGTCACCTAACGAATAGTAAACGCAACGCTGGTGGGTAATTTAAAAGGTATAAGGATAGTCTTAAGACAAACTTGAAAAGGTGCCAAATCGACCTCCTCACCTGGGAGACGATTACTCCACATCGTAACGCTTGGAGGAGGAGGAGCACCACACGAGAAGGTGTCAATACTTTCGAGTTAGCCAGACTGCAAACCGAGGCAGATGAGCGCCAACTTCGGAAAGACGCTGCCATCGCCCCTCCCACAGTAGATGGAGCCCTCCACATGTGCAACGAATGTGGACGACGCCTCCGGTCCCGTATCGGCCTCTTTAGCCACCTCAGTGCTCACTAACCTAGGTGACATCCCTAATAATCCATATCTTTGTATCATATCTGGATGATCGTCATACTCGATTCCGAGTGACAGCAAAGTAATAGTAGTAGTAGTAGTAGTAGTAGTAGTAGTAGTGTGTGTGTGTGTGTGTGTGTGTGTGTGTCTTATTGTTAATTCAAATATTTATTATTTCGTTGAATAACTTTGGGCTTACATATGTGGGACAGCCAAAATACATATTTTCACCCAATTTCACATTTAATCAACTTAATACAGAAGATATGGTACCAGACACGGTAGAGAGGGATAAATGGCTCTTATCCCGCAAACCAAATTATCCCATCAACCATGATTTAGCATGACGTCAGCAAAAGACATGTCTGCAAATTTTCTTCTTATTTTCGTGTTGACAAGAATATTTACTGACACAGCTACCTTGTTAGGTTAGCATTTTTCATGTACTTTATCCTTCTAAGGTAGATTTAACGTTAAGAAAACCCATCGGCGATATGCATATGAAGGCGTTTCTTAAATGGCGTCACATCGTTTCGTCACACCCGCCAACTAAATCATAGCGATGACATCATGCAGTGCAACCACCTTTCGCGGCTTTCCTTTCAAATGACGTCAAGTAAGTTAACCAATCGGAATGTTACACGGAAAAATAAAGTCTATTCCTTTTCTTTATCCGTGTTCAACGATATTTACTTGCTATTAAAGGTAAGGGGAGAGAGAGATGATGAATTAATGCCCATTATTGTGGTGCAGAACAAGTGTGGCCCAGCAACAACCACGTCATCCCGCTGGCCATAGAGTGGCCCGTCAGGTCCGTCTTGACCCTGTTATTCAGGGTGGTGGCGGCCGACCCCATGGCGCCATACACATTTATGTCTAGTGGGTTGGCCTCTTATTGATATACAGTTTACGGTCACGCAACTGTGTGTGTGGTGTGTGTGTGTGTGTGTGTGTGTGTGTGTGTGTGTGTGTGTGTGTGTGAAACAAAGGGTGAACTTTGGTGTAATCTATATTTTAAATAGTAACAAATAGCCTACTAGCGTTAATATATACTGACCATAGTTGTGACGTTAGTATTTTGACCTGACAAGTCGCCTACAGAGCTGAAGTGTGTGATGCTACGACTGGACAGCGTAAAATGATATATAACTCTGTGTCTTTAAACCTATTAATAGATACGTTTTAAAAGAGTATCACTCCTCTGCAATATGTTCACGTGGTATATCTATTATATAAAAGATAATTCTCTTGTTATATGGAGACAAAATACCCGAGGGTCGAGGGTCACACTGTCTGGCAGGATGAACATTTCTCCAGCTGAAGATGTAAGAATATTCCTCACTGTCTGACTAAAGCTAAATCACAAATAAAATATTAAGATTACACTGAGACCCTAGAATAATTAACAATGTTCCTTATTCCAAGACAAACTATTTTTTTAGTTCATCAATAGTAATAAAAACTTTTTATATCGTATAAGAAATTAATGAGACATCAATATGTAGATCGCCCAGTATGTGTGTCTGAGTTTGCTAACCTTACAGCATAAATCCTTGCAAGTATATCAACAAAGCTAACACTATCTTGTTTCCCACAATTTATGAGAAGGTAGCCCCCAGGACGAGTGACCAACTCAGCACATACCATAGTAAATAAACCACAAACCCTTCCTGGCCATAGGAGCGAACTCGTGTCTCTTGTGATGGGGGTTGGGAGTGTAAACGCCATAGACAAGTACTGTACTCTACTTTAGACACTCGTGTTTTTCAATGATTTTTTTAACTCAAACAAAAACTGTTAGTCTGGTTAATTGACAAAACTTCAACAATTAGTTTTGTTAAGGAGTTTAATGTTATTATATAATAATATCCCATAATTCATAAAAAATAAGTTATATAATACAATTACTAATAATAATGATAATAATAAATCACTATTATATTTCCCGTGGTTTACACATATTAGCATATTCATAACAAAATTTAGCCCCAGTTGGTCGTTGTCATGCCAGTAAGGACAACCGATCGAACTACTCTCAACTACTCTCGCGTGTGTTAGGTGCCATGGTAACCCAGCCGAGGTCTACCCGAAGCATACCAGTGACAGCCCTCCTGTTACCTGGACATGTGTACAGTTTGATAACACCAGTGAC